TTTCGTCAACTGTCCCCTTGCGCTTGTCGCCTTTACATGTATGTGCTATGCGTAATTCGATCTGATCTAGAATTTGCATTTCAATCGTTCTTACCCTGCTTATCTGCAAAATACCGTGAGCGCCTATTTGCTGTTTACCGTCGTGCGATCCGAGCTGCCTGTGGTGCCCATTACTGTGCTGACGTGGACCCCCTTTACCACTCTCTTAAGCTCTGTCCTCTGGACCACCGTTTCTTACAGTTGTTCATTAAATTTATCTTTCAGGGTAAAGTAGCTCACCCGGTTGCCAGTTTAGATTCTCTATTTTGTAGGCACAGTACACCTGCTTACACCACTCGCGGCTCTTCTGCAAATAGTCTTTCGTTATGCCAGGGGCGTGCTCGGCCCCCCAACTAGGGGGGTGCACGGGAGCCGAGGGGAGCCCCCCCCCCCCCCAATTTTCTGCAATTTGTTTGCAACCTTTCTTGAATTTTAGAGCATATTTGCATACATTACAATTGCAATTACCCAGATTTAAATTTTTTGGGGGTGCACGTGCCCCCGTGCCCATCGCCGAGCACGCGCCTGTGCCGATATAAGACTGCATGCGGGTATCGCTCATTGTCTAGTAGGATTGCTTTACTTTGGACTGCTCTGCCCTTTGAAATGAAGTCTTGCAATACGTCTTCTGCATTTAACGCCCATCTTGCGGGCCACAATGTACCCGGTTAAAACAGCTCCTTTTTGAAAATGTTTTCAATGAGTGATGTGTCGCTTTGTTTTGCTCTAGTTGGTGCTTTTCTCCAATGTCATGCAGTCGTATTTATTCAGCTTTTATTTCTTGTGTACTTGCATACTGGTATTAGTTTAGTCCCACAACCTGCGATAAAATAATCGGCTGTAGCACCTACTCCACTTATATGTTTATGTATCTATGTCATTCGGATCTTCCCAAGTTGTACAATGTACTGTTGAGATACCGAATTCAAATAAATCAGTACCATACCATACCATACCAATGCGAAAAGCATAATTTCACGAAAATATTAGCATAATCCGTCAAGGCCTAACGGCTAGCATTTTACCGTTCACGTGCACGCTACGTGTACCGTTTTTCGGGTGTTTTCAAGACATGGTTAGCATTTCGGTTTCTGAAACAACGATCAACTTGTGACGTAACCCTAGTTGGAATCTTGCCCTTCTAATCGTTCTCCCGCCATGTGAACAGAGCTTTCTATCGTTGAAACGGCACCAAACCGACGGTATTTTAATTGTTTGGGTCCAGAGTGTTGGGTACGAGCTCTAGCTCTAGCTCTAGATCTGTCAGGTGGGCTGTACATTCCAGTGAGCCCGCATGCTTGCGTCGGGGTCATCAAAGTAAATGTACAATCAGGGTCATGTACATGTACATGTACCTAGTATTACTACTTAGTAGTAGTAGTAGCATCAAGAAGGGTGTTCGGCAGGGCTGTATTTTGTCCCCACATCTATTTAGCCTGTACACTGAGAGTGTTATGCGTGTTGCTGATGTGGACAGTATCGGTGTGAGAATCGGAGGACGCCGGCTGTCGAACCTACGATATGCAGATGACACGGGATTGTGTGCACATCCATCAGAAGTGTCTACCCTCACCAATGCTGTTAATGACGCTGGAAGAGAGAAGGGCCTGTCACTGAATCTGTCCAAAACCAAGATCATGCATATCGGAACCTGTACTGCTGGTGCAAACGATACTGCTCCAACGCCCCTTGTGGTCGACGGAGAACGAATTGCAGAGGTGAGCAGTTTCAAGTATCTGGGATCCTGGAAGACAACAAACGGTGATTGCAGCCTCGATATTCGGTCAAGAATTGCCATGGCGAAAGAGCGTATGCTGCAGTTAATTGACATCTGGAAAGACCACAACATCTCCAGACAGCTGAAAATCCGGATAATGCATGCCTTAGTGTGGTCTGTCCTGCTGTATGGAGCTGAGAGTTGGACTCTGCGGAAGACAGATGAACGACGAATACAGGCAGCAGAAATGTGGTGCTACCGACGTCTGCTCAGAGTATCCTGGATGGAGAAGCGCACAAATGACAGTATCCTGGTGGAGTTGGGAGTACAGAGACAGCTGCTAGCCAGGGTCAAGATACGCAAACTGACCTATTTTGGGCACACATGCCGCCCATCTGGCTGCGAGCTTGTACGTGACGTGATGTTTGGTGTCGTGGATGGTAAGAGAAAGCGTGGTCGTCCGAAGATTTCCTTTGCTGACAACATCGTTTCGTGGACTGGTATGTCTCTGCATGAGAATTGCCAGTTGGCATCTGACAGAGATGCCTGGCAGTCGCACTGTGCATCTACTGCTTACATAGCTGCATAATGCCGTTTATTATTATTTTTAAAATTTTACTTTTATTATTTTTTCGGCAACGCAGATGATGATGATGATGATGATGAGTAGTAGTAGTACTAGTGTACTACCGTACTTGCTGGTCGCCTAGCGCTAGATAGCCCTCAGGTGGGACAAGCCATGTTCAATCATCATGGCTTGGGTGCGAGTTCGCAGCCAATTAATCCATGCAGTCGACCTCCGGCTACGAGTACGAGGGTCTAGAAGGCGCCTGACAGTGACCATGGTGACAGGCCTGTCGACGCAGGATGGTGCCGGGGTAGGCATCGGCCATTAAAAACTGAATTCCGTCTGTTTTACGTGGAATTTCTTGGAGTTTCCCAATGTATTGTACTTGAATAAAATTCTATTTTACCTTTCATGGTATCTCAAATTTTTTCACGACTACATGACTTTATTTTGCCCGTCAAAGAGGCCGTTACCCCGTAAAAAAAAAGTAGTACTAGTACATGTACATGTACCTCATAGTATTACTACTACATGTAATTTACTAGTCCCAACCGTGTCTGAAGATAGTATTATTATTATTATTATACGCATTCCCGCGTTGAAGTGTAGCAGCAGTATGCTGCGTCCACAGCTTCGCTTATGCAGAATGGCTTGGGTGAGAGGAGAGGGGAGAGAAAGCAACAAGGCAACCAACATCTATGAAATTGGTCACAATAACATGAAGAGAACCAACCTACATATGCATGATTGCACAAGAATGGAGACGACAAAATATAATGGCTATAATCATTGTGCCACAAAACCGGTACACAGGAGATCTGTCGACAATGTAACGAAACATAAAACTCAGTTACTCAATACAGGTTCCACTAAATAATTACAAGAGAACAACGCTACAACGTTAGAATTGCTGCTAAATTATCGCAAGTGTAGAGAACGAGTCCAATACAAATGAAAACCATGAACAGACTGTCCCGAAGTTATTTTGGGAACAAATTGTACTACATGTACTTGCTGATACTGACGCTGACGGAACACGAATTTTAGTTGAATACTCACAAAGTCTTGTACATCATTATGCGCCGGTGTTGTGGAGTAAGCAGGTACGTCAGTCACCAATCCAGCTTCAGATCCACGCTCGCTTCAGCAGAATGTTGCCCGCGTTTGCTTTGCCTCCACACGGATAGACGACCAGCGCAGAGTCCCGCAGCTCCGTGTAGTATTAGTAGACCAAATCCATGTCCACATCATTCAGATGATGTTTCATCAAAGCAGGGATGAGTTTGCTGCCGATGGCCTCCTTCAACTAACCAAAGCCAAAGGGTGAAAGTGGTCCCCGGCTACCGTTGCTCTTGTTCAGCTCTCCGAGGTGCTGAGAAACACTGCAGTTCTGGAAATGGACAGCTAGCACTTTCAAGACGACCATTACCATGATTACTACTAGTACCGGTAACTAACTACCGGTACATTACTACTACAGACACAGTATTCTACCAAACAACAACTCCGGGAGTTGGAGTCCACAAAGCCATGGCAGCGTGTCATGCATGGTGATTACGTTGACTCGTGCTGCTGGAACCAGCTGCATCGTCGATTCTACTACTACATGTAGTACTAGTACTAGTACTACTACTACTAGTCTATGCATTATGACTCTGAGCCTTACTAAGGGGCCGTCCGTAAATATCGATGTTTTTTTAGAGACGATATTGGTGCGTCTGGGGGGGAGGGGGTTTGAGCCATGTGCGTCTTTTCGAGCATCAGAAAAATATCGATGTAAATATCTGAAGTTTCGCCGATCCCTGCACGCGGACGTCTAAATGGCTATACAAGAAATGTGAAACCAGCTTCCGTTCGCGGAGCTAAAACTCGCGACACAAGAACAAAATCAAAAATTGGAAGCTGTACGCCCATGGCGAATTTCAAGAGCAAAAGAATGAGCTTGTGGAAATCGGCCGAACGATGCCTGCAGGAGACCTTTTTCAAGACGTAGAGGCAGTGCGAACAAACACGGACGAACTCCACAAGAGTTTCCAGTCTTCACTGTCTGAACAAGGATTTGAAAAAATTCAAGCCCGAGCGTAGCCGCTTTGGCTACACCAGTAGACGATGGCTGTGAGCACTGCAGCGCCAACCCGGTTCGCTCCCCCCAGGCGATGCAGCTATTGCGTGAGTGCGGCGGGATTTTCACGCCTACACCGGACCCTCAACATCCTGGGCACTTCATGAGCATCCAAAAATATTGATTCCATGATCTAGATGTACATGTGCGTCTTCTGGGGGGAGGGAGGGGGGTCAAGGGAGAGAAGCACCAATATCGTCTCTAAAAAAACATCGATATTTACGGACGGCCCCTAATATTATCCTATGTCATGACATGAGTCTCAATGACAATGTGCGGACAGACATGAGTTCTTGATGCGCGGCCCGACTAGCGGCATGCAGGTAGATGGTTCGGGTTTCACACACGATCACACTCGTAGATAGGCCTAGCCTACTCGCACTGACTGTGCACATGACATGTGCTGCACTGTAGATCTACTGTACGTCGTTTATCGTTGCATAACCTACATCAGTACAGTCATCATGGTCATGTAACAAGTACACATGTAGTACTAGTAGGTCTACATAGTCTACGTGTGTGGTTGTTGGCCGTCTTCCGACTCTTGGTCGTAGCAGTGCGTGCGTTCACTTCGGCCAGTCCAGGACCAGGTGTTCATCACTCAGCGTTGAAGCAGCAGCAATGTTGATCTTCAAATGTGCGTGTGCCGGTGTGGGAAGCAGGAACCCAAGGACGCCTGGCGTAAACCGTGACTTCGAAAGCAACCACCATCATGGCGAGCCGAGTGCGAGCAATGACTTTGTTGCCCGGCACGAGAGCACAGCAGGTGTTTTCCTTGGCAGTGTTGCTAGTAGTACTCGTGGAGGCCGTCGTGAGGGCGAGTGAGATTCCGACTCTATCGGAGGAGTGGGCCGAGAAAGGACATTCGGACATTTTGAAGTCTTTGACGGCGAACTATGGTGAAAGAATTCGTGAGCACAGAGCATCGTCACCCGGTAAGGAAGAAGGAGAAGAATAACGCACAATATTGTGGTGTAGCGGCTGAGGCGGCAAGTGCTCATGGAGATCACAGCGAGACTACATTCCACTGGCTAGGATTGGCATTTTCAGTACAGCCTACAGGCCACGATAAGTAGTGAGGGCAGGGCAGGGCAGGGCTGACTTGCGGCGTAGACAATCTTCATCACTTTTAGCCAAACGATACAACAGAGGAAGTACACAGAAGTCAAAACCTTTACTGTCCGGCCTCTGGGCACAACATAGCAGCCGTTTTCAGTTTTCACTCTGCATTTCTATTTCTTATACCTGTAAATCTACCACACGGCACAGAGCACCACGCATTGTTCGTTGTAACTACAATGACGATTATGTAATTCACTAATTGTTGTCTGATGATTGCCTAGGCTATGGGCATGAAACTAATAGTTACAGCGAACGATGCTCGGTGCTCTGTGACGTGTGTAGTGCGTAAGATAGCTCTATTCGAACGAATATTGAGCACTCTACCGAGCCTGAGGACACTCATTTGTACCTGTACCTGTAAATTTACAAAAATCTGTTTGTAGTTGTAAGTACCGAGCCACTGGCATGTCACATTGTCAGACTAGAAGGTGATTATGCATCCTTCATGCTTCGCTGGGAAGTGCCATGTAGGTATTGATTTTGTGGGCTGACAGGGTTCGGGCGGAAACTGCTGGAGTATGGCTTGGCGGGAAGCAACTTAAGTTTGAAGCCAGGAGAAAGCAAATTTTGACGCGCCGTCCCCGCAGTGCTGCTTTCATGGTTTCATGCGTCTGTACACACATGTATCAGGGGCGTAGGAGGGGTTTTGGAAGTGGTCCGACCAAAGGTCGGTGCGGCCGAAGGCCGTGTTGGAGGGGGGTCCAGGGGACCTCCCCCGGGAAAATTTTGTAAAAAAGACACAAAATCCTGCGTTCTGGCACACTTCTGGCGCAGTGTACATGATTGTAGTGTGCAGTCGAGTCGAGTAGATCTACGACTGCAGATGCATAACAGATCTACGAGTACGAGTCTAGAAAAAGGTCAAAGTCTGATGCGCATATTATATCATGCATATGCATCGATGGATCCTGATTTTTTTTATTACGGTTTTGCACGTTTCGGACGGACCACACTTTTCGAAAAGTGGTACGGCCATGGTCGTACCAGTCGTAGCGGGTGCTACGCCCCTGTGTATGATATGATGTAGTTAGTTGGAGCTTTGGGCGTGCTTGGCTCTGTAACAGGGCGCAAAGTGGAATCTTCATTGTCTTGAGAGCATGGTGATATCGAACGAGTCGAAGAAACGACTGATTTATTGCAGTGCACGGGCATACCAAAGATGGCCGTGAGTCCTGTGAGATTCCCCGCGGAGAGTGGTGTCGGCAGCAGAGCAGGCCTCGGCGGCCATTTTGCTGTGATTTCGGAAGTTCACTTCAAAGTGGGTCCTGAAGAGAGTGGTTAATATTTATGTTTATGTTAGCCCCTGCCTGCGAATGTGATAGTCCCCGGCAGATGACGCTACAATTGTGTTTGGAATGATTTCATCGTTTAATTGGAAATTAGGCTTCTAGCGTGATTTCAGGATTTCAGATCTGCTGTGTAGGTTTATGGCGTCCAACGCAAGCGGAAAGGCGGTTCTTGAGCCGCCCTGTACGCGAACCCGTGAAATTTCTGGTTAGGTTCTTTCTACTTGCCTTGTTCCTACTACGCCTTGAGGACTGTATGTATAAGCACTACTTTGAAGGAATCAGCTAGGGTCCTAAATGTAACCTATTTTCGCATTCTTTCCCCGTGCGCAGAATGCAGTGTCAATGCTAGTTACACTGGCCAGTGTAACCTGGACTGTCAGTGTGTGGATGGCAAGTGGAAATGCTGTCGGCTGAGGAAGAGTGTGAAGAACTTATCTCAGGTGAGGTCCCTAGCGCCCGTGAAGACCAACAATGTTCAATATCCTATACACAGAACTTGTCTTCCATTGACAGGAGGGAGGTTTTGCAACATGTAAAACGATTACCGAACGAGTCGCTGACTCGTTTTGCATCCCAAGCCAGGCCCAAATGGCTGGGAATTCCAATGTGCTTGGGAAGTTAATCCCGTTGCTGTAGTGGAATGAATTCCGAACAACTATAGCACCATCTGTGTCACTGCAAGTCTGCAGCACAACCTGTTGTTAGAGACTGGTCGTCTCACCAGATTAAGACCCTGATTTATGATACACCCAGACCGGCATTAAAATCACAGTTACGTCTCTTATATTCGACTAGCGCAGGCTTTACAGGATGTCCGACAACGGATATTTGGGCTGCATGCTTTGCCTTCATGCTTTTCCCGTGTCCTGCAATGTCGTAACACGCTCTCTGTGAATGTTACATCTCCCGAGCTGCTGGAGTAGAGGTAGACGGTACATAACTAAGTTGTACAGTAAAATCGTGTGTAAGCGAACCCTGGGTTTAGCGACCAACTGCTCCTAATGACCCTTTCCCCAGGCTTGCACGGGCAGTTCTACGCAGACACTGTGGGACCTGGTTCAAAAGACCACCTGGCTTTAATGACCGATTTTGCTTGCACCGTGGGGTGGTCGCTTAAACGGTCGGTTTTACTGTACTTCGAAGTATGCACAATGCCAAGCTCACATACTGGCTGTAGACTTTTCTCTAAAGATATTGAAATAAGTACCGTACTGGCAATATATGTTGCCGCGTAACGCGTAACGCATGGGGGGGGGGGGGGGGGTGCGGCGTAACGCGCGACCAGGCTAGTGCGACAAATTTTCGTTGCGTTCGTAACGCGCATCAGGCGGGTTGCGGCGATCTTTTCATTGCAGTTTGCACTGCAAAGGCTGAAAACTGTGAAAGCACGTGTACCGCGTGGCAAAAAAAAGGACTGCGGCAATATAGAAACCTGTGTAACGGCTCCTGTGCGACTTTGCATGTAACGCCCTGCGTGCGGCAAACATGTGCCAATGTAACGCTTCATGGCCTCACTGCGGCAACATATATTGCCAGTACGGTATAATCAAATGTTAGGGGCTAGTATTGGTTGAATTTGAACAGGGGGTGGGTGTCACTCCAGAAGGTTCCCGGATAAGACCCACACTCGAGTGATAGGGAGACTAAGTACAGTACAGCAGTGTGTCTTCCTGTTCCCCAAAACACAGCTTTCATCAGAATCTCACGGTAGATACGGCAGGTCACCAAGTGGAATTGTCAAGCATCTTCGAGCATAGAGAACGAAAGTTTGTAACCAGCAGCATTGTGCCAGCTAGTGGTGGCACACATCGGCCACACATACAGTGGAACATAAGAAATACGTAAACCAAAGTGACTGGTTTAAAGGGGAAGTCCGGTGAAAAATTTAAATTTCAGGGTCGGTAGAGTTTCGGGGGCTGAGTCGAATGGTGTTGGTCCCCATGTGTCTCCGACAAAGCGTTCTCGAGATATTTCCGCTTGAAAAACTGAGTTTCGGGGGGGGGGGGGGGCTGCGCCATGATGTCATGCGGCCGCGCCACACCCTCCGCAACGTCATAGCGTGCAGCTAGGTCAAAAGGAGTGTGTGAAAGCAATAGTGTCAGTGCTATTTCAAATGATTTGGCGACCGATAGTAGGTGGTGCAAGCGACCCCGAAGACGTAACTCCTTCTGAGAGTGAGGATGCAGCCATGGCTGACCTTCATGAGTTCGGTCTGGGGCTGAGAACCTCGGTATTCAGCTGAAGAAATGGCCGCGCGGGCCGGTCAAGAGTGAGCGATACTGAGTTTCCGACTGATGAAGAAGCAGCACATAGCCAGCAATCGCATGTCATCACGTACATTGAAAATCAACATAATTTTGCGAATCGACCTTTTTTTCCGGATCACTTTTCAACGAGGACGAAGCAAAGTCGGCCGAACGAAGCCTAGAGGAAGAAAATCACCCTCTCCACTTCACCATCACGATACTGACATAGATACGAGATGAAACAACTAAAAAATCCACAAGAAAACTGTACGGCCATCATCGCGCTGACTTTGGTCCGACTTTGATCTGAGAATTTCTATCACGATCAAAAATGTACGAGGAGCACTCAAAAATTAGCCACAGACGTACCTTTATCGCTCTCTACTCCTTTTTCAAGGCACAAAAGTCGACTCTCCACTTTCAAACCAGGAACCAGACATACCAGTGGTCCTTTTCAGCTGCTCCACGAGCGCAGGAAATGTTCACCAAGGGGCGCAGAGCAGCATCCATTCCAGAAAAAGAGCTAAAATACGGGTGAGACTGCATGCCTGAGTACATGAGTACATGTATGAGTACATGCAGAAAATAGTCAATTTCAGCGTTTCTGCTCCAAACAGCAACTAGCTTCGACTAGAAAAAAAGATTGCACCAAAGGATCAAACAACAACCATTTTGTGCAGTTTTTTTGCAGATGGCTTCCTTGTGCTTGGCCCAGCACGCCAAAAATCACACCTCGGAGGAGTACAAAAATTACAACTCTCAGATGTCCTCGATTGCTGGCCATGGCAGACAAGGAGTCGTAACTGGGGCATTTAAAAAAAACACATCTGCAGGCTTTCTGACAAAGCTGTATTATGCCCCTAAGCATATTTTTTGTCTAAACCGAAAGATTATGCCGACCTTACACGTTGCAATCTGTATAATATGCCGGAGCATAATTATTTGACGAAATCCCAAGATTATGCCAAATATTATGCCGGCATAATCCGCCAAGGGCTAGCAGCTATTGCAGACAAGGCTGATATAATTATCAGATCGCTGGAGAGCAGAGTCGCCAAAATGGAGAAGAGTGATGCGAGTGCTCTAAATGTTGTTCGATACCGATTCGCTTTGACTCCAGTAGCCTGCCACATGGTGATGTTTTGGTGCGAACTTGGCATATTTCGGACTACTCAATTGGAGAACAGTGCAGGCTCTTTGAACCACGAGCACGACTGTTCGCTCGCTACGCTACGGGATTTGAAAGTTCTGGGTCCGGGAGCTGTTCGCTGTTTTGTCACTTGTCACGGTTGTGCACTCATTGCTGTAGCATAAAATAATGAGGCGGGAGCGGAAAACTAAAATTTTCTTTCTCAAAGCACAACCACCGGCACCGGCAAGGAGAAACGCACGTTCTCTGACTACATGACTGTACACTACGACTGATAGCAGTGATACGAGTGTAGTACATGACAAGTCCGTGTGTTGACTAGTTTTCTGAGTCTTGTGACTCGAATCTTGTTGTAGCTACCCCAGCACGGCAGTGCGGGAGTAGTTCCGCGTGTGATGAGTTTGTTTACTACACTACAGGCTAGCATACACGCAGCACATTGCTAGAGCCGCAGAGGTCAGTGCGTGCCGACGGAAAAAGTCCAACTCGGAAACGGCTAAAATACGGTATAATCTCGAGGTTTACCGAGCTGAAAATCACAGGGTACGTAGTGTTTGTAACACTGAATCGAATGGTCTTGGTCAGAAGAAGCTGCGACAAACGGTCCCCCAATCGAACGCGCTCCGAATATGGCCATTTTGTACACAACTAGATGGTGTGGCTACCTGGCTGCACGCTGTGACGTCATCACCTGGATCTGGGTGATACGCGCTCAAATTCGCACATGTTCGATTGGGCGTATCTGACGAACCATAGGCCGCAGCCTCCTCGGAGAACGACCATTCGACTCAGCGCCCCGAACTCTACGGACTGTAAAATTTATATTTTTCACCGGACTTCCCCTTTAAACTCTCCTCATCACTAGCCGACTAGGTGTTGTCATTCTGGAGGTTCAGGTGTGTGAATAGTGTACAATCATGTACCCTCAAGGCATGGCTGAACACTGTCATCACTTTCTACATGGTAGTAGGATTCTAACCACAGGGAGGGGGGGGGGGGGGAGGGCAGCACCCTACTCTGATTGAGCCCCCACCCCCCCCCCCCTCCTCTCCCTCAGGCCCGTGAAAAAGTGGCACATTCGCCTCATTTGTAGATTTTTGTGTTTTTTCAGGCCATTCAACGCCGTTACGCGCTGCATATGCCGATAGGGTTTACCGGGTGTTAGCAGCCGTCGTTAATTCCCTTCAGGAACGGACACGATAATTTACTTTTACTTAATTCAACAAAAATACAGTCGATAGTCACTAGCAGAGGGTTCAAAAGGCACATTTGTCTGGGGTAAAGTTGGGGTGAGGTACATTGCATTTTGGGAGGCAAGACAATTTTGGAAAGTGGAAGAATGGGTTACATAGCCAGCAATCACATCTCATCACGTACATTGAAAATCAACATAATTTTGCGAATCAACCTTTTTCTCAGCATCACTTTTCAACGAGGACGAAGCAAAGTCGTTCAAACGAAGCCTAGAGGAAGAGAATCATCCTGTCCCCTTCACCATCACGATACTGATATAGGTACGAGACGAAACAAGAAAACTGTACGCCCACCGGTGCGCTGACTTTGGTCTGAGAATTTTTTACGACCATCAAAATGTACGAGGAGCACTCAAAAATCAGCTACAGACGTACCTTTGTCGCTTTCTACTCCTTTTTCAAGGCACGAAAGTCGTCTGTCCACTTTCAAACCGGGAACAAGACATACTAGTGGTCCTTTTCAGCTGCTTCACGAGCGCAGGTAATGTTCACCAAGGCCCCAGAGCAGCATCCATTCCGGCCAAACAGCTAAAAATACGAGTAAACCTGCATGCCTGAATACATGAGTCCATCAGTACAGTCATGCGGTAAATAGTCAATTTCAGCAGGCAGGGTAAATGTTTCCCCTGCCTGCCCCCTTACTGGTTTTACCTGGCTAGAACCACTTTAGTGTTTCTCAGGTGCCCAATATGACGGGTTCTGCTGTGATAAGGATGCTGGTTGACTTCAAACTTCATCAGCGCTGTGCAATTCTATTTTCATATCTTTTTTCAGGAGGAGAAGGACAGATTCAACAGAGCTTTCGTTACCGCAGCCACGGATGAGCGCTATAAGCCTGCAATGCGATCAGTCATCTGGTCACACGCCGTATTTGCCTGCTTCATCATGAGCAGGCAAGACTACATCTATGACACTGAGGTTTCTTACCACAATCTCCTTCTCCTAGCGCTGGAGAATCTTCTACGCTTGATTGACTGCCGCGTCACACTACCCTACTGGGATCCATCTATTGAGCATCACAAGGTCTGTACAGGATAATTCCCTCTTTCAACGGCATTTGTAGCGTAGCATGGCATTGCAAGCAGTCATTTTGTTTTGTCGTCATGATGGAAAATATTGTAATTCTTTCTACATGCAGTACTGAAACCAATATTTTCAATTATGCCCGTTACTCCTCGATCCGAAATACTGTAAAAGCCATATAACGAAGTGCTAACTCTAAAGAGTTAACGAGGAGAAATCTGTCGTTAAAATAGAAATCGTTATACAGAAATCGATACATATACTGTCCTATTGAGCGTTGAGAATAAGTGAAAATCGTTACCTTTGGTACACGTAAACCAGTCGATTTTGGGAAATCGTTATAATTATATGCGCCTCGTTAGAATAATGGCTTTTACAGTAAATGTAGAGACGTTGCCGTGGCAATAAAAGAGACGTTCTTTGGCCTCCAACCGGGGAGATCGTGCTTGCTCAAGTATTAGCCACATTTCCAGGAAGGGTGAGTTGCACGTTGGGGAGAAGCGAACCTCTCTAGTCACTAAAGTCAACTGTGGCAATAGGCATCTGTCAATCGAATGATTCAACTCACTTACCGTAGTACATTCTCAGAGTTGAGTAACGATATGTCCTTTTTAACGTTACTGAATATTTTGAAAAAGTTACATTTCGGGCCAGTCATCTACGTGCGCATAGGAACAGTGTTGGCCTATATATGTAGCATTTTTGGCAGAAATGCAGGTACATTTCATCATAGCCAGACTTTTGCCTTTTCCCGATTCCCTCAACTAGTGAACAGCCATGTTTGTAGCCAGTTTCACATGGAAGAGGAGTGGGTAACCAGCTGATTTTCAAAGTGTGTTGATAGTTGCACAGATCTGCACCAACTCCCCGCATACTGAGAGCCGAGCGTATTAATGTCTGGGCCTTCTGCCACATTTGCCCAACTAGAGCAATGCACCAGCGCAGTGTGTGGCCTACACTGTAGTCTTTAGCATAGTAAAGCCTGTCAAGGCGACCACTCGGATAAGGCAACCACCTGTCCAAGAGGACCACCACAACCAGGACCAAGGGCAAGGGATGCTATTCTCACTCAAATAACCCTGGATAAGGAGGCCACCTGGTTACAAAGACCACGTTTTGAAGGCCCCTTGAGCGGACGTCTGACTCTTAGACAGGTTTCACTGTACCGGATTCGAAATGTATGCACTTAATTCTCCCGCTCAGTGGTGTTGTGGTGTTGATAGGTCGAACCATGGCCTGCACAGTGGTGGCACATTTCAAATTTGAAAAGGAGGCCAAAAAGAAGCGGCAGGGGATGCGCAGCTCTAGACGATACCATTTTGGCTACAAGCCTTGTAACGCAGTGTCAAACCAGTCAAACACAAGGTCTCCTAGTGAAACAGAGGTATTTCTATTCAATTGTATGTGTGCATGCGTGCGTGTGTGTAACCCTATCGTGTGCATTCCATTATGTGCAGACCTTCATGGAACAGCTTCCAGAAGGCTTTGGTGGCAATGGGGTGCCTCCTGACCTCTGTATGCAGGATGGCCCATACAGAGAAGGTAAACACATTGCTAATGCATGCCTGTGATGCCAGAATAACTGGGGTATATGTGCGATGAGTATTGGAGAGAGCTAGTGACCCCTTCCTCTGGTATCCTGGCTCCCCTTCAATTTTTCCACCAAGATCTCATGTCAGTGTTTTGCATTGGGTCAGACACACTCACCATTCAACAATGCTGGTACTGTAGTCTGATGCCTATGATACTGCAACATGGGCTGTTTGTAGTTGCATCACTCCAGTCAAGGTGTGCAAAAGGCGGGTGGGTATGGTGGATGACAGAGCTGTGAATGTGTATTCCATTATGGTCTTTCAGGTGCCTTCAAAGTGCCAAAATTCATTTACAAGGGAGTAGAGCTGCCCTACTCCAACTGCATCCAGCGAAGTATCAACACCACTCGATACGCATACCCCTATCAATTGTTTAATATCCTGCTTACCATCAAGCCAAGCAGTGCAGTTCTGTTCGAAGCTGGTAAGTTATTTAGTGGCAAGTGGTCGTTAGTTAGAGGTTTGCACCGCACAACCATGTATGAATGTGAGGCCGCCTGTGCCTGGCAAAGTGGTCTGCAGTACCAGGCTGGTCGCTAGTCATGGTGGTCTGTAGTACCAGGCTGGTCGCTACTGAGCCATGGTGGTCTTTGGTTACAGTTTTTACTGTACTTACTGTAAGTATTTGATTGACATGGTCCATGAGAATGCCCGGGCGGTTTCTAAGAGGGATCCATACCCCCAACTACAGTCCTTACAGTCACATGAACTCTTTGCTCTTCGCAGATTTTACCGTCCTCTACTGTCTAGCATGACCAGACTAGTACAGTTTAGATTGGGCCTCACTTGAAGCCTCCCCAATCCGAAAAATGCTAATGAATGCTGGCTGTACCTGCAAATAATTTACTTTCTCGGAGATATAAAAAATATCAAGGAAAGAAAAAAAACAAGTTTCAAGCTCTTCACCGCCATCATCATCTACTGTGGAAGCCATTATTCTAACGAGGCGCATATACAAGTATAACGATTTCCCCAAATTAACTAGTTTACGTGTACCAAAGGCAACGACTCTCACTCATTCTCAACGCTCAATACGACAGTATATGTATCGATTTCTGTATCACGATTTTATTTTAACGACAGATTTCTCCTCGTTAACGCGTTAGAGTTAGCACTTCGTTATATGGCTTTTACAGTACTTGGCTATGCATGTACTTGTCCTGATCGTTTTTTATCAAGGATGTTGCAGGATATAGTTCGTCCTGCATTCCTGAAGTACTTTCTAATAAAAAAAACATTGCACTAAGCTCAGGCGTTCCAACGTGTCTGTTCTCGTTGACAGGATTGTTTGAACTGTTCGATGCGAACTTCCACACGGCGTTCACAGGGTCTTTCTCTGGCCTGTTTCCTGCGCTGGATCCACTGTTCTTCATGATACACAACTTCGTCAACAAGATAATTGCCAACTATCAGATGCAGGGCCCCAGCCATCTCACTGGCGGAGGCAGATGGACCAATCGTCAGGCCATTGCAAGTAAGATCACTGTGAACATCCTACCAGTGATAATGTCCTCTAGTCCCCGAGTTACTCCGCAGTGTCAGTGTCAGCCATTTTATTTTAGTCACTCCACGCATGTACGCTTTCTTAGGATACAGTCTTGTTTCATGATGCACACAGAATAGAGCCAGGGAAAATTCCACTGCCACATAAGGACCACGTATGGCATGCCGCTGCCCTCCAAAAAGCGAAGGGGGAACTTCAATAACTGTGATTTACGTTCAACTAATGGACATACTCTGTTGAAGTATATTAAGGACGTACTTCAGGGTTAGATTGTGTGATTGTTGAATTCTCTTCTATTAGTATCAACTCGTGAGTAGATACAGCACTGAGTTTAAGTGGAAATACCTCAATACAACGCTGTCACGCTCTACTCCAGCAGCTGGAGGCAATAAAAAAAAACTATTTTCAAGTTCAACACAATGAAAGACTGGGTTCCACCATTTGCTCCTTGAACAAGGACATCATCAAAAAAAAAGCATCCTCTGCGGAAACTGGCATAATTATGTGTTCGCCTGTAATGACTCTACCCCTCTTTAAAACACATACACATCGTACAATTTGATCCATAATTGTTACAGAGATTCTATAATTATGTCTTTTCAATTGCGCTGCCTCGATTATAGATTAGTCCATGGCAGGGGTGGGCCTAATAGGTTGTCAGTGTCCGACAGGTTAGCCTAAGGGTCGTACTATCCACATAGAAAACCTCTTCGAAGAAAGAGTCGCACTGTGTCAAAGGTGAAGTGACCCCATGCAGCAAAGTGATACATGGTTTCTATCATTCCGAGTCCCATCCGTATGCAGAGACATGCACAATGGATCCGTTTATTTGGAGCTTGTGATCCCGTGTGAAGACAGGCCTGGCGAAAAGTGGCAGTAAATACACACCTGCCCACCATACAAGCGCTCTAATCTGCCAGGCTGATAAGTGATAAGTGATGTACCAGCCCACTATGTCAGATACCACTAGCCATTCATCAACCTGGTGATGGTGGTGGTGGTGGTGGTGGTGGTGGTGGTGGTGGTGGTGGTGGTGGTGAGGAGAGCTCTATGCCAGATTGTAAATTTGCAGCTTAGGCCTCGGTCACACTACGGCAACGGTTTGAAGCTGGATGCAGCGTCAAACTCCAGCACTTGACGCTGACGTGGAGTCACACTGCATTTTTGCTTTTGCCATCGCGGCCTGACGCACTCCACAAAAAGGGCCACTGTGTGACGAACCAAATCCCTGTGATACTAGAGTGCTGTACAATACGCTATTTTTCAAAAGACACTGTTTTTCATGCGAGTGCATGCAGCGGCAACGCAGCCGATTTGCTCGCGTCAGACGCTGCTGCGTCTGACCCTCAAATTTCCCCGCGTTCTCGTCAGTTGCCATGGAAAAACTCATGATTCTGACGCTGACGCAGCATTTTTGCAGCAGTGTGACCGAGGCCTAAGAGAGTGTGTGTGTGTGTGTGTGCAGGCGTGATTTACCGCCATTTTGTCAGGCGTGTGTGTGCGTTTTCAATACCGTATGAGTCAGCCATAAATACACTGAGCTCCAGTAGAATTTTCAACTTCATCGTCCTATGTAAGTAACTCTATATGCTCTCATGGCAATGGTACTCTTGATGCCGGTCACTGCAGCTTTCCCATGGTTTGAAAGCAAGGATTTTGTGGACTGCCAGAACTTTCCCAATGACGTTTGTGTGCGTTGGGATGCCGCACTGGATCGCAATGAGGCCATCAAGATGAAGTACTATGCGGGCCTGGAGGTACCACGCCAAGACCACATGTTTGTACCATACGAGGTAAGATTTACTTCGAAGTACTGACCACGCACGCATCTCTGGGCTGCGTTGTAATACCAAATTCAACAAACATGGGTTTTTACTTTTATTAATAAAGAAGAAGAAGAAAGAGGAAAAATTCAGGCCATCAGCTATTATGCAAAGTGTCAAAGTGTAGATTGGCTTTGTTTTGTTTTACATTACGAAATAGTGCTAGCAACTTTAGTGATCCAGTAGAGGATGTGTGCGTTGTATTCTTTTTTTACATTTTGCATTAAAAACCATCACCGTTACCTGGTGGTCGCATAGAGCATAGAGCACGCAGGGTTATGAACCGGCTTTCCTCTCTACCCAGTGGAGATATTTGAGAAAGATACACTTTCCCAGTTTCCAATATGGGTAAACGTATCTTCCAGTTTTGTTTCACACCTACTTTCTAGCCGCATTGGTTGACACGCAGCCGCGCAACACTATTTCACATGGTGTGCTTATGCTGACAATACGATTGCTTGAAATGCAAACAGTCGACTGTGGCATGATTTTTCGTGACTGGTGTCGTACAGTTCCCTGAGAACTGGCAGCAGCTTGCACTAGTCTTGTTAGCAAAGCAGCTCTTTCCTGGATGATCCTGGCATACCAAGGTGACAGCTGGTGTTATTAGCCAAGAAGGTGATTTGCGACGACTGTGGGTGCAAATTGCAAAACAGAATTAGTTTTCTGAATAAAAACTCGGATGTTGAGCCAATAGTAATATGTAAAGAGATAAGGACCTATCAGTTACTAGTTATGAATAACAGTCCACCAAGTTCGAATTGAGTTATGGTTAGACTGGTTTGTCCAATGGTCTTACTAGTCTCGTCATCATCATCCCTTAACCCTTTACCGTTTTAGGTATTTGTACAGCAAAAACCGACCGTCATTGTTCATGCCGTAACTTTTTTATTTTTCACTTTTATTATGTACAAAATGGGGTGATTCTGAAAGTAAAAACCCTCAGGAATGCGATGCAACAACTTTCAAGTCTAGAAACCGAACAGAGATTTCACTATTTAGCACTAATAATTATTTGAATTCATTGCCGATCGGGCAAACTGTTGCAATATGCAATAAATCAGATCCTTGCACTGGAGTGGCTCCCTCAGGTAAGTGGATACCAGGTTCGTTCTCTGGGTGGAATGCAGGAGTGTTACCAGTCACAGCGGTGTCAGCATTGTCCCAAGTATTGCAAATATTGACTAGTGCAGGTTGCACCGCTGGCTGTACATAGTACCTGTGCACCACGACCTCTACCGTGACGACGGCCTATTCCACGGCCGAATCCTCTCTCTCTGCCACGTCCTCTTCCACCATTAGTGGCACTCATCTCAGCGACACTGTCGTCGTCTGTGACATCCATGTTACGCTCACTGGCGCTGCTTTCACTCGCCATGTCATCGCCGCGGTCGTCGTCAGAATAAATATTTTCAACAGGATTGTCTGGCTCCACAAACTCATCTTCGCTGGATGAGGCAGCGACAGAGTCGTCAGGAAGGGTCTCCAGAAGCGAAAGAGCTTGCTCCGCGTCCATGGCTTGCACAGCAGGGCAGACAGTCGTGAGGCCAGCTCAAGCAAAAGTCGAAATAATCTGCAGGCAATACCAAAAGTCGCAGGGTACGCACTTTTCCCAAAGCGCATTTTTCAAGTCGTGATTTTCGCGATTTTTTTATATTGCATCACACAAAAAAATTGTCGGCACCCTCTGCGCGTACATCTTGGCTACCAGTAGGGAAAATCCCAGCTCTCTGCGGTGAACCAGTCCAGCGCTGTGCGCATAGAAGTCATCGACCGCGAGCGGTCGAAATTTGTACGTACAAACGGTAAAGGGTTAAAACGTTCGACATTCTTTGTTGCCAAGGGACATAGCTCGTGCACATCTTCGTGGCGCATCCCTTCCCCTCATTGGAACTTTCCGCGCCTGAGCCTTCCAAGATGGAAGGTTGTTGGTTAGCGCTTCGTAGATGTGTTGGAGCTAGGTGTGTCAGGTCGTCGAATGTCTCAATATCCTTGTCAGTTTTGTGCCTTGTTGTCGCACTATCTGACTGTATATTATCTCGTTACCTTGGTTTGACTGTTGGTCATAACTAGTAACTTATTGGCCCTTTTCTCTTTACATAATTATTGTTCTTCCTTCCTTCAACTTTCCCTGCTGCCCAGGTCCTCCGGGAGGAATCTATTGATAGTTCAGAGCACCTTCTTCTCATGTTGAAATGGTTTCGAAGGAAGTACTCGACATTCAAATTTGACGAGCACGGCCTCAGTGCTGCACCGGGCTGGTACGTGATTCGGAATGACGTAGATTTGTGTTCACTTTAAAAGGTGTTATGGGGGAGGGGGTAGATTTGTGTGATATCAAGGATGTTCTTCACCATGCTTGCTGCAGTGTGAATCTCACATAGCACATGAGCTCAGTGCATTGGCCAAGTAGCTTCAGTGTCTGACTGGTTATATTTCACATGATACTTCCCCCCGGCCCCCCCCCCCCCCCCCTACCAATATTATAGTGTATTGTGAACGCAACGTTATAGAGTGGCGTTCACGTCTGCAACTATCACACTACCCTACGGGACAGCCGAGTGTTGATTCCTAATCCACTCAACCTCTGCATGTGTGTAGGGATGTCAGCGAACGCACTGCGCAGGCCTCTGCGCATGCATTGCGTCATCGATTTTTTGAACGTGATCGCGGCCGACAGAGAAAACATGGCAGCGGTCTGTTTGCACCGCTGGGAGTCTTAAAATTACTGTTCTTCTGTCCCCGCGACCATTCAAATCATACGCGATACTCGAGGACCCACGTACTCACCACGTTCTCCCCCGTCGATTTCTCTGAAAGTTTGCACATCGTGAAACACCAGTATGAGAGGTGTTCAGGCCAATTTTCAAGGAATTTCCCTGGTTGGATCGTTCCAAAATCGGACTTCCATTTCTCGCTCGCGGCCATTTCTTGCGCGATGGAAGCGCCCTGCCCTGGTGAGTAACCAGCATCGCGCTTGGTAGAGAGTTGCTGCAATCAGCTCCCTGATGTCTTCGCTGCCATTGTCAGAAGCGATGGACCATGAATTTGTTTGAGAGTCTCTGGATGCCACTATTCCTCAGCCTAGTTTTTAGCCATTCCGTGCATCTTCTTCGCACGATTTATTTTGCAAAAAAAACGAAAGCGTTCATGAGTTTTCTTGTCGGCCGCGCGTAGATGGGCCAGGCTGACCTGCGCAGATGGGCCGCGCAGTGCGTTCGCTGATATCCCTAATGTGTGGTTCACATGATGATGATGTCAGCCATGTTGGTTCCACTGGCCACATACATGTACCATGATCGCATTCTACGCAAACTTAATCACATGACGAAGACGTCCTCCCACTCATGGTCACACTACATGTACCAGCATCCATGCTTGAGCTGCTGCAGAATAATAAAAAAAGTCCGTGGCGGAGCACTTTAATATCAAACCAGTGAATTCCGTGTGTTCAGTATTATAATTATTTCGGCATCTCAGTCGAGGAGAAAGAAAGTACAGCTAAAAGAGATATGAACATGGGGACTGGATTCAACCGTCGCGTGGTCCGTGCTGATACCGTTTCATTTCCATTTGTCCTTTCTGCTCCACACAGGGAGAAGCATTTTGGGCGGTATGGTTTTTTCAATCAGAGAAACGCGACCGCACCAGAATGTAAACTGTATGAACGAATCGATGCCAGCTTTGTGCATACAAACAGCTCATTTGCGCTTGCTGAGTTAATTTAGGAGCTGCACATGATGATACATAATATGTAAAATATAATTTGGGTTCTTGGAGCTTTCTCTTGCTTTGTTGCTGTGACTGCTCTTATGGCGTTTTATGACTTCCTTACACACTGACTTACTTACATGTAGACGTTTTACTAGGTTTGCACTGCATGATTTCTCCCCGGGGAGTGCTGACCACTCGCTTGACCTTCCACAACACTTTTTTCAAGCATGTTCATCAGTACCATTGTACGGAAACTGTGACGCAAACAATCCCACCAGCACTTTCCAGTACAGTGATTGTACCTCTGTAGTAAGTATATGCACCAAGAAATCATACTCTATTGCTTGAAGTATTATTTTGTACACGAAAGAGATTGGAAGGTTGCTTGCAGTATTACAAATAGGGGTGAAACGGTTACCCTGGTTATCGGGTACCCTTTGGCAGCACTGTTGTTCTTGGTCTGCCTTCCTTCCCCGCAAGGCACCAGAAGCAGCAAAATCGAGAGCGACCTGTGGCGGCGCCCTGATGGCATTCGGAGCACATGCCCCAGGGAGATCCATCGCCTGGCTATCTCCTTGGAGATGGGGGTTGGGTGTGGCAGCGGTTGTAGAGTTACCCTATTTAATAATAATTTAAAAAATCCATGGAATCTGCTTGTTTAGTGTTCGCACACTCTTGGCTGCCACTTTTGTATTTTTCGTGCTGCTGTGCTGTCCGCGGCTGCACTAGCCGTATTAACTGCTGTACCTGTATGCACACATACAATCTCTGGCTACGCTTTGGAACTGTTGTCGCTGCCTATGTCCTCATCTCTCTTCGCTTTTGATATGTTTGCTTGCTTGTATTGCTGAGGGAACATAATAATTATGCTGTTTTTTATTCGTGGGTCCCCATGGTGCATGGACCACACGCACTCATCCGTCGGATATGTGTGAATAATAATAATAATAATAATAATAATAATAATACTTATTGCAGCCCAATAGTAACAGTCACTATACAATAGCCTTCCGCATTTCTTCCACATTTCGTGCCAGGACATGCGAAGTCATGCAATTCACAGACAGTACACTACATTGCGACAAGCGCAGCATGTGCACTTACTGCGCTACATGCAAAACAGTCCAAATTGTCATAATATTATGAAGCAGGATTGAACAACCAACAACACATTCAACCTGTACATCCAACTGTACGACTGTCCAAGCCAGCTACTACAGTCAGACCTCGCTTATCCGGTCCTCTTTTATCCGGATCCCTTGGCATCGGGAAGAAAATCGTTGGTTACCGATTTACAGCACATGCCATGCATACAGTATGCGTGTTCGATTATCCGGTTCCCTCGCCTATCCGGATATTTTTTTTTGTGGAAAACGGATGTGTGCGGTTATGCGAGGTCTGACTGTAATACCGTGCTGTACCGTCGGATTTGGACCAAATTACGAAGTTTGTTGCGAACTTACAAGTCGTACTGTGCGAATAGCCTATGTGATTATGGATTTATGGAAAGCACTGCGTAAAAAGTGCAGAAATTAACCTTAAAAAAGTGCAGAAAACAACAAAAACGCAGGAAATCGCGGATATTGCAGAAAATCGCTGGTTTGGACCAAAATCGCAAAATTTGTTGCATCCGTGGAATCGCGATTTCCTGGAGGGACATGCTAACGGGCACTTGTTTGCTAACGGATCAGCAGCTAAACAGACGGTTACCCGGACCACCCCTAATTAGAAATTAAATTACTTCGCTTACTTTCGTATTCGCACATTCTGCACACACTAGGGCACATTCTGTCATCCTCTTCCTTTGACCTAGCAACTGCATATCACGTTTCAATTATTCTGTATGCACTATGTACACAGAAAGGTTCCCGACTGTCCAATAGAGTGCTCAATGTCCAAGAGCAGAGCTACTTACAACAAGAGGAGAGAAAAAGTGTTGGGACTCTGAGTTTCACGTACACATACCGCAAAGTCTTGTATAAAAGCCACACTTGAATAGAAGCCGCCCTCGAATAGAAGCCGCAATTTTGGGCCCATCGAATCACACATAAGCCTGGTTTTAGTGTTGACATACATAGAAATACGTGTCTTGTATAGAAGCCTGTCTCAGATAGAAGCCTGCTAAATTTCACCAACAAAGTCATAGAAGCCGCGGCTTTTATACAAGACTTTACGGTATACGCAATCATCGAGTCACAGCACCTTTCCCCTCCCCTTCCTGTGCTACTACTCACTATCAAGAGGCCATAATAATTATATCATCGAATAACAACTACGGCATGTGTCCGTGTACCTGCAACCTACGGTGGAAAAATAAAAATGCAGTACACTATCGCGCGAATAGAACTGCTCTAGAAGCTGGATTTCAAGCACGAGTACACGCACACTGCTCGTTCCTCATCACACCATACGGCTGACAAAGCGAACACAAACAGCGAAGACACACGGAAATGTATCACAATACTATGTGTTCCCCGGCACACCACCAGTCATTGCTATGAGAAGAGCAGCCCATGCATGCCGTCTAAATCCGATAGCAGCGTTAGGAAGGAAGTGCTCTGAGTGAAGTGTTGCAATGTTGGACAATCCAAACATTACATTGTCGACACAAACGGCTCATCCGCATCAGTAGGCACGACAAGCAAGCATCATGACCAAGCATGGGCAAGCTGGAGAGGGGATAGCAGAAAGAGCCAGCATGAACCTGGCTACAACATTGGGCTATATTGGGGGGGGGGGGGGGGAGCAATCCTCAATGTTCACCAGAAGTAAGTTAGACGCACACTGTGCATGCACGCACAGTGCTTCAAAAGGCAGCAGCTGCCTGGGCTGCAGCGGGCTAATTCGAATATGTGCTACAGATCAGAATATCATGTAAAAAAAATGATAAAAAATAATAAACCTCTCAAGGTCATCGCAACATTTTTTTAGCATGTGTGATGACATCTGTAGAAACCATATCTATCGTATGCTGGGCCTTGGCAGAAATCAACAGGGCCCGAAAAGGATACAATAACTTACCAGGAATTGAACAGAGTCCGTCAAAGGCATAATTTCAAGCTCCAAGGCCAAATCCATGCAGTCTCTGACTTCAGTAACGGCACAGTGCATGGCATACTATGACGTCATGCGGCCACTGTACCATTCCGACTGCCTCTGGACACGCTAGCCTCTAAGACAACTCCACGGCAATGAACTAGCACATGATACCAAGATTTCGTCAACCCGGCATCATGAGGATATGGACTTGTAGGCACATGTCCATTATCTCAAGAATGTCGGCTATCGCTGGTAACCAGTGCCCGTGTAGAAATAGCACACTACGTGCACCTGATCTCGATTGCTAGATTGCAGAAACCAGCAGCACTGACTCGGTGACACTGTCCTGCAGTGGCAACAAATAGCTCATTGATCTTAGTGGCAAAAAGGCAGCCGTAATGTCAGCAGTCCAGACTGCTGTTGCGGAAGAATGGTCTTTCTTTCTAGCTGCTGACCAGTACAAACCGCCATGTGGTGCTCCTACGGCTCGAGGACAAAGCGAAGGCCCCGAAAGCTGCTCTCACTGAAACCACTTTGACTGCTGCTTCTCTATGCCTCCCTGAAGGTTCATGCGGTGCTTCTTGATACGTGCTTCCAAAGCAGCATCCTCCTGGTCGGGCTTGTGCCTCCGAGATGTCTGCAGCACAACAACAACAACAACAACAGTATCTCTTACTGGCCACTGGCTATCGTGAGAATAAAGATTTGAAACAGCGCAGCATAAACAAATACAATTAAGCCATAGTAAGCTTGGGAACAAGGCCGGAAGAGTAAATCAAATGTGCATACACAAAATGACGAGAACTGGTCTCGCAACTGCGGAAACTGTACCTTAGGTGCCTTCGCTGCCTTGGCTGTTGCACGATCGCCTGCTGCAGCACCGCCACCACGAGAAGCATGACCCTGTTTGCGTGCAGGCTGCTGCTGGGAAGTAGCCACACGGGCCTGTCCTCCTGCAGGAGCTGAGCAGAGATAACCAACATTAGAGTAGAACAAGTTGGCCACCAATCAGTCACGAACGCCATCATTTCCACCAGCAGACCAGCAGTACACCAGTATCACCAGCAGTACAGCCATGAAACGGGCCCTACAGACATCAGTGTATTGCTCACCAGTTTTTTACAAGCAGTGCGGAGCAGCGCAAGCACCACACTCCAGATAAACTGCACTCTCTCCCATTGCTCTGGAAGACCCAATGGGCTCTGAAGTTCAAGGGTGGCATGCAAGGCATGACGTAGGCAGTAACCAGACTTATTATGATATTGCTTCAAGTTCTAAGTCTTTCAGGTCCATTCAAAGATGCATATGTGTGCATGTGTTCGTGAGTAAATGAGTGTTCGTGCATGGGCGTATGAGCATATGCGTTCGTGTGTATGAGAGCATGCACATCGCAAGCTGTACCTGATGCCGATGCTTCAACCTTGGATTTCTTCTTGTTATTCCTGCCAAGAAGAAAAAGAAACACGTTCACGGGGATGAGCCTGTTGATCGGCTGTATTGACTGTTTCAACTTCAAGTGAGCGAGAGCGTTGTCACAGGGCAGGCCGTTTACAGGACATGTGATACAGTGCGGTATGGCAACACAATGCAACCTGCTCATAAAGGACTCACCGGCAACAAGTGAAATGAAACAACACGAAACTAACCTTGGCTTTCTCTTGCGTTCGCTTTTCTCCCCATCCTTATCTGCTGTGCCATCCTTCGGCTTCTCGAAAGGCTTTCTGGCGAAGGATTGAGGCTGTGAGGAGAATCTGCCTTGCTTCAATCCCCTCCTTCCTGCTCCTTTCTCGCCCTGGAACAGCATGCGCAATGTGAGACGAGTCACAAAAATACCAGTAGTGGGTTAACTTAAGTGCATCATCATGGCTGGGTGGAGAACATAGCAAACAAGAAAAGAAGTTCAAAACGGGTCCCGGTTTGTATAGAGTGATTTCACATCTTAGTCATGTGACTTTTAAATTTGTGTAGAAACTAGAAAGTGACCATGTCATGTGTGGCCAGTGGAACCAACATGGCCGATATCACGTGACCCATAGATGGAGGAGTGGAGTGGAGTGGAGTTGGAACCAACCAACATGGCCGATATCACGTGACCCATAGATGCAGGAGTGGAGTGGAGTTGGAACCAACCAACATGGCCGATATCACGTGACCCATAGATGCAGGAGTGGAGTGGAGTTTGAACCAACCAACATGGCCGATATCACGTGACCCATAGATGCAGGAGTGGAGTGGAGTTGGAACCAACCAACATGGCCCATATCACGTGAGCCATAGATGCAGGAGTGGAGTGGAATTGGAACCAACATGGCTGCCCTGTACGGTCATGTGATAGACGCGAAATCACTCTATTGTCAGCGACTTGCCAAGCATGTCATGTGTGATCAACTGTATGCAGTCAATACCTACTTGGCCTATGAGCACCATCAGCAAACACAACGGACAGTAGACTATGAAATAGGCTGGAGCAGGGCAAATAGTTCCCTGGAAGCACAACTAAGCTACTCGGTCGTACCATTGCTTTCTGCCGCCGCATCTCCTGTTTGTGTAACGCCCGTCTGTCCTCGATGGAGAACTCGACGATCAATCGCTGTGAAATAAATCACACACAAACAAGACCGATCAATACAACGTGGATACGCTCGCTCGACAGAAAGTTTGCACTACAATCTGCGAAATGTGAGAACAACAATGGACAAAAAAAGAACTCCGACGCATTCAACTGTAATCAGGACTTGTCGTTATGACAGTGACTACTGCTCACATAGCACGAGCTTGCTGATACGTATGTATACTTCAGTACATGTCTAAAACAAACCTATAGACAAGCACATGGTGGTCAGAGCACAGTCCAATGTATACACATCCTAGAGAACGGACAATTCTGCCGAGTATGCTCAGGTGCTCCAATAGAAGAATATCAATTGAGAAACGGCTCAGACTGAAAATGAATTCTCCTAAATCATTAGCATGGAGGCATCTGTATTTGAGATGGCCCACTACGGGTGGACCTAGTGTACAAGTCAAGTGGACAGATGATGCAAAGACAGATACTGAGATAGACAGACAGACACTGTAGTCACCTTATCCTTTCCGAATACGTCTGGGTTGTTGTTTGTTGCACGGAGAGCTTCCAGCGCGTCCTCGTGTCGGGCAAACTCTACAAAGCCAAAGCCACGCGGCCGTGCCACTCCTTGGGCATTGACATTCGCAAGATCCCTCATTATACGTGCCTGTCAACGGACAAACGACCACGGAGAACAAACAATAAACATTGGATATAGTTGCCTGGTGATGGTGACTTAGCGTAAAACTCAGCCCCCCCCCCCCCCCCCCCCTCTCTCTCTATTCTGTAGAACAGTGAATAAAGTAAGGTGATGGTATGCCAGATTGCTGAGCACAGCATTTCGAGTAACATGCACAGCATAGTACACAGTGAAGGTTTTAGGAACCGAGAACCACAGAGAGCAGAAAGAGAAGATCAGAGTGAGACAGCTCGACAAGAAGTTCGCGGTGACTGCCAGAACGTAGGGCACTCATACCTTCTTCACTAGAAAAGGCTTGGGACCCTTGCCCATGCACGTAGAAAACACTTTCCCGAGTTCATCGTCCGACACGGCACGCGGAATATTGCGAACACAAAGTCTGCATGAAACAACACACACGAGCGAACGAGAGAACAAGGATAAAAGCTCCACAATTTCTTCCCAGCAAACAACAACAACAAGCATGTGCCTTATAGTGGCATTCACACTGCACCAAACAGACACTTAGCTAGACCAGTACTGCACCAAACAGACACTTGGCTAGACCAGTACTGCACCAAATAGACACTTGGCTAGACCAGTTCTACTGTATTTCGAAACACATCCCCACTTACCTTGTCGGAGAGACGAAGAAGTTGGGATTTTCCAATTTCACCTTCTTCTCCATTTCGGCCTGCCAACAGAGCAGAAAGAGTCCAGAACAAGGTAACAAGTAATCAGGCAATATAGCAAGATGATACCGCCAGAAGAAAAGTAAGTGCATCTAGTTCACTATGAAGCCGAGACCTGAGGTCGGCCGAGTGCACTAGGTCTCGCCATCCTTTTTCTCCTCAATTCTAACCAGACTGGACCCCATGGGCACTTGCATAAAATAAAATTAAAATAAGAAAAGTAAGTTATGCAGCCCCTACTGGTGGTGGTGGTGATGGGGACATACTGGCCAGCCCAACGGAACCGTTAGAAACCGAGGCACCTGCACTAAGACGACATGAGCAACAACACGACTTGAGCTTCTCCTAGTCCCCACAGTTTTCCGAGACATGCAACACATTATGCCAGAAAAACAATTTTCTTATTTAAAAAAAAATTAACCACAGGGGTGGGCACCTTGGTTCTGTGAGCAACCTTGGTGGGTCGATGGTCCACATGTCAAGTCTGCACCCATACACACCATACCCCACCATCGTTAAGGACGGATACAGGAAATAACACCAATCAAGGGATATTGAAGCGTCATTGCAGAAGCAAGACGTACAGCAAGATCTACTGTTTACGCTCATAATGTGCAGTCTGGCCAAACCCTACCTTTCGTCTTTTTGCAAGATCAGGTTTGCTCAAGTCCTTTGCCGCATCTGAGTTCGGGAAGATGACTGAAAAACACACAAGCATGCAAGAAGCACATACAAGAGGAAGCTGTGCTTACATCTCAGAGAGAAGAGACACCGTGCATTTACATTCCGCAATTTCCACGATTATTAGTCGCACCTTTTCGCACTAAATGTCAACACTGAAAAAAGGGTTTTAAAAAACGGTGCAACTTACAATCGAGCATGACCTACTACTTCCGTGGGTAGATTGAAACAATTTGACGGAGACCTGGAAACGGGGGTGCAACTTACAATCCACTCTGACTTACAATCAGGGGAATGATACATAGGTTACAGGTAGAAGAACACTAAATCGTAGCTGCTGCGAATACCGTGGCATGACACCACCATCCCCTTGAAACGGCAGCGCAAACGAAGCACCCCAAATCATGCTCACCTCCCTCCCGAGCCAGGTAAATGTTCCGAGAATCAGCCTTCTCCTTTCTCTCCTCCGCCGGATCTTTCCGCTCGAACCTTGGCACACCACCGAAAAACAGAAGAAGAAGAAGAAAAAAAAAACCCGATAAGGTCATCGAGTCGAGACATGATTGAAACAAGTCAACCAAATATAAAATTGGTAACATATGACCCTCAGTAATGTCGAATAAAGATTCCACTTTAGTACAGTATAGTACCAAAACATGTACTAAAATACACACGGGAAAAGCTATATAAATTTTAAAAGAAAACTAAACGGACGGCATAAACAGAGAGAAAGAGTGACACGGGAGGAGTGAGGAGATCAGCAGCATTGATCCTCTATGGATAACTTGACTATAATAACAGTACAGCCGTCCATCTCTAATCCGCCACTTGTTTATCAGGAACACTTGTTTACCCGGAACCCTTGCGAACCGATGCACTTTCTGACATTACGGGGTTTTTTCGTTCACTTCCTACACCTTAATCCGGCACTTGAATGATTTGTGTAGAGAGGACAGAGTCCATTTGCAACACATTGACAGCAAAAAAGATTGCGGACCGAAAGCCACACCAGCGCGAATCGTTCACCCAAAATCTATGTTGTACAAGAGAGCGAACATATCAAGCTTTGTTCTGAGGCCAGAGTACACAACTATGTTGTCAAGACAGCATATTCCCCAGGTTCCCACACTGGAAAGAGGATTGCTGTGCAGGTACTGCAGTCGTTGGAGGTGGCCGACATCCCTGGCTTGAAAGTCCAGTGTACAGTTCACGACGAGGCAGCTAACATGATGTTGGCCGGCCGCATTCTTGGCAAGGACAATAGCCGGCAGAGTGAGCGGTGTGCTGCTCACAAGCTGCAAACATGCATTCGCCATGGAATAGGTGGAAGAGTGGACCAACCTTTGTCACGGCGTGTAGATGTGTATGCACACAATACTTCACAGTACGTGTAATGCCGACATGCCGTGCCTTCCGGGTGCACATGCACACGCTGCACGCGGCAAGTTGGCAACCATGTACGGACCATGACCATGCCGGACCACATGAACACAGAAAGAAAATGTCTCATTTCTCGTTGGCCGACATAGGAAAAAAGAAACGAGAAATGTAGTTCTTTTTTGTCTTTCTTTTCGCATGACGTAACATTTGCTGCTCGCAAATGCGAGATAGTAGGAGCATGCACTCTGGCTGCGGCATTTTTTCTTCTTGCTTTGCAAGTGTAGGGTATCCTTTCCGTCCAAAACTGTAATCGTTTTCAACTTTCAAGTTCCTTTTCATGAACCATGCCTCCCCGTAGAAGGACCCGTCGTGCTGCGAGCGCAGAGCCCGCACGATTGCAGGACGAGGTACATGTGGCTGCGGTGCGCCTGGAGGAGCAGGCCACCCGCATTAGGCTGCTCGAGGCCCAAATCGAGCTGGAAGGGCCAGGGCGACCCCGGATTCGCCACGCGGCATAGGCCGCAAACGGAGACGCTCTCCGTCATTGTTGTCGTCATCGTCCCCGTCATCATCGAGTAGTAGTTCATCAAGTTCACCAAGCCCCAAGAGATCGTGAGACAAAGAATTAAAGAAATCTAAAATTCCAAGAAGGCTTGCCGTCACCAACATCACTCTCGTGCTCGTACCACCTCAACGGGCCCCAGCAAGTGGAGGAATGTGGCATATGAACATCAACACGTTGTAAACGCCCGGCTCCAGGAGCGCCTGGACAAGGTGCGGACGGCACTGAGGTCGGACCGGCTGAAAAGCGCTACAAAGCACCTGAGAAAAGGTGAGACTATTCTGGACGACAGACAGGAGTGGCTCGCTGTCGCCGATGCCCACGGGGTAGACGTGGCGAATAAGTTTGTGGAAGGGGGGGGGGGGGGATCCTCAGCATCTTATCCTGAATGTGAAGGGTGCTGGTACGAAGATCGTCCGCAGAACGTCACAGAAGAGCAAGCTGCAGAAAGATAAGTGTAACCAAGAGCAGGTTCAGGAATTTCTTGTTCAGCATTTCGACATCCCTTTGTGCAAAGAGGTTGGTCTTGCAGTGAGTACTACTGAACATGCAAGTGCAGGGCACACAGACCAAAGCACCTTTGAAGAGAATGTGGAGAACGTTTTAGCCAAGGAGGCATGTGATTTAGAACACAAATTGAAAACAGTGCAAGAGAGTAATGTACAATTGCAGGAATCAGTGCAGTCGTTGTACAGCCGTCTTCGGAATTTGCGGAAAGTTGTTGGTAGGCGTACAAAACATTGATGAAATGGTAGAGCACGAGGCAACGCTGCTGGAAACAATTGAACAGCTTGATTAGGAAATGGAGAGTATGGCTTCGGAACTGGAACAAAAATCCGTGAAAGCCGAAGAAACTCAACGAAAATTGAAGAACGAACATGACTCTGAACATCAACACGTTGTAAATGCCCGGCTTCAGGAGCGCCTGGACAAGGTGTGGACGGCACTGAGGTCGGACCGGCTGAAAAGCGCTACAAAGCACCTGAGAAAAGGTGAGACTATTCTGGACGACAGACAGGAGTGGCTCGCTGTCGCCGATGCCCACGGGGTAGACGTGGCGAATAAGTTTGTGGAAGGGGGGGGGGGGATCCTCAGCATCTTATCCTGAATGTGAAGGGTGCTGGTGCGAAGATCGTCCGCAGAAAGTCACAGAAGAGCAAGCTGCAGAAAGATAAGTGTAACCAAGAGCAGGTTCAGGAATTTCTTGTTCAGCATTTCGACATCCCTTTGTGCAAAGAGGTTGGTCTTGCAGTGAGTACTACTGAACATGCAAGTGCAGGGCACACAGACCAAAGCACCTTTGAAGAGAATGTGGAGAACGTTTTAGCCAAGGAGGCATGTGATTTAGAACACAAATTGAAAACAGCGCAAGAGAGTAATGTACAATTGCAGGAATCAGTGCAGTCGTTGTACAGCCGTCTTCGGAATTTGCGGAAAGTTGTTGGTAGGCGTACAAAACATTGATGAAATGGTAGAGCACGAGGCAACACTGCTGGAAACAATTGAACAGCTTGATTAGGAAATGGAGAGTATGGCTTCGGAACTGGAACAAAAATCCGTGAAAGCCGAAGAAACTCAACGAAAATTGAAGAACGAACATGACTCTGAACATCAACACGTTATAAATGCCCGGCTCCAGGAGCGCCTGGACAAGGTGTGGACGGCACTGAGGTCGGACCGGCTGAAAAGCGCTACAAAGCACCTGAGAAAAGGTGAGACTATTCTGTAGGCCTACTATTCTGGACGACAGACAGGAGTGGCTCGCTGTCGCCGATGCCCACAGGGTAGATGTGGTGAATAAGTTTGTGGAAGGGGGGGGGGGGGGGGATCCTCAGCATCGTATCCTCCACCGAAAAAAGTAAGAGGCTAAGCACAGCAGTTCAGTCTGCAGCCAGCTTAGTCTGTGGCCATGCAGCGGCCCTTTCGGGGGGAGAGGGGGGGGGGGGGTCATCCCATCCAGGTTCGGCAGGGATGGGGTGGTCATCCCCAAAGCAGCCGCACGAGGGGCTGAGCAGCCACCACAGGAACAGTCATCCTCTGGTCCCAGCGAAGCACCAAGGATGCAACCGGGGAGAAACCCCATCCACCCTGGCACCAAAAGTCTGTTTCCGCTGTGGCGAGCCTGGACATTTCATCAATTTCTGCCAGAAGCCAGCCACTCAGAAATAGCTCTGAGGGCTGTGCAGACGGACTCCCCGCTTGTTTGGAGACTTATCGCTTAATATCACCATAGACATTACTACTGCAGTGTAACATGCATGTTTCAATTCCGGCATCTAACTGTAATATCCGATAAATCACTACATCCGATATAATAATATCGGATATTCGGTATTATACCCAGGGTGATATTCATTCATATGCTTTCCATGCATCCATGCACCGCCCTGCAGTCGACAACTAGGGTGGCGATCGTGCCAATAAACAAATATGTGAACACCCCCTCCCCATATTCCCTTCGGCTTGAGGTGCTCTGTCACTTGTGTGTACGATAGTTCTATTCGAATGAATACTGGGCACTCTATTGAGCCAGAGGACTCTCATTTGTTATACTTGACATACGATATTTTGTTCCAATATCACTTTAATAAGCCGATCATGCCTTACAGCTGGTCATTCTGTAGCCGACGCAGACTGTACTGTGCTGGGCATGTGGGTTCATACACTACCATTGCACAGTGCTCCAAAAGAAGAGAAAACTCCACAACGCCAATCACTACTACCATTATACTACTTACTGAGATGTGTTGTCCCGTGTCACTGCAACGGTCACGTTGAGCTCACGGCCATCCACAGTTATACTCTGCATACAACCACACAATGACACACAGGGTAACTTATAGCAACAATCAGCAACATGTTAAACACACATACACGCACGTACACGCACACATACACACCCACACACCCACACATGGGGACGCATGCATGCACGCACGCCAGAAGGTGGTGATAATCTGCACACATGCACACAACAAACATCAACATTGCCCCCCCCCCCCCCTATTTCTGGAAATCCCATACATGTGATGCTGCCCAACCTTGTACAGGCAAACAATGTACTGTCATTCATGATAGAAACTGACCAAAGTGTTGCAAAACACAGCAGTTGCTATTGCCATACCAAACCCTGCCAGTGGGTGGCTCATAACCCCGTCAGGCATGCAGTACTGCGCACACTTCTCCTTACCTCATGATTATTCACGGCTTCCATGCAGGCGTCAGCGCCTTCCTTGGTCTTGAACTGCACAAACGCCATACCTACACGCACATGCAAACACATACATAAACAGCAACAGTGAGGATCTGACACATCTGTAGTCTTGACACGGTGCGGAGGTCGAATGCCGGTACATGCACCAATGACTATAAGAGCAGCCTGCTGACCGGTAGGTGCCGCAAGGATGAGGACGACAACGACGGTGACTGAAAAAGCACCCTAACAACCGAAGAGCACTAGCAGCAGCAGCAGCGGCACCACCACCACCACCACCACCACCACTACCACCACTACCACCACCAGCAGCAGCACCACCAGCAGCACCACCACCACCAGCAGCACCACCAGCAGCAGCACCATCACCACCAGCAGCAGCACCACCACCACCAGCACCACCACCACCAGCAGCAGCACCACCAGCAGCAGCACCGCCAGCAGCAGCACTGCCAGCAGCAGCATCAGCAGCAGCAGCAGCCCCAGCAGCACCAGCAGCAGCACCAGCAGCAGCAGCACCTGCAGCAGCACCAGCAAGCAAGCACGACATGCGCACCATTCGGAGTTGGCTCACCTCGTGATTCCTCCGTTTCCCGGTCCGTCAGGATCCTAGCGTACTTGACCTCGCCAAATTGAGCAAAACCCTTCTTCACATTGTCGGGCTCGGAGGAAAACGCCACATTGCTGAGTGAATGACATCCATGTGAACCAGGGCACAGCATAGTACAGAAGAAGAAGAGGAAGTACAGTCAAACCTCTTTAGGACGAACACCAAGGGACCGATGGTATTTGTTCGTAATAACGGAAGTTCTTCTTTTCCATATGTTATACCCAGTGAATACACAGTGATTTATCCAATAGAGCTCTGAACACTAGTTCTCCTAAAGCGAAAGTTTGTCTTATCAGTGTTCTTCTCAACGAGGTTTCACTGTAGTTATGTTACACTGGACCTCACAAGGAAGAGGAGGAGTACAAGTAACAAACCGCCGAATGACACTCAGAAGAATAGTAAGAACATGTTTATAGCCTCCTCACCTGTTAAAGGAGTATCTATTCAAGCTACCCCCCCCCCCCCCCCGCACACACACACACAGAAAGAGGGCCCCAGCTGCGGCCCTGAATGACACACGGGAAATATGCTTCTGACACCACTGTGCAAATATTGAGTCACACAGAAAGGGAAGCAGTTGCTGATGAGCTTGCTGGCACACTGGCTTACCGAACAAAAAGCGTCCGCCCTTCGGTAGCATCATTCTCCCACTTCTGCTTCGGACGGTTGTCCTGCTTGCGTTTCTTTCTCTTTTTGCCTATTTCTTCATCTTCATCACTTTCATCATCGCTTTCGTCGTCGTCGTCGTCCTCATCATCATCATCGTCCTCATCGTCATCGTCCTCATCATCGTCCTCATCATCATCCTCATCATCGTCCTCATCGTCATCATCATCGTCATCATCGTCCTCGTCATCTTCGCCATCTGCAATACAGAACACGCATCCACAAAATTCAACGATCCTCTCACCGGGCAACGCAGATATCACACGGCCGTTGTCTTGCACTTAACCCTTTGTGTACGGACTGTACAACTTTCGATCCCCTGGGATCGAAACTTTTCAAATTTTCAATCGATCGTAACTCAGTCATTTCTGGGTTATTTCTAAAACCTAAATTATGTAGGTCGAAGAGAAAACTCCCAGCTGTCCATTGAAACAATCGCAGAAACACTCAGATGTGCGGTTCCAGAGTTACGAAGCTCGAAAGTCAAATCGCGGCAATTGTCGCTCAATAGCCGCGTGCGCAGATTTGAATAAGGGATTTTCCCATCTTTCTGGGCATCCAGTGACGTAGAAACACATTCAAAATGGCAAACGGACTCGTGGCAGATTGTGACATTTTTTTGGAAGTAAAAATTAGTTGTGGCAAGCAAGGAGAGCGAAATGGCTGATACAAGACGACTTCTGTCGGAATATTGCCGTTGCAACTAAGACGCTGGGCTGTAGCGCTGGAGTTATGACCTTCGTGGTGGCAAGTGTGGGCTCAATGTGTTCCTCTTGCGACGAGCTTTCCAGGAAGCTCAAGATTGAAAAAATCGTCAAAAGGAGACCAAAGTTATGACCCGGAGAATTATGGAATTTGAGGCGAGTCGAGATCAAATTCAGTCTGCGTACATTTTTTTCAGTACATAAAGGGTTAACCATCATCAAACTCAGTCCATCATGTCCACAGGACAACAGACATATCCTTGGAACACATGCTATAGTGCATTCCAAAATTCCCGACCTGTGGTTTAAAAAAAACGTTAGGCCAGCATCTATACCACATAAAATGTGTGATCACTTTGTGCATAAAATTCCGAAATTGGGCGTTTGTTATCCAATCGCTTAGAAATGTATATGAGAAAAAATGCGGGAGCTGCCTGAGCAATATCCCGAAGAAATTTCTCAGAAAGCTGAAACCAAATTTGAATTATTCAAAAAAGTTACCCAGTAACCCATTTTTCCATTTTCAAAATAATTGTCTTGCAATGCGAAATGCAACGTACGGGGCGAACACCTGAGTTCACCCCAGACCTTTATGAACCCTCTAGTACCGTATTTCCTTGAACAGCCGCCGCGGCCTGTATTCAAAACTAGCAAAACGGGTGCGGCCCTGAAAAATAGTTGTACGTCACAATGTACATGTAAGTGCTGTATGCGTAGAGTTCACGTACGATATGCACTGTTGAACCTTTGTTGTCCAGCTACACTGTAGGCTAGTGCATCTTCATTTCTTTTCCTGTTGCACTGGAAAGAATATCATGGCGAGGGAGCTTGAGGCTCGACTAGCAAGTTAGTTGCATGTTCAGCAGCAGCAGTCCCTCATGCTGACGAGGATGATGTAGAAGAGCTTCAAGAAGACGTCGACGCTGAAAATTTTGGATGGAATAATAAAAAAAGGACGCGCAAGTTTCTTCTCTCCCGTTTGATTTTTCTTTCTGCGTTCGTTTCTTTCACAGCGTCAGTGTCCACTTTCTCCTAGACAAGTTCTCCTATCTGAGTGCTTGGTTTTGTAGATTTAACAATCCTCCGTGCGTCTTACGTTTCATCCGTTTACTTTGTTCGCGTACCATTTTCTTTTTTGGTGGTCGATAAAATAACTAGTCTTGCTTTTCGTTATGTTGTAAGAGGTCATCATCATGGCGTATTCGATATGTTCCCTTCTTTAGATCGCCTTACAGTCCTTTGTCCGAACCGAGAGCAGCACTAGCTGCATGTGAAGGAGTACGACGTCGTAGCTGAAGGTCATCTCGTAGCTGTGAAATGGCGTATAAAGTTTGAACTGCTCTGCACTTGTATACGAATAACCCTCAGTTCAAAGAAACTGGCGGCGCTTATTCAAGGGCGGCTGGTAATCAAGGGGTGTTCAAGGAAATACGGTACTGATTTTCAAGTGCATTTTCGTTGAATGGCATGAAAAAACACAAAAATCGGAAAATGAGTGAGGGGAGGGGGGGGGGGGGGTCGTGCAAACAGAGTAGGGGTCGCTGCCCGCCCCCCCCCCCCTGGCTTGAACCCTGGTAGTAGTAGGTCCTTTGAATCTAATATGAATCCATTTTAATTGATTTATGCCACAACAGACTACAACTCACCATCCATAGCCTCCTCTTCCTCATCGCTGTTTGCCTCATCTTCAGGTTCGTCATCATCATCAGCCTTCTCTACAAAGCAAAACAAAGGAAGAAAACCCCATCTACATTGAGGATATACTCAAGGCATAACCTCAACATGAGCAGACAACAGATGCATTATTGTAGAGCATTGTACAAACAACAACAAGGGTCTCTGTTATGAGTGGCGAATTTATCAGAGGCAGTAAAGGGAGTAGAGAAGGAGTAAGGAAGATAGATAGGCAAGATGGATGCTCTACTGCCCGAAGAATGCTCAATGTACATGTTACGCAGAGCTTTCCACTCAGTGGAGAACTAGGAAATTGTGTTGCGAGTCTTGCGACTCAAGAGTATCAGGTTAAATCATGATCACCATGCAACTGGCGGCGCAACACAGGCAGCCTGAATAGAAGGGGCAGGAAGGCGAGGAGGGGAGAGTAATAGCACAACCTGTTCATGTTATCAACGTGCTTTTTACGACCTAAGCCCGCCAGCGCTGAATTTCTTCTGATGCACTGTTTGTATCACCTTGTGCCAGAACTGCTGCCCTGTGGGTCCCAGTCCACAGACTTACCGCATGAACATAAAGTTTGCGCAATTGCTTTACCCTCCTCGCTTTGCTCCCCCTAATGTTAGCGCTGCCTATTTTGCACCATCAGCTGCCTGATGATCATGATTTAACGCGGAATTCTGAGTCACAACAGAGCTCCCTCTCTCAACTGTGCACAAAGATTGGTACGTAGATAGATAGATAGACAGATATAGTGTTTGTGTGTGTGAAATAGAGAAAAAGAGAGAGAATGGCAAGAAATACAAGTTGAAGTATAGTGCGTGCACTGCGCCTACTTTGCTTCGGATTAGATTCCAGGAACTTCTCCTTCTGGAGGACAGTGTCAATGGAAACAGGTCGACCTGAGAAAGAAATGGGCAGAGAAAACACCGATACTATTCTCCATGTACAAGTACAATGTAGTTAAACTTGAAATACTGGCCAATGGGTTCAGAATGCAACTCAGAAAGGTACAAGTTGACAATGGTGGGAAGTTTGGTTCGGTTGTTACTAGTACTCAGAGTTTCACGGCACGCGGCCAGCCATCAGACAACGCTCCAACTCAGTAAGGTCGACGGAATATGCGTGCGGATCACCAGAGATCACCAGAGATCACCAGTGTAACAATGGGTTGGATGGAAGTATTGATAGGTGGGCTACCTATACCATACGGTCACAGTGCAGTGCACCGCTCTGTTATTGCTAGAAGTGTTCATGCCTGGACGTGTGAGATTTTCAATGTGCAAGATGCCAGTGGAACTGCTTTTCAAGTGGTTTGTATTATTTATTTGTTGTATGCACAGCGGCTGTAGGGAAACATTGGTGACGAGCAGTATGCTACAACATGGATCCATGGACCAACTAACCCTTGATAGGCTTTCCCGTGAGCGCCTTCATTGCCTTTGCGCTATCGAAGACATTGGTGAACTGCACGAACCCACAGCCAATACGACGGTCCGTGCCTGGAAAAGATCACAAGCACACATGTCAATAAAATGTGCACGCACTCATGAACATTGCCATGTGAAGAAAATGCTGCAGGCTCTACCATAACATCTAAGCCGTGAAGTTTCAGGTTTGCACATGCATCGTTCAGGCTGGCTAGAGCCTGGCTGAAGTTATATCCACTATCGAAAGAGTTTCCGTGAGGATGTGCTCAACAATTCCGTACCAGTAAAGGGAGCAGCTCTACCAGGCCATTCCTTATGTTTGACCTATAATTAAAACACTTACTCGAAGTACTATCAGACTCTATCAAGCCCTGTCAAGCTCTACTAGCTCTACGAATGGCGGGGTTACACAAGCCTGAAAAATTCGAAAAACCAAACGAGCCCGTGGAAAAATCCTCGCAAACAGTTTTAGCACATACAGCACACAAGTCGGTAATCACCTGGCTTTAGCGGAATATTGACTTCCACGACTTCGCCATAGGGGGAAAAGGTAGCCTTCAGTTCATCTTCTGAACACTAAACGAGTATCACAACAAGAAACCAGAGCACAACAAACACAAGAACATGGATCTTTTTTATCATCCAATGCCGTAGACAGCAAGCTGTTTCAGCCATCTAGCTATGATCATGATGAGCTTCAGGTCACAACCAACCCACTCAGAGCCAAATATATTTCAGCGCAAAAGAACCGGGGGACAGCCGCAGAAAAGCGGCCCAGGATTCACTTCTTCAGTCCACATTTCCACATCTGCCACCAACACTCAACACACCATGCACATCTAGCTGACTAGTGTCCAGCAAGTACAAGATGATGGGGCATACAAGTCCAGCACATTTCCTCACGGCCTCACAGCAGACAGGCTTACCTTGAAACTGAGATTGCGAATAATGAGCCTCGACTTCTTCAAGGCCCGCTGCTTGGACTTGTCTGCACAGATGAATGTACAAAGCAGATCATTATACAATGTCATTGCGCGTTGCCAGCGGTACATTAGGGAGTTGGTACAAAAACCATGGTGAGGTCTTAGGGAGGTGCAATAGTACAATGCTGTGGCAGAGCTACATGTACTCTCCCCATCTTTGCAAGGATGCGCTCACATACCAGGTAAATCTGAAGGTACAGGTGCTTTGGAAAAGTGGGGCACGTTGCTAAATTTTCTTTTGCCGCGGTAAAGAACTCCTTTCTCGGAGGCAAAGAGGGTCAGAAACGGGAAATGAATTCAAGCTGTAAATTTTTGAAGTTAGGCCATCCAGAATTAATTCGTTGTTTCGGGTCACCCGACCGACTGTCTTTTTTCACCCGACCGCAAAATGTTTTTTTTTATAGTGCATGCAAATGTACAGACAACACTATGTACACACGCGACCCTAATAATAGCAGTCCAGATATCGACCTCAGAAGCAGCCATGGCTAGCCAAATGACAGGATGCAGCGCTTGGTGACGACGTTGTCTTCTATCTCCGATCCGCAATCGGTCCTGAAACAGCATCAGCTCCGCCACCTTGTCGCTATTTACAGAAGTTTTCAAGATGAGAGCTGCTCGTCAGACTCGTTTGCCAGCGAGGCCAAGATCTGGTCCCGGAGGGGGCCTGGATCTGATGGGACAATGACTGCGCTGGATTGTCTACACTACAGTCAGATTTGATAGACTGGCTAGATGGACAAAAGCTATTCGATGTACATGTATGCACATGGACGTAAACCAAAATTAAATTAAATAAAAAATAAACCCGACCGACCGACCCTGGTACAGATGAGTGAAGTGACCCGAAACAACGAATTAATTATAGGTGGCCTTAGCATTACCAAACACTGCATCTCAGCCCTTTATCGGTGCATCTTGACTCACAGAGAAAGCTGTGTCAGAGAGCTTCCTCAAACTGACCCCTTTTTTTAAGAAGGCTTTCCATTTGAACATGCGCATGCTTTTCCTGTCAAATATGCCCTTTACTTTCCTGCACCCACTACACTACATGCCATGTGAGTGCACCCTAACTGGTACACGGTCAGTGGTGCAAAGCAGTCCAAGGACGGAATCCATCTCTGCCTGGCAAGCTACCTGCATTCCGATGAATGTACATGTGAACCAGTGATGTATGTACATGTGAACCAGTGATGTGTGTACACGTCAACCAGGGAGTGGTAGCATCTAGGGAGACTACACGGTCAACTGAAACACACAGCAATGTGGGCTTTGCTCCTGGGCGACCCGTTTCCAGTCAGCTGCCCTTGGGGCAAGGCCAATGTAAGCGCGCTCGCATATGGCACTGCTGGTCGGGGCTTCCAGCCTCACAGGTGTTCATTAGGAGAGGCTGTCTGGCTATGCCAAACGTTCACCCACAGCCAATAACAGCATATTATTAAATAGTACTCGCTTGCCATTACATGGAGTTTGGTTTTTAATTTCTATATCGCTGACTAGTTATGGAAACTATTATACTACTTCCATTCCACTTTCCTGTGCTGTCCACTAAGTACTCATCTATGAAAACGATCTAACAACTTTGGAGGAAGACACATTGGGACAAATGCTCCCCTTTCGTATACACAATTACTACAAGCGAAATTCTCGCTGAAGACAATCGTTCGATAAGTTCACTGTCCAAGAAACGGACCCGCGCGGCAGTAAGCTACGCATACAGGTACAAATCATGGCACACATGGGCATTATAGTTATGCAACGGAAGGATAGCATGTAACATCAGGAGAGTAACTGTTAGCATGAAACGTGGAAGAATGTGCAAGGGGAAGCAGAAAATTCCACCCAATAGTACGCACCTGATGTGGGTTCGAGCCGGCCTTTCGCCATCGTTATCCAATCCTCCCTCGGATATCACCAACTCACAATGCTCCAGCCTTTGGAAGGCTGATATTTGACTATGAACACTTCGTCACCTGCACTGCAAAAACTGTGCTACAAACTACTTGCTTCAGGCCCAAACTCAAACTGACTTCAAATGTTTAGAAATCGTGTTGAGGCTGAGCCATGGCAAAAAAATTATTGAACTCAGATCAAACTCTGCTCTTTGTTGACGCCATTTTCGTTTCCCCTGGAGACCTGCATGTATCTGACGTCGAAGTCGAACCCCTGCTTTGCACGTGCACGGCATGCGACCGTTCGACGAAAGCCTGTGTACGTGTATGCCACAGTATGGAAGGAGCTTTAGGGCGAAATATCAAGAGTACATTCTTATCAAGAGTACTATAGTCTAGTATAACTCCCTGGGGGGGGGGGGGGGGGGGGGGGTATATACTCTTGTTATTATTATTATTATGGGGGTTATGTACTATGTACGGTTATGTACTCTTGGAAATATGTATGGCATCATTGGCATTATGGTGGCGTGGGCGCGCACGGCGTGTGCTTGTGTGTGTATGAGTACGGGTGCACAAAACAGACGGAATACACAACATAGCACAGTGACTGCACAAGTATGCACTGTCCACCCTGAGCCTTGCATTGCTCAATGTGTAGAAATACACAGGCGTCACAGGCACACGAGTTTCACGACCATCAGGCATCGCCTAAAGATCGGCTTATTGTGAAACTCAGAGTTACGAATAAAACTGTTCGCCGTCCACTGTGTAACACAATTGCTGTCTGATTTCAAAGTAAGAAATCTTGGAGAGTAAAAGCCGGAGAGAAGAAGTACATTATGATAACCATGTACTCTTGCCGGTAGTGGTAGATTATTCCCACATAATTACGCTCTCTCACAGTTTACCAGAGCTGTGCTTCCAAGTACTAGTATCAAAATTGGTGATCAGAAGAAAGATAGTAGAAAACTAGACCGAGCAAAACACAAGTACCAGCTTGCTCTTGCTCGACGGCGACAACAGAGGGGGGGGGGGGGATGTTAATCATGCTATGCATAAATGAAACCGCGGTCGGCATCAATGAAAATTAGCAATTATAAATATATCAATATGCAGATCAATGCCATTTGCTACTCTTCAGCCTAAAATCAAATTTGGAAATACTGTCATAAATAGGCCGCGGAGACTCTAAATAAACAAACAACAACAAGCATACCGTCCTTGACGCAATCTGCTTTGAAAATTTTAAAAATAGGCTTGCTTCATGTAAGAAAAACTACAAGTGTCTCTGATCACACCCGAATGGCATACCATCAAAATGAGAGAGAAAAATGCTATGAAAAAGAGAAAAGCGGGGGAGGATGGAAGCAAACCCCACGCACAGTCTTAACATTTCGGAATGAATGAGCGGCAGTAAAACTGAGAAACCATGGGCGATGAACCTTCCCATGCCCCTTCCCCACTCTTATCCCATTATATTATGCCGCGTGACACTGCACATCTGATCAGCGGTGGATTATTGTAAAATATAATAATAAAATCAGACCATCAGATCCTACACAAAACCCATCAATATTGAAGGTCTTGTAGATGGTAGATCTAGTTAAAACTAAGTAGTGACATAGCACTACACACTCTCGGGCCAGGCACAAGACCAACCAACCTAAGCATGAGTCAAGTACAATACTACTGCCTGCTAAATGCAGTCAAACTCTGCCGCAAGCTACCAGCTGTAGATAGGCATTCGAGGGCATCAGCAACATTCTGCGTGTCTGGGCCTCGGTACTTCTCAGTGGTCAGGAGAATGGCCAGCGGAACAACCTGAAAAAGAAAATAAATAAAGAAGGGCACAGAAGTTACCGTGTTGATTTGACACAGTCTCGCAGCTTATTGCTCCAAAGCACAACAGAACACCTGCCAAAATGCAAGTGAAAACGTTCATCCCTTTTTAACTAGTCAGCGCCAAAACCTTGCATCTAGATGCCTCACGGGTATGGTGAGCATGCCTCTTTATCATCCATTCAACAATTTTGCATCATTCTTTCAAATTTAGCTAAACTACTTATTTGTACGACTTGCCATACATGTATGCCAACTCTCGTACATTGAACGTCTGGCCTTTTGCTGCCAATCTAGTAGTAGTATATTTGGGATTTGGGGCACTGCTGATGTTACTGCTTGGAGATAAATAATCACGCTACATGAAGAGCTATTATCCGAGCATAAAACCACCCTTCTATCCACCCGTTTCTACTCATTAATTAAGCTATCTGAAACGGAACAGGAGTCACTGAGCTGAGAACTATGATCAACTTGATTGTGGATGACATACTGGTTGACTACCTGGTTGGTCACTACATGTATACTGATTACAGGGTGCATGACACATACTGTAATGTCGCGTATTAAAGCCAGGCTTATTAGTATAGTTATTACTGTAGAAGCCGATGTCAGGGCCAGGCTTCTATTCACACCAGGCTTCTATTCAAACCAGGTTCATCTACGCGTGTCAACACAAAACGAGGCTGTGCCGACAGTGTATCTTGAAAATGAGGCTTGTTTTCAAAAACGGCTTCGGTATGAGACAGGCTTCAATACAAGACACTACGGTACATAATTCGTGTACAGCAGGGAATATAATCAGGTTTACTCACCATGGGCAAATGCCTGGCTGCCAGGATGTGCTCTGATATGAGCTACACAATCAATCATTCAAAACATACGGAGGGAAACGAAAAACGAATTATTTCAAGAAGTTGGTTGCTCCAACGAGGAGCACACGCTTCTTGCCGAACTTGACACTTGACTGACCCACGACTGACGTGCTCCTGGTGTGCTCCGGATGGCAGTCGTGAGTCAGTCAAGTGTCAAGTTCGGCAAGAAGCGTGTGCTCCTCGTTGGAGCAACCAACTTCATGACATTACCGCCGAAGTCGCAACTTCTAAGTTCGAATTATTTCAAGTAGGAAATATTCAACTACTTCAGTACTCTCTAGTCTCAGAAATTTTAGGAGCTCAATATTTTCGGTATGAGGGCAAAAGGCCAGGTTAGGTGAACGGAAATGTTAGGTACAGAGAAGCAGTTCCCTATTGGATTATGTGTGTTAGTGTTTGTTCGGTGTATTGAAAGTTTAGTCATGAAACAGATGCACCGAAAGTACCGAACATAACAGTATACCGAAAATTTGTGAAATTACAGTATTAGCTAAAGCAGTTCTACCCTTGTTAGTATGACATCGGTTACAAGACACACCTCAATAGCAGACAACGATCAAAACCCCCTGATGCCTGAAACGAGTTCATTACGACTGATCAAAGCCCTCCCATGTCCCATTACTGAAAAAGTAAAATTATTCAAATCAAAGTGGAACCAATCATTGTCTCTAACAGGTGGAACATGCTAAGCTGATCCAACTGATCAATTCCAAATCAATCTCACCTTTGACTGTACTACTGCCAGCGCATCAGGTTGACTGCGATAGATGGAGCGGTGCAGAGTGGCAAACGCCTCTTCATCGCTTGCTGACGTCATCTCCTTGACGATGGACGCCGCCCGATAGTAGAGCTGCAACAAACAGAGAAATGAGATGTTTGCACAGAAGGCTCAGCGCACAGCGGCGTACCGCGAAGAGCCGCAGTGAAGCTTGCACATATAGTGAGATGAAAGATGATGGGGAAGTACAGGTGAAAGTTGTTTCAGGCACCATACCTTATTATTGGAGACGGACACATTGATCATCGTATTGCCGAGCACTCTTCCTCTTTTGATGTTTGCGCCGGTTGAGATGGCATTCAGCACCAGCTTCATGGCAAACTGCTCCAAGACGTGGCCTACAGCAGAGCAACATTGTCAAGTGAATCGATTTAGCTGAGCGAACAATATCTTGAACACCGCATAACACTGTTCAAGCTTACAAAGATTTTCACCATTGCAAAGTGAATTGGTTCAGACGAGTGACTAGATGTAAAATCCTTCAAAGATTTTCCAACACCACTAAGTGAGTTGAGGGAATACACCACAGACTCACAAAGCGTACATGCTGGCGGTGAAGTCAGCTTAGATGTGTGATTGATATTCAGAATAACGATATCACGTAGAGACTCTGATCTGGTGCTGGCAGCCTTAGGTGTGATAGTACTGTTTCTAAACTCTTGAAGTACAAACATGGGGCTACTCCGAGATTCAATGAAGAACTCACATGGGCGAAATACAGTACATACGTGTTTTTGTATTTTGTGTTTCAGACATAACTTCACATAAGCATAGGTTTAGTCACAGTTCCCTCTTTTGTTTCGATAAACTCACGGAATTTTGATGAGTCTGGAAACTGCAAGGCGATGGGTACCCGCAAGCACTCCCTAGAAGTAAAAACATTGAGAAACACAGCGATACAGCCCACATGAAAGCAGACCCCCACACGAATGCACACGCACGCGCGCACACACACACATACACACACACACACACACACACACACACACACACACACACAATGTTCGCACTCGACGTCCGACGTATACAGAGTTGACAAAAGAGTACGGCTCCCTGAAACCTAAAACCCTAGTAAAAGAACATGTCAAAGCAAGCTTGGAGAGGGGGAGACTTACCTGTCACATTGATCTGTTACAGTTGGGCTAGCACTTGATGACGCTGAGACTGTGACATGGGCAAGCCGTGCTTGTGACTTCATCACACTGTGATAAGAGAAGATACAGACACACGCACACACACGCGTGCATGCAAACACACACACACACACACACACACGCACGCGCGCGCACACATGCACACACGGTGGGAGAGTATTGTGTGTGCACTGCGTGCGTTTGTACCTTCCTCCTCTAAGCAGTGTGGCCGTGTTTGGCCGGTATCATCATAAACCTTGTACACTTACATGCTCCAGATGTGCTGCATGGGCTTGGTCAGTGTACTGGCGTTACTTAGCAACACGACAGTGTCACGCTCGCTGAGACGTGCTGCAATGTCCTCATTGAAGTGATCAATTGACATACGAAATGCTCGCCCAGTGGATGATAGGTCACCTGCAGAACAGGGTAAGGAACATAGCAGCAGTGACAAGAGCAGCAACAACACAGTAAACAATGGCGGTAGTAGCAACGACAGCAGCAGCTGCAGCAGCAACAGCAACAGCAGCAGCAATTTAATGAATAAATGCACATGTTGTTGTTGTTTGGCTTTATTTAGAGTGGAGTTCCAAAACAGGCCTAAACCTAATGACAATGGTCCCACTGATAATAAGAGAAAAGAAAAATATATAAAAATAAGCGGACAAACAGAACCGAGAAGAAGATAGTTTGATAACTAATATGAGCACGGCAGCCGGGGAAAAAAAGTCACAAGCACGGCAACCGGGAAGAAAGGAGTGAGTGAGTGAGTGAGTGAGTGAGTGAGTGAGTGAGTGAGAGAGAGAGAGAGAGAGAGAGAGAGAGAGAGAGAGAGAGAGAGAGAGAGAGAGAGAGAGAGAGAGAGAGAGAGAGAGAGAGAGAGAGAGAGAGAGAGAGAGAGAGAGAGAGAGAGAGAGAGAGAGAGAGAGAGAGAGAGAGAGAGAGAGAGAGAGAGAGAGAGAGAGAGAGAGAGAGAGAGAGAGAGAGAGAGAGAGAGAGAGAGAGAGAGAGAGAGAGAGAGAGAGAGAGAGAGAGAGAGAGAGAGAGAGAGAGAGAGAGAGAGAGAGAGAGAGAGGTAGTGAAGCAGATGAGTTCATCCTAGTTGACGGTACTGCCTAACAGAAAGGCCAGGCTTAGCGATTTGAAAGTGGAGCGCTTTCTTTCGAGGCGTGCTGTGTCTGGGAGCTGGTTCCACAGGATAGCTCCAGCATGGCTAATGCGCTTAGCTGAGGATGCAGTGGGGGAACACAGGAATGATGAGTAACTTGCTGCTCCCTCCTCGTGTTCGGAGAGAGGGACTACGGGTGAAAAAGCTTGCAAACAGAGTACTTGAAAATTTGTTCAGGCAGCGCCAAATGAATACAAGAATGTGCATGTGGGTGTATATGCTGAGGGTATGGGCATTCATGCGTTCAAGTAAGGGAGCCGTGTGAGTGCGAGGGGCTGCACATTTGGTTTGAATGAGCACACGGCTATGGTTTATGAGCACTACTTGTGGTATTCAGTTTCATTCTGTGTACATCGGTTTTTGCAGATAAACTAATTCAAAATCTAACAATTTAAAAAGAGAAGAAACACATGAGAACGAGTTATGCAGCAACTATCCACGACTGTAATGAGATGATAAACGGTCAGAAAGTGCGATAATAGGGCACAAAACTCAGTTCTCATGTGTTTCTTCTGTTTTTAACATTTTATTACTGGCTCAGTATCTGAGTCTAACAATTTACTTTAAAATTCGTTAAATCGCAAGATCTCCTAAACTGGTTTTACAGCATTAGCCGGGTTAGCCTGGTTACAAAGTACCCTAGATACCGTACTCGCGAGATTAGAGCCCTCTCTTGAATAGTGCACTATCTCAAATAGTGCCCCAGTCTCTATCAGAGCCAGTGAAAATATAGCCCGGTCTTGAATAGTGCCCCCCCCCCCCCCCTCTCTCCGGGCTTGTAACCTAGCGCATGTGCAAGTTCGGTGTTTTTTTCACTATACAGTGAACTTTTAAGGCTCAACTTTGCTTTGCTTTCTTTATTTTTAGGCTGGATGACGTAAAGGTACCAGCATTGAAAAAAGAGTGCCCTCTTGAGAGAAGAGTGCCCTCTTAAAAAATACCCCATCTGTGATGGACAATGAGTAATACCCCATCTGTGATGGATATTGAGTAGACTACTTGTAAGTGCTTTCCCCTTCCCTCCATGGCATACAGTACAGTCAGAGTTCTACTGTACCTTGTTCGTTGGCACAAATGGCCCAGCCATCCTCCACAAATCCACGAACTTCATCCGCAGATGTGCCAAAGGTGTCCACCATCTCGGATGCATCGATAAGTCTGGAAGCCCACAAGTAAAAAAAAGAAGAAAAAAAGATTAAACTCGGGTGGTGAGCCTATAGTAATAATTATGTAAAGAGAAAAGGACCTATAAGATACCAATTATGACTAACAGTCTCACAGTCCTGTCAGTTTTGTGCCTTGTTGTCGCAATGTCTGACTGTATATTATCGCGTTGCCTCGGTCGACTGTTAACGTTAGTCATAACTCGTATCTTATGCATGTAGGTCCTTTCCTCTTTACATAAAAAAAAGATTACATGGCACAAGTACAGTGACAGTCAGTGACCTTACACTGGGTTCACACACACACACACACACACACACACACACACACACACACACACACACACACACACACACACACACACACACACACACACACACACACACACACACACACACACACACACACACACACACACACACACACACACACACACACACACACACACACACACACACACACACACACACACACACACACACACACACACACACACACACACACACACACACACACACACACACACACACACACACACACACACACACACACACACACACACACACACACACACACACACACACACACACACACACACACACACACACACACACACACACACACACACACACACACACACACACACACACACACACACACACACACACACACACACACACACACACACACACACACACACACACACACACACACACACACACACACACACACACACACACACACACACACACACACACACACACACACACACACACACACACACACACACACACACACACACACACACACACACACACACACACACACACACACACACACACACACACACACACACACACACACACACACACACACACACACACACACACACACACACACACACACACACACACACACACACACACACACACACACACACACACACACACACACACACACACACACACACACACACACACACACACACACACACACACACACACACACACACACACACACACACACACACACACACACACACACACACACACACACACACACACACACACACACACACACACACACACACACACACACACACACACACACACACACACACACACACACACACACACACACACACACACACACACACACACACACACACACACACACACACACACACACACACACACACACACACACACACACACACACACACACACACACACACACACACACACACACACACACACACACACACACACACACACACACACACACACACACACACACACACACACACACACACACACACACACACACACACACACACACACACACACACACACACACACACACACACACACACACACACACACACACACACACACACACACACACACACACACACACACACACACACACACACACACACACACACACACACACACACACACACACACACACACACACACACACACACACACACACACACACACACACACACACACACACACACACACACACACACACACACACACACACACACACACACACACACACACACACACACACACACACACACACACACACACACACACACACACACACACACACACACACACACACACACACACACACACACACACACACACACACACACACACACACACACACACACACACACACACACACACACACACACACACACACACACACACACACACACACACACACACACACACACACACACACACACACACACACACACACACACACACACACACACACACACACACACACACACACACACACACACACACACACACACACACACACACACACACACACACACACACACACACACACACACACACACACACACACACACACACACACACACACACACACACACACACACACACACACACACACACACACACACACACACACACACACACACACACACACACACACACACACACACACACACACACACACACACACACACACACACACACACACACACACACACACACACACACACACACACACACACACACACACACACACACACACACACACACACACACACACACACACACACACACACACACACACACACACACACACACACACACACACACACACACACACACACACACACACACACACACACACACACACACACACACACACACACACACACACACACACACACACACACACACACACACACACACACACACATGAGAGTGCATGGTACGTGTACACAAACGCATGGTATCAAGAGGAAATGAGCTCCAAAGAGTGCGGTGTCTCCGATGGCGAAATTCACATCACACGCTCCAAGTACCATGAATACGCTTACACAAAGCTAATTTGAGTGAACAATCCACTCTGACGAGAGTCGATGGGTCAGCATTCGTTCACTACTCAGGGCCTCTTTACACAAGGTACAGATCAACTTATAAGGTGTAACTCATATTTATAGAAGTTTTCAAGACAACTACAAGCCGTACAAGAACGTGGCAGGGAGCCTGAAAAGTTGCCCGGTCCTTTCAGGCACAGTGCTAGCCCTTGCACAAGGCAACTTTCCGGCATCTCCCATACTTTCACCAGGCAATTGTAGAAATTGAGTGCGAGTGCCTGATTTCACACACCCACGCACGGTGAAAAGTTGCCTGGATGCGTTAAACGTAAAATGCAGTCTGAATGTAGGCTTGGGGAAAAAGTTGCCTTCTAGGATTTATGTAATGTTGTACTGGATGCTCCATGTACGTAGCCTGCAGAGCGCCTTACAAGCTGGTCAGAATAGTCGCCATCTCCTCTACATGATATGCATATGCACAAAAACTACATGACGGTGTAGTGTGTGTTTGCAGCACACGTGTTACTTACCCCAGTAGGGCAAACGAGCCTGATCCCAGGTAGTAGAGATGTCCTCCAGTGGATATGCTAGTTGCACCGCTCTGTAGCACTTCACCAATCTCAGCACATGACCTTCATTACAGCCGAAGAGGAGAAACAAAGAAGAGCAGCGACAAATACAGTAAAACCTGTAACTAAATACCACCGTGACTAGCGACCAGCCTGGTACTACAGTCCACTTCGCCAGGCACGGACGGTCTCACATTCATTATATGGTTGTGCGGTGCAAACCTCTAACTAAAGACTACCTGCCCCTAAAGACCGCTTTCTCTGGCCCCAAGGAGCGGTCGTTAGTCACAGGTTTTTAACATACACTACTGCTCAATGAAATCCAGTCACAGTGTCACTCAAGTACGCCATGCCGGGCGTTGCGCAGCCATAGACCTGCTAACACTGGGCTGCGGAATGGTGCAAGGCGCAAACTTGAGTGCCGCGACTGGATTTCATTGAGCAGCAGTGTAGTATTTTGAACAAGGGACATTCTAATGGAATTGATCGTACCACAACAGTGGAGTCTAACACCAGTGCCCCACTATCGTGTCATTCTCCTTCCTTCTCTCTACATAGGCCAATGCTGAACTGACACAGTCAGGAACATGGCCAGCAGAACACACACACGCACACACACACACACACACACACGCACGCACGCACGCACGCACGCACGCACACACACATACACACACACACACGCATGCACACACACACACACACACACACACACACACACACTCGCACACACACATACACACAAACACACACACACACACACAGCCTTACCTGTACACACAGTCGCATGCTTGTCTGTACATGGATATGGTAGCGGTAGCAGATGAAGCACTGCTCTCGCAGTTCTTGCTTCTCTTGGCAACTGGCTCCAGTGAGCTACCATCATCACTAGCAGCATCACTGGAAGGTCCGATAGCAGTGACTACAGGCTGTTCCTGTCCACTAATATAAGATTCCAGGGCTTGGTGAATAGCACGCATGAAGACGATCTCCAGAAGGATCTTGGTCGCCGAGCCACCTTTCATTCTGGTGGATCCTGCTCATACATGTAGACAAGAACAGCAGATGCAAGAAAGCACACAACAAGTAAAGGGGTGAAGAGAATCAGACAAGCTGCGCAGTGCACAGTGTTACCCCTGCAGTGACTATACTGGTAACTCTGTAAAGGGTTCATAGGGGGTCCATACTCCTCCTCCCCCCTCCCCTTTCAATATGAAGCTGCAGAAAGCATTGCCAATAACAACTATGCGAGTATACTTAAAGACGCACTAGCAAGCACACGCGGCTACGCACACGGACACAACGATGATGACCACAACGATGATGACCACAACAGCAGCAGCAGTAGCAACAGCAACGACGACGACGACAAACAACAACAACAACAACAACAACAACAACAACAACAACAACAACAACAACAACAACAACAACAACAACAACAACAACAACAACAACAACAACAACAACAACAACAACAACAACAACATGCCATTAGTCGTAGCGAAACGAAAGTTCTCCAAGCCAATGGGAAAGGTAATGTAGAAGAGCATACGCGCAAACAAAAGCCACTCATTACTGACCTGTGACTGGTTCAGGACCAACGACAGGATTTAGTACAAAAGCACCGAATTCACCATCCTTGTCTGCAGATGCTGCCGCCTTGTATACATCTGTGAACACTTGGCGACAGGTCTTGCTCCAATTCTCAACGGAATCATTGCGAGCAATCTCTACCGGGTTGAAGCCCATCAAACAGGGCGTGACATGCTCCTATGAGTCGCATGCGTACATACACATGCACATACACATACACACACACACACACATGCATAAACACACACGTGCACACGCACACACACACACACACACACACACACACACACACACACACACCTCTCAGACATCTCAGACATGCCCATCGCGGAAGCGATGATAGCGAACAGCTATGTTAGACATAGCAACTTGTGCTGGGATTACACCATTCAACAGCTTGCAAGGCTGAACAATAATAGAAAAGCTGACAGGATCGCTTTTCTAAATGAATTGACCGCCACTATTTTTAGCCTGGTATCCACCACACAGCTGTTTGAAGTGACACACACACACACACACACCACACACACACACACCAACACACAAACACACACACACACACACAAACACACACACACACACACACAAGCTTGACAGTTAACGTACCAACATGATGCACACCAGTACAGATAAACCCTGATCCAGTGACGGCCAGTTTTCAGCACCCACCCGGTCTGTAAGACCACTAATCTTTGACACCAACCGTGTTGAATGTGCATGGGTCAACCTGGTTTCAGAGACAAAATAAGTCGAGCTCATGCATGAAGTTCTCATGTACGTGCAAAGATGACACCAGGCTACTGTGTCAGGGGCATAGCTGGGGGGGTCCATGGCCGCATATGTGTGGGATGGCTGGTGCATGTCATTCATGATCATTATGTGCACGCTGAACCTAGGTCAACACTTTTAGGGGGTACACGTGCGTGTGTTCAGAAACAGTGACCTTACTACAACCATCCACGGTTGCCATACGGTTCAAATGGTCGCAAGACCGGGGCTCTGCCAACCGTGGAAGGTTGTAGTCACTGTTTCCGAACACAGTGGCCCTCCGTCTTGTAACATGCTGCCAACCAACAACACGTCTGTTTGTGCATGCCACCATGACTAAGTCGTAAACTTATCACTTACATACTTTGAAGTACTACCCTGTCCAATCGCATGTAGTGATAATGGTCTATAGTGATCAAATCACACTTCTTCAAACACCAACGCTATAACACATCTCTACCTGTACATGCACTGACCTGGCCAAGAGCCCAGTCCAGCTGACCAGCAACATAAGGAGCAGACAGTCCACACGTGATACCAACTATCTGAATGAGAAACGAGTGCAAAAAACGTAAAAAGAAGACAATAGCGCATGAGCAGGGCCAGTAAGTGGTCACAATAATTAGAATTCAAAGTGAAAACCAACATCAACACAGTCTGGGAACACTCTGAAGGCTGCTGGAGTGGCAGTAAAGCAAAGAATAGGCAGAGAGAATGCCATACAGTATTACCGGGCTGTCTTGTACAAACACCGGTGTGATATAGGAGCACATTTCATATACCGCATTTTCCGGAGTATAAGCCGTGCTTTAAACACCAGTCATCCAGTTATTCTCCCGGAAAAGTCGGTGCAGCTTACCGGTATACTACAATGGTCAAAGGTGACAGGCAGGGTAGATGTCTGTATTTCGTGACAAAATATGTGGGTGCAGCTTATACTCTAGCGTGGCTTATACTCCGGAAAATAAGGGATATAGAACTAAGAGCCTGTTTGGGATAAATCGGATTTTCAAGATGGGCTATCAGTATACAAGCCTGGGTTTCGTGCTAACTACGACCATAGCAATATCTAGTTTGAGTACCGTATTTCCTCGATTAATAGACCCGGTCTTTGGTTTTTTTGAAGAGGGTTGGACCCCCGGTCTCTTATTTGGGCATGGTCCATTATTTGAGCACGGTGCACTATATTTTCATCGGCACATTGCTGGAAATGGTGGATTTTTAACACGTCATATTATAGAACTTCTATATTATTATGACGTGTTAAAAATCCACCATTTCCAGCAATGTGCCGATGAAAATATAGTAGACCGTGCTCAAATAATGAAACTTGAGAAAGCACTAGCCACTACAAAAATTGTAGTTGCGCAACCTAAAATCGCGTCCTTTTTTGATCCACCACGTGCTTTCTTAGTGCGCATGCGCAAAGCGATGAACTCTAATAATAGACCGGGTCTCTTATTCGGGCATGGTCTACTATTTTTCCGTGAGGCCTCTAGGAGGGTCTACTATTTGAGCATGGTCTATTATTCGAGCATGGTCCATTAATCGAGGAAATACGGTAGATCCCCCGGGCCTTCACATTGGCTTCTACAGGAACAACCCCAGCTGTTGTCTCCTTTCTTTTCTTTTTTCGAAGCACACGCTACTTTATGGTATGCTCTGTAGTGCGTAGAGACCCGACTACCAAATTCATGTCAGCGTATGATCAACTATCAGCCAGACGTACCAGAGCCCGGTCCTTGTTGCCAATCCTCTCCTTCAAATCTTGCACACCTACAGGAACACAGGAACAAGACACCAGGCAAACACACCATGTACACACACACACACACACTGTACTGTACTGCACTTGTTGCTGTACTTGTTGCTCACTGCCAAAACTGGTCACGTGAGTTTCCCCCGGAGAGGGGAGAGAGACTCAAAAGGAATCTTGGAAAGATGACTCAATTGGTTATTGAACCGTCCAACGTCCGAAAAAACCCTGAAATGTGTGTGTCTGACATGAATTTGGCATGGCAACATGCCTCTGAAATGAGGTTGAAATAATAATGGAACAGTCTCCAATAAAGGAACGTCTCCATTAGTAGCACGGAGCGGAGGTACATTGAAAATATAAAGGACCGTGCTTATATTAGAGATAATACGGTAATCTTAGAACCCCAAATATGTGGAAAACTCAGTATAACTGAGCTGCAATCAAACTTCTTTCTTAGAAAAAGAATATATTCCCAAGTCTGATACTGTAGTGTCTTGTATTAAAGCCTATCTCATATAGAAGCCTGTTTTGAATGCAAGCCTGATTTTCAAGATACACGGTCGGCACATAGGCCTGGTTTTAGTGTTGACACACATAGAAATACCGGGTTTGAATAGAAGCCTGATGTGAATAGAATCCTAGCCCTGACATCGGCTTCTACAGGAATAAGCGCGGCTCTAATACGGGACATTACGGTAAGTACAATATATGCCCAAGTCTGATAAGTACATGTGCAGTCAGACCTCGCTTAACCGCACACATCCGTTTTCCACAAAAATATCCGGATAGGCGAGGGAACCGGATAATCGAACACACATACTGTATGTAAGCATGGCATATGATGTAAATCGGTAACCAGCGATTTTCTTCCGGATGGCGAGGGATCCGGATAAACGAGGACCGGATAAGCGAGGTCTGGCTGTACATGTAAGTCAATACGACAGTCACCGTGTTACCGTCTCTACACACCTAACACTGGACTGTCCTCCGGCATCTCTTTGCTGACGATGAGCGCTTCGTCGCCGCCGGAAATGCTGTACTTGAAGCAGGCAGGGTGACCGGCGTCCTTCAAGATCTGATTGAACGTCCGTGCACACAACCATCCCTGAAGTTCAAATGGCACAGGCAGAGAGCAAACAACAAACAAACCCTCGATAAGAATTCAAATGCAACCAAATCATCCAGCCAGCCACCAGCAGGACTAATTTAGTTGTAAGCAATTCCTACTCGTCGACATGCATGAGCAGGGACTAATTTACTTCAAAAAAATTGCATAGCAATAATTGCTACACACCTCGACGTTTGCATAGCAACGCAACAATTTTGCATAGCAGTTTTTTCCGTCGACAATGCAGTCTTCAGTGCACTTCCACTTATACCGTCAACAAACGCCGTGCTGTAATTCTTCAAACCACGAAGCGAGGACGCCTTCTCCCTGCACATCTTGCAAAATATCTTGGTCACAGCTCCACCACTCGACTCTGCGCGAATCCATTCTTTTTTGGGATCAAAATTAATAATTCAGCAATCCACTTGTCCACAGTACCTTGCTTCACAGACATGCCGGCAGTGAAGAGGCTTCATCAATAAGGCTAGCAGAATTTTACAAAGATAAGTCCTGAACGGTCGAGACGCCTACTGCTAGTGAAGCAACGTGGTCTAAATCTCAAAAGCAGGTGAAGTACTTGTCGACACTCGCCTCGTGCTTCCTGGGCTGCACTTCAAGTAAGTACAATATAGTTACAGTAGTTAGTTTCCAAGTGCACGTGCTGCGGTGCGCGTGCGGAGATAGTGCACTAGTGTGACATATGGCCATGGTCCCGCAGCCCGCGCGTGCGTATGGTGTAAAATCTAGTGCAGTACAGTGCAGGCTAGCCGGCTGGGCAATTACCACACACACACACAGTCTAATCTAGTCACAGTGCATGGCGCGCCATCTCGTGGCGCCAAACCAGCCACACACACTGTAAAGCTACACATGTGCATGCGCTACGCGTGCACTACAAGTCTATGTCCAGGGCCATACTTAGCTGTATGTTGTGTGTGTCGCAGTTTACCGCGACTCACTACGAACTTCGAATCGCAGACACTGTGTTTTGCGTCGCAAACTGCGATGCGATACCGGTTAAATTAGTCCCTGATGAGTATAATGAGATACACACCCGATCAGACAGTTATTCTGAATACTGTGCTACGAAAGCACTTTCGTTGTCGGGCATTTAATTTAGGCAAATAGGAAATGCTTACAGCTAAATTAGCCCTCCTTGTGGCTGTCTTAAAGCTGCTGTCTCCAAAAAATTTGTTCAAATCATCAAGCGTACAGTGAAACCTGTCTAAGGCGACACCTCAAGGGACGAGAAAAAGTGGTCGCCGTGGCCAGGTGGTCTTCTTATCCAGGTTCAGTGGGTCACGTGACCATATCCACGACATAATACATGGGATACATCATTTTGATCAGTGTATCACAGTGCACACACCTATGCTACTCTCGCACGACCCATGTGCCTGGGCCAGGCTGGGGTCCTCAGACCTGTCAACTGTCGTCCATGAACCATGCACATCTACACTTCCTGCACAGATGTGTAGACCTACCATGCATGGTACACCATGCAATGCATACATTTACATGTACTAGCACTGTGCAAAGCGGTCGCGGGTGGGTGGTCGTCGGTCGCGTTGAGCGAGTGGTCGCCTTATCCGAGCTCTTTTGAATGTGAATGGGTCCGTGACAAGGAAAAGTGGTCGCCATGGTCGAGTGGTCGCCATATCCGAGTGGTCGCCATTACAGATTTTACTGTGGATGATTGTAGTCTCTGTGCTAGTTTCATAGTCCAGCTTTAAGAGTATCGAGTAGGCTAGTTTTTTTTAAATCCGTATGAAAGAGGTGCGAGAGCAGACACACCCAATCAAGAGTAGATAAACAAGAGTGTGCAACTCCGGATGGATTGGCCCACGGCGGAATTTTTTGTTGACGTAATCTTTTCGACGACGCACGCGCTGCGAGCCTTTTGGAGAGTTTTCCCTCGTGCACTTGGCTGGGCTTTACACTACAAGGTCGGTGCCCAGCACGTGCTCTCACACTGCTCTGCGGCAAAGCCGCGTTTCTCTGAAAAAAGGTGACGTAAACAAAAAATTCCGCCGTGGGCGCGGGGTATCTGCAGATTGTGCAGGAGAGATCCGGAGTTGCACACTCTTGTTTATCTACTCTTGACCCAATCCAAAGGAGATTGCAAACCAGAGCCACTTCCAAGGGGTACAAACCACTGAAGCTGCGAAAAGCCTTATTAAGGAGGTTCGCGACGGTTAGCGCCATGTTGGATTTCCGAATTTTTTTCTGAAAAATAATGCCTTTCGGTGTGGAAAAATGGGACGCGATCGCGCTCAATCGAGTCGTTTGAACTTTGAACTTGCAGCGCGTGCTCGAGTCGAGACGAGATTTGAGGAAGAAGCTCAGCCACTAGCGCACTGTAGGATGTTTGTTTCGACATCGGCGGTTTTTGTATAGCTTTGTTCTCTTGCCGACGTGTCGTGGAGATGGAGGGGCGGGGGAGAAATCCTTCACCCACGACGCAGCCTCGCATTCTGCGTACTGGTCGCTTCAAGAAGCCGAGGAGGGGGACGTTTCGGAAGGTCAAAACCATCGATCGAGTTATTGAAAACCGGCGGAAAGGGCGATCTCCACCACGAACGCCGCTGGATTCGACTCCCGCGAAGAGGTCGTTCACTGCCTCTCTTCACGGTCGACGAATCGTTCACCTCAGGTCTCTGGCCGTGGGGTTGTCTGCGTGCCAGAATCCTGGATGTGGGAACCTTTGGCGCTAATTGATTGCGAGGACGAGAAGAGGTACGGCCTGGGGAGCGTACTGATCATTCCGTGTGAACAGTGTGGGATGAAAAATTATATCGATACGGATAGCCGAGTGACTGCCCAACACCCTGGCCCCCGTGCTTTCACAAGCAACACCAAAGCTGCTTTGGGTAAGTGTGTTTTTCAATCTAATAAGATTTGTTCATAATATTTGCGACTCATTGCCACCCTATGGAAATGTATGGGTACACTGTATGCGCGGCGCACGCGCGCTCTTGCGTGTGTGTGTTTGCATGGACCTGCATATGTGCACCATACACACGTATCAGCATGCACATGCGCATGTGCTCGTGTGGCTGTGCCCTCGCACATACATGTATACTATACACACGTGCATGACTGCTCCAAGGGCATATTGGTGTGACATGTGTATGCGTGTTGCAAAAGAAGGATCCACGAGCGGGATTCGAACCCAGCACCCCTGTCTTTCCGGGACAGTGCCCTATCGGTTAGGCTACTGGGGATCACACACACTCATGGGTCCTTCTTGCTACACTGCTCCCCCGCCCCAACAGGCTGTGTCCTCACGCCGTACCTACTCGCAGGGGGTACGATGGGTCGTGGGTTCGAATCCCTCTCGTGGATCCTTCTTTTGCAACATTGGCGCTAACATGCGGGCGGGCATCTCCACTCATGCACATGAATGTGTACATGCATGGGGGTGGGTGCGTACACGTGCGTGAATGTATGTGTGTGTATGTGTACGCTTGTACGCATGCGTGTGTGCTATTGCGTGTGAGAGCACGTGTGTTTTTGTTTGTGCGTGCGCGCGTGTGTGTGTGTGGGTGTGGGTGTATTGGCGTGGGCCTGCCGTTTTGTGGTGTGTTTTAATGATAAATATTTTCAATTCTGATTACCGGTACTTATTATTCCATTATGGCGGTTCTAATTATTGTTTTGTATTACATGTGTGTGTGTGTGTGTGTGTGTGTTTGTGTGTGTATGTGTGTGTGTGTGTGTGTGTGTGTGTGTGTGTGTGTGTGTGTGTGTGTGTGTGTGTGTGTGTGTGTGTGTGTGTGTGTGTGTGTGTGTGTGTGTGTGCGTGTATGTGTGTCAATGATGTGCATTTTGCGTTGGGTGAACATTCTGATCCCTAAACCCAGGCATGCTGGATGCTGGTGTCGGGGAAACGCACGTGAATAATCTTCTTGCATGCTTGGACATACCACCAATGTGTCACAAGACTTTCAAGAAGTGTGAGCGCAGGGTCGGTGTGGTCTTGGAGAAGCAGGCAAAGTCTTCCTGTGGCTCCACTCTTCTTGAAGAAGCGAATCGCATGATGTCGAAGACCTCGCCGCAGCCAACCACTACACCAACGAAGCCAGATGCTCCAGCCATACAGTTGTCTCCATCAACACTGACGAAGTATAGGCGCAGGCTGCAGGAAGGCTTCGATGTGCCAGATGCACAGTATGACGCGTGGAAGTGCTCCATGGTGTCTTCAGGAAGTACAACCGTTACTGTTGTTCCGGAACCTGTGCCTCTTGCCAATGATGTCCCTCCTCTCAACACTGTGTCAGAGCCTGCTGTTGATAGCAATAATGGTCCTGACTCCACAGTTGCTTTGAGAGTGTCGTTTGACTGTGGTTGGGCAAAGCGTGGCAGGGCCATGAATTCCCTTACAGGTGTTGGTGTCAACATCGGCACAGAAACTGGCAAGGTCGTCGGCTATGCCACGAGGAACAAGCGGTGCATCACCTGTGATGTTGCCCAACGACTTGGCCGGCCACCACGCAAACATGACTGCCGCCGTAATCACACAGGTAAATAATTTCCTATTTCATACACACACAATATAATGGTGCTACATGTATAGGCCTAGACATGTGCTTAGCGATATTATACTGATTTCAGCAAACTACCAACCTGTATTGGCGGTGATCTGTTGGTAGCTTTGAATTGACATGTTCTTTATTGTCTTGACTAGTTTGACTATTTCTTTTGTGTGTGTGTGTGTGTGTGTGTGTGTGTTGTAGGTTCATCTAAGTCAATGGAGCCAGCAATTGCTGTAGAGCTTGCAAAAGAAGTGTTGGAGCATGGGGCTCACATCAGCTGCATGGTCGGGGATGATGATTCCAGCACCATCAAGCGCCTCAATGATGAAGTTGGCCATGTCGAGAAGCACAGCGACATAGGTCATACAAAGCGTGGTCTAGGAGCCAAGTTGTATGATGCCAAGGCCAAGAACAAGTCGTGCAAACAAATCACAGCCACGACTATATCATACTTCAAGAAGCTGTTTGCCTATGCCCTCACCAACAACAAGGATGACGCTGATGGTCTGCGATCAACTCTCGCTGCTATTGTGCCTCATGCCTACGGTCAGCACGATCTTTGTTCTGCTACCTGGTGCGGCTATCTGAAGAAACCCGACACTTACAAGCACTCTGGTCTTCCCCGTGGCAAGGATCTAACTTGCCCCCATACCCGCCGTGTTGTGGAGGACCTGTTCAATGGACTTCATAGCCATGCTGAGCGACTGGCTCCACTCGGCAGCAGTCAGGCCAATGAGTCACTGAACAACACAATTACGTCAAAGGCACCAAAGTCTCGCCACTATGGAGGAAGTGAGTCGCAGGACTTCCGTACGGCAGCTGCAATCCTGCAGAAGAATGACGGGAATGTCTATACAGCTCAAGTGATTCAGGCAGCCGGTATGTGCCAGTGCTGTGTTTTCTCAAAGAACTCCGTATTTGTCAAATTTATTCTATTCAATGCTTATGATAACTAGAATACAGCATTGCAACAAATTGTGTAGCCAGAGCTCAGAAGTGTATTGTGATACAAGCAGTCTCAAGAAGAAATGTACTTCAAAGTATATTGTACTTTGAAAGATCTACCAAAGTCTAGTTCAGAACTGCATTCGGCAAATAAAGATAAAAAACAATTGTTTTGTTTTCTTGCTGTTCTTGTAAGGTATGTCACCCAGCCAGCATGCCTTGCAACGAGGAAACAGACTGGACAAAGCAGGAGCTGCCAGGAGAAAACTCTCTGCGACAAAGTCATCAAAGCTTCGGCGCCGTCAGCTTCGGGAATCTCGTGGCCAAACACAAGCTGTGTCTGAGCTCCGGGAAGGCACTACGTATGCCTCAGCCTGTGCTTCCAGTGCTGATCTAGACACAGAGAAGATTCCCGATCCTCTGACTCCTCCAGCTATGGAGAAGCCAGTGAGCACTGCTGCTGTGAAGGTTGTTTACTTCGACCTGGAGACGACTGGCCTCGCAAGGGCATCTGAGATCCTTCAGATTGCTGCCTTGACATCTGATGGAAAGTCGTTCTCAAGGTATGAACAGTTACATCCGTATTGGTGATCTACTGTGTATGTTTGACTTGAACGATACAGTCTTCCGGAAGATTTCTGGGTCAATAGTTCTCTTATTGTTTTCTGTGGTGGTCATGTGTGTATTCCAGAATTATGATTTTATGCTCAATCTATATAATATATATGTGTGTGTGTGTGTGTGTGTGTGTGTGTGTGTGTGTGTGTGTGTGTGTGTGTGTGTGTGTGTGTGTGCGCGTGTGTGTGTATGTGCGTGCGTGTGTGTGTATTGGTGTGTATGCGTGTGTATTCGCATGTATCTGGCTGCCTGGTAGATACATGATGCCAACTGTTGATATTGATCCTGGTGCATCCTCAGTCACTGGCTTGCTGGTGAAGACGGTAGCTGGTCACCGTAAGCTGCTGCATCATGGCAGTGCTGTGTCTGCGTGTTCGCAGTTTGATGGAATCAGTCAGTTTGTGGACTGGCTTGAATCGTTGAGCTGCTCTTGCCTCCTGGCTGCACACAACTGCCACAGCTTTGACATGCGCGTCCTGCTGAATGCTGCCAAGAAGCATGGTGTCTGTGACAGTCTTGCAGAGTGGGTGCACGGGTTTGCTGATACCCTTCCGGCACTGAAGGCCGCAATACCAGAGCTCCCAAGCTACAGCCTCACATCGATATATGGTTCAGTCGTTGGGAATGAGTTCGCTGCTCATGATGCTGTTGCGGATGTTGCGGCCCTAGCCGAAGTTGTCGAAGCTAGCCCTGATGCCCGTATCCTGCAGCACTCCGTAACGTTTACATCGGCATGTTCGGCGATGGAGTTTGCGGAACATCAGCAAAAGCGGCTGGCCACCCTTCAACCGTTGGTCCAAGCAAAGTGCTTCTCCAAACCAGTTGCAGTGCGGGCAGCTGATAGTGGGTTGGAGATGAAGCACTTTGTCTTGGCCCACAAACGAGGTGGTGAGCCAGCCGTTTCCAGCCTGATGAAGGAACAAGTAGGAGGTAAAAGGCGGGTGACAGCCTCAAGGAAGATTGCATTAGCGGTGGCTGAACACCTAGCCAAGAACAAACAGCAACCCAACTGTAAGTAGCACGCTGTGGTACAGTGCTTCACTTGTTTGTGTGCACCATAAAATCATTTTAGCGAGTGTGGGGACACGTTCTAGCTCACATAGTGGAAGAACAGGAGGACTAATGTTGTCTGTTTCGTTCCAACGTGACAGCTTTCATTGTAGCTTGTTATGGGGCTGTAGTTTCTAAGCGCTATCACAGCTACATGTATCATAACCAAGTACCAACAGGAGAGCAATCGTGCAGAAAAGGTACCTATCGATAATGCGTGCACCCAGGGTTTGCCGGCAAATTCACTACTTCAACTATTCCATCCTCATGTTGTTCTGAACGCCGAGGGCTCTACAAAGTTTGTGCAACACCTAACAGCCAAAAATCCAATAAGTTATGACCAAAGCAGCAGCAGAGAAGTACAAGCAATATAGATACGTGAATTTACCAAATTTAGGCTAATTTTGAGAGTTTTTTGGATTTTTCTCCAGAATATGCACGGTGACCCCTATTTTCGCCACGGTAAACCTGTTTCAACCCACTTATAGAACGTGTTTGAAGTATCCACATATGGGGCAAACTCAAAAATAAGCTGCAAAAAATATTCAAAGTTTCATTTTTTGCGTCTTTTTGTTCTTCTCCAGGAAATGACGACCTGGATCCCATCGTCAACCAAAGTGTACATTTTTTGGTGTTGATATCATCTTAGTCAATACCTCGAACAGTCTGTAAAATTTTAGGTCATATTTTCTGTCCTATCTGGTGTTATGGACGATTTCTCAACAATTTTGGGATTTTGCGATATTGTGTGTTATCAAGGAAAATTGTGTTTTTGGCAAGACCTATTCAGGCAATTGAAAAACTAATGTCACTAAGCGAAAATATAAGGATGTACCTATACAAATCTGATGTCAGATTGGGCTGATGTTGAAATTAAAATTTCGGGCCTAACTGTCCCGAACCCCCTTAAAGACACCCACTGAATTGAAGAATCATGAACAGACTGGACTACTTCGCAAGTACATGTAGGCCAACCACATGTTGCGGATACTTCAGGTACAGTAAAACCTGTCAAGGCGACCACTCGGATAAGGCGACCACCTGTCCCAGAAGACCACTGCAACCAGGATCAATGGATGCTTTTTCCAATCAAAAAACCCTGTGTAAGGAGACCACATGTAGACCACCTAGCAGAGTGACAGTAAGGAGCCAGAGCACCAGCAACATCCACCTGTACGGATTGACGGCAAGCTTCTTTCCTACCTGCACTGGGGCACTTGCCAAGCAGCTATCATTTGCACCGGGATGGGACTACTCAAAGATTCTCCCGTGCGAGGCTGGATTGAAGCAAGGATACAACTCTACAAGACGAGTGTAATTGTACAATCGGGTAGCAAGCAGGAAAAGGGAAGGGACCCTGTGAGAGCAAATCGGGGTATTTCACTAATTTACTAACCATGCGGCCACTGGTACCGGAACCAGAGAAAACAATGACCTGCAACAACAAAACAACATAATGTTTAACAGAAGTAAGCAACGAGCAAAATTCTGGAGAAAAAAAAACAGGAACTACGTCGTTTCACAAAACCTGACCACTCTGTTGTTGTTACTTTATTTTACTTCACCAGATTTACAGGCAGTAGAATGCCTTCTCACTAGACCAGGTCCAGTTCTCACAAATGATAAGAATGCGAATGAACGTGCTGAAGCTAATGAAAAACAAGAAATAGAAAAAGATGAGAGGTACTGCAACATAACACAAAGCAAGCAAACCACTACATTCATGAAGGTATCAGAGCCTACCTAAAGCAATGTGGGCATAGTTACTCACGTGCACACTACAGAGACCAGTCTGTGACAACCTGCAGACACCATGCTCCCTCCTGCACGTCTCTTCCCAACCCCCTCTCCCCACAAGACACAGCAAGCAAATCAGTGATAGTCTGATAGACAACGACCATCAGCCACCAGCTGGACTCAAAAGTCAAACATCACCAAGGTGCAGCAGCTAACTCCCTGTCTTTTAGTCACTCTTAATCAGATCTAACATCGGAACATACACACAGCTGACACTTACATTGTCTGCTCGACCAGATAACGTGTCCTGCGCAGCACGACAGAAGAAAAACAGAAGAAAAACAACAAGTTCAACAACAACAACAACAACAACAACAACAACAACAACAACAACAACAACAACAACAACAACAACAACAACAACAACAACAACATCTCTTATTGGCGATGGTGCCATCGTGAGAATAAAGAATTCAACAACAACGACGATGACAACAACAACAACACACAAGAAGAAGAAAAAAGACAGACATGCCGTGTCCTGTCGGGACTGTAGAGGAACTGGGGGCAGATATACCTGTATTGTATATGATTGTTACAATATGCATAAAAGGGTACAGTTAAAACTGAAAAGTACCGACTCATAAGTTTGAGGGAGTTGAAAAAGGAATATAAGGAACATGCAGCGGAGTTTATCCTGCAAAGGTTGTGGTGTCCGGTGGCATCTTGGCAAGCAAGTAGTGCATGTATGACCAGCGCACAGGTCATGCATGCACTACTTTCTTGCCAAGGTGCCAGCGGGCACCACAACAAGTCCATGGCGCCGGCTTCGTCCATTAGATCAGACATCGCCTGGCACACCTGTACATGTATGCAGGGTTCTAGCCAAAGGGGGTAGGGGGGGGGGGGGTAGGGGGCACAGCCCCCTACTCTGTTTGCGCCCCCCCCCCCCACTCATTTGTCGATTTTTGTGTTTGTTCATGCCATTCAACGAAAATGCAGTCAATAGTCACTACCAGATCTATAGATATATAGAGGGTTCATAAAAGCACATTTGTCTGGGGCCAGTGAAGTCGGGGGTTTGCCCTGTACGTTGCATTTTGCATAGCAAGACAATTTTGGAAAATGGAAAAATGGGATACGGGGTAACTGCTTCCCACGCCCGCAATATAACAGTGTATGTACTTCAAGTACAGCATATTCACTCTACCTATCTGTTGCTAGTACTCACTAGAATGAGCCGTGTCGATGTTGAGCAAAGTTCCTCGATGGAGGTCACAATTCGCGCCGACAGGATCGACTCGTACGCCTCAAAACCGTCAAATATTTGCGCGTCGCTGAGTGACAGCGCATAGACAATGTCCTGAAGAAGGAGAGCAACACAACATTGCAATAATTGGCAACACGCAACTGTCATGTCACACTTGGATATACATCTGGAAGGAGGGATGGCACTTCATTGGCGCCAAGTTTTGGCTCATGCCCTACGGTGCTCGCTACAGTGCTCGCCAGTGAAATTCATCCCACACCCGGGAATAAAATACCATCGGCAGCTGTAAAACGCTAGGACTACCATGGAATACAGGTGAATGTGCCGCTATTCATTTTATGACGCACACTTCACTGGCCAATGCCATACTGGTCTGTTTGGCCCATGCCAAGGATGTGAGTTCAAAAATATTGACGACATCACTCACAATTCCGTTTGTGCGTGCATGCACGTGCGTGTATGTGTGTGTGTATTTGTGTGTGTGCGTGCGCGTGGTGTGTGTGTGCGTGTGGTGTGTGTGTGTGTGTGTGCGCGCGTGTGGTGTGTGTGTGTGTGTGTGTGTGCGTTCAGCATGTGTGCGTAAAATTTAAAAACACTCGCTGCCATGTTCCAGCAGTAAAACTGGCATGGTATTGTAGTAGCTTCACTGCCCCCGCACTGCCCCCGCACTGTAACTTCAAGTACACTGTACACCGTGCTGGTAGAATGAAGTGATGCAGGGCTGCCGGACCTGCTCAGGCTTGTCCCTTGTCCCGGCCATGGGATCTGCTTGTGCTACTAGGTGTAATCTCATTTACTTGGGTACAGTACAAAATTGGAATCTCCAGGATAATAGCAGCTGTTTCAGCGGTGTTCGGTCTCAAATCTAAATTCGTACTCCCCTTTGAAGTTCATTATTTTCGGAGCCGTGCTTCTCCATTCCAACTAGCAAACGTCTTTAGTTTGATCAGATTTTATAAATGAACCTATTTCTATTATATTCCCTTCACGCTTCCCCTCAAACTTATGAAATTTTCAATTTGTATGACTGATCATGTGTGTAACTGTAAAAACATTAGATTTTATTTTAATTTGCAAAGTTTCAAATCTCACCTCCGCACTTCCGGAGTCAATATTCTTCGTCAGCTCATTGCTGCGTTCAGTGATACGTTTCTGGCTCGACATTGCAACAAAGAACGAGATGAATGGGATTGGGAGTGTCGAAATACACTATTCACAGTAATCTGATGACTTTATGCAGACTGAGGTCAAGTGCAGATGTGATGCTGGTAGGAGTTGACATCGAGATCGAGGGCTACACCAGGAAAGTACAGTGTATTGTCAGTTCATGCTCGAAATCATGGTGGGTCCGGGTACACCATGGTACACGCCTTCTCCTGAAACAAAAACAATGAATGACAATGTACCATTTTCTAAAATATTGGCATATTTTTAAATGCATTCGTTGCGTCAATGACGTCATCGTGCCATCACAAATAATTACAGAATGGCTCAGACCACGCAGTGGTTGCCAGCTATTCTGGATTATATGAAGAATGTGATGTCGAACATATCAATGTGTTTGGCCTAGTTTCCTAACTCTTGATAGCTTTTTTGTAGTGAAAATTCATGAATTTTGTGATTTTATTTGAATCCTTGGTGTTAACGCATGCGTGGAACACCAGGTTTCGTTGATAAAAGCCCTTGTTCCCTCTATGTTCTTCGGCCTTTTGAATAGCGAGCCTCGGAATAAGCATATTATGTGCATTATAACACAGGGAGGGTCAGGGTTGGGACATTGATATGTTCGACATCACATTCTTCATATAATCCAGAATAGCTGGCAACCACTGCGTGGTCTGAGCCATTCTGTAATTATACTTCAGAATGCTCTGTCTCCATATCAATGTGATTTTGTAGCTCTCTGCCAGTGGTTGACAGCTTCGAGAGAACTGCCTGAGCATATTTCTCATCATGCTGGGGTCTAATAATAGAGCTTCTGAAAGACCGACTGGCTGCTCCAGTCTGCTGCTTTCAAGATATCATTCGTAGTAGTACCAGCATCCGCTGTTGCGGATGCAGAAGCACTCTGCACAGAGTGTGCTTTGAAGATACTAGTATCGATACCTGCACGAGATACCATTGGGTGTTGACCAGTGTCATACCTGTCAGTTTTTTTCCTGGACGGAAGGAATTGCTGATCTGTAATTATTGTCAATATTGATAGAGCGGTATTGATAACCAGCTTTGTACAATGATGCCAGGAAGTTGACAATCGTGGCTATATCACTTGAGAAGGGATCATTGTTCCGTTCACGACACCAGCCCATCCATTTATTGAATAGGGAGTCGTACGTCTTCGTAGATTTCTGCCTCCATGATCCAAGGAGGAGTTCTGAAGCTTCCTCAGAAACATTCTGACTGGTGTACTTTCTCCTGAGATATTCCACGCGGCTAGACGAGGGACTATCTCCGGTTCGTTTACGCTGTGCGTCGGCTGAATCAGATCTGGAGTGCTGGGAAGCAACAGGGGCTCCTCTACCAGCAGGTCCAGGAGGGCTGGATACCACGGTTGACTCAGCCATACCGGTGCAACAAGCACTATCCGAGATTTCTGAGGGCAGACCTGTGCTACTACTCTGCTTATCAGGTTCCAAGGTGGGTTGGCATAACCATGACACTTTGTCCAGTCCAACGAGAAGGCATCCACGTCTATCGCATTTGGATCGGGACGCCGGCTCACATACATCGGCAGGAGATGTGTCAGCCGAGAGGCAAACAGGTCTACATTCATGGGACCCATTCGAGCAAAGATCTCCTGGAATACATCTGGATGCAACATCCAGTCCGATCGATCTTTCATCACGCGAGACTCGTCGTCTGTAACTGTGTTTAGTGATCCTGCTAAGTGAGTGGCCTGGAGAGTTATCTGTCTTGCCATGCACCATGTCCACACCTCTTTGGTGAGGCGATTGAGGTCGGGAGACACAGTGCCTCCGAACTTGTTTATATACGTCAAGGCTGTGGTGTTCACGGTCCATCTTCAGGTGAACCAGAAGATTTCGACTTGACTTCAGAAATGCTTTTACAGCCAGGAAGGCTGCTAACGGCTCCAAGCAGTTTATATGCATCTCTCGTTCCTGACAACTCCACGGACCGCCTGTTTGGGAGTTCTGGCAAGATGATCCCCAACCCACTGTCGAGGCATCCGTCTCTATCACCAGGTCTGGTATCGGCGTGAGAAGGCGACGACCGTTCCAGTCTGTCAGGTGATCGATCCACCAGTCCAAATCCTCCAGAGCTTCGCTGCTCAAGAGACAAGGATGATCGTAATTCTAAGATCCCTCCTCTAGGGCTTTCTGCAAACAGCCCTGGAGGTTTCGATAGAACAAAGGACCTGGTGGAATCGCATGTGCAGCATGGCTCAGTTTGCCCAACAGGTGAGTTACAGAAATTGCTGAGTGTGTTTTTTCCTCTCGCAATTTTTTGCATCTGATCGTGTTTTCTTCCGGCAATCTGATCGTCAGATTCTCGGAGTTCACCGGTATTAAGCCGAGAAAATATATCTCCTTGGTGGAGTTCGGTTGTGGCTTCTGGTAATTCACAATGAACCCTAGATTCTCCAGGAGGAAAATCAGGCCGGCCGTGTGGTCGTTTGTCTCGTTCTCCGCCATGCTCAGGATATCGTCGATATGAATGATCACCCTCAGTCCTGAGTGTGATTATCACCGCCCTTGAGGTCTTGGTAAAAACCCGCGGGACTGACGATAGTCCGAACGGCAGACAGTTGAACTGATACATCTTTCCCTGCCATGCAAAACGCAGCAACTTTCGCTGGTCTGCGGCCTGGCAATGGGAATCATGAAGTGCGCATCTTTCAGGTCGACTTTCGTCATGAAATCGCCTGGTCTCAGCAGATCTTTCAACATGTGTATACCCTCCGTTTTGAAATGGGACACTTCCACAAATGGTTCGGAGCTTTCAGATTGATAATCGGTCTTATCGCTCTGTCTTTCTTCGGGACAGCGAAGAGTTGAGACACAAACTGATTGTTCGTTTGATCTGCAGGCATAATACTTCGGAAATCGCATGTTTGCTTTGTATTGCGACAACTTCTGAGGAGATCTTTTTCGTTTCCTCCTCTTGAAATACAATCTCTCTTGGGGAAACGGTTTGAAAGGGTTCTTGAACAAAGTGAATTTTGTAACCCTGAACACCCCGCAACCATGCATTGGGTCGAGACACTTTGTGTCAGGTCTCTGACACCCATTTCCAAGCTCGGGTATTGAAACTTCTGAAATGGCCTGTTTGTTCGCCATCAAAGTTATTTCGAGGGAGATTTTGATTTCTCCTCCTCCCGAAACACTATCTCTCTTGGAGAGTGAGATTGAAAGGGCTTCTGAAGCCACTGAATTGTGTAACCCCGAATACATTTCAAGACCCACTGGTCTGAGCTGATTGCATTCCAGTTTTGTGCAAGCATTGCTACACTTCCCGAAATCGGGAACTGGTGAAATACGACACTTTCTGTCATGTCTTTTACACCCATCTGCTGGAGAGCACAGTGCCACTCACAACAGAAGACATTGAGTAGTTTTGAAAACTCTTTATTTCCTTTAGAGGAAGGGGTAAAGGCGGATGGCTCACTTTGCTGACTCCTGACGACTTCTGTCGTTGGGCTTCCTGTTGAACTGGGGATTGTACTGGTTTCCGCTGTAAGGTCGGAACCGGTTGCCGTTCTGATTGAAACTGCCCCGATTTGAATGGCCTCCCCGTGGGGCATGGTTGGCTCGGCCTCCTCGAACAAACGATCCGGTGGAAGCCTTGCGACAAACATTTGAGCTCTTCGCTCCGTTCCTTCGCTTTTCTGGAGAAGCCATCTCCAAACAACTGGGGTGCAGACGTTTTGAACGTATCGTCATCTTCTGCCATTTCGGCAAGGTCGCGATTCATACAAAGAATGGCATTTCGCCGCCTTTCTCTATTCAAATGCATATTTGCATTGCCAATAAAAGCCAACGCCTGTTGGCATGCTTCGACCGTGGCTTGTACGGTGAGAGTCTCTTTCCCAGCTTCCTCTAGTACGTAGGTCAAAGGACCTACGGCGTCCAAAAGCAAGGCCTGTTGTTTCGACAGGGCCTTGTCTCGCGACTTGGTCGCAGGGTGTAATCGGGACTTCACCATCTTGTCCATGATGGGCGCAGAGGCCACATCTACTTTGGGGTGCCCAAAACGACTACGCCATTGGCGCCGAACTTCGTTCGAGGTAGTTGTTGTAAATTTCTCCCGAAAGAATTCCAAAGTATCCGAGGACACTTTGAAATCCTGAGACGATTTGTCAAGCAAGCTTGACTCGTCCATTTCCTCTTCTGACTCACAGTCCGAGGGGTTGGGGATCTCACGGGTTTTACCCGGTGTTGAAGAAGCTCTTGGCGCCAGAGCGGAAAACGAAATAGAGGCACTTCGTGCCGGGTCAGGGCGGGATTGAGCCGCTTCCAGAGCAGACACTCATTCCGCAATACTTGAAACGTCTGAGCCGATTTGCTCCATCACCTGCGAGACCTTTCCAAACTGGCTCATCATGTCCGCCATGATCCTCGATGACTGACCAGCAGCATCGGGAGAGGTAAAGGAGCTTGCAGACGAGTCCATCCTTGAGAGTGGACTTGACAGTTTGATGATTGAAAGGCGGTCTACAGTAAGCACAGAGACACACCAAGTTAGAAATACAACCAAGAGGAAGTACTGTACAAGACAACAGTCGATAACGAGATCGAACAGCTTGCCAAGAAACTTACTTCGAGCGAGCTAGAAAAAAGGCCGAAGAACATAGAGGGAACAAGGGCTTTTATCAACGAAACCTGGTGTTCCACGCATGCGTTAACACCAAGGATTCAAATAAAATCACAAAATTCATGAATTTTCACTACAAAAAAGCTATCAAGAGTTAGGAAACTAGGCCAAACACATTGATATGGAGACAGAGCATTCTGAAGTATAATCGCGAAGACAGTAGACTACTTTTTTGCTGATTATGATGTGGGGCGGCGATAGCTTCGGTGCGATAATCAAGTACTACTAGCTTCCAGGGAGTCGTAAAATACCAGGGAGTCGTAAAATACCGGTATTTTAAGACTCCCTGCTAGCTACACGTAGTCGTAGATCTAGATCTAGATTTTGTACGTCCCGGAATCGCTCCATGTATACATGACTGTACTCATAGATCTTTATTTCAGTACCTACCCCCTAGGCCCTGGTGCAGTAGCATACTCCAAGAGACAATAGCAACTTTAGTTTTACTATCACTTTGGCATTTTTCCACCCTGACTACCACATGCTCACAGAGCTACATATCGAAATGATGTAACATCGTTAGAAGACATACATGCACCAGCAACCTCAGCCATGAAAGCTTCAAAATAATTACAGGTCACGATAGTAACGAGACATCGAGTTACAGACCAGGTCCAACATCCACTGAATTGCTTCAGTGAGAAAGGGCTGCCTTTTGCCAGGTTGGCATGTGCGCACACCGCACGCACGTACACACATACGCACCCCCCCCCCCCCCCCCGCCCACACAGACACACACACGAACATGCACGCATTTATGCACTCGGTCCATTCAGGGCCGTGACCTCTTCTCTGTACACACATACGCAACCCCCGCCCACACAGACACACACAGACACACACACGAACATGCAAGCATGTATGCACTCGGTCCATTCAGGGCCGTGACCCGTCTTACCCAAACCGTTTGGGTACAACTCCTTGGTCGTGACACAGCACGTTGGTATATCTTAGAGTGTAGTTAGACGATGGGCCATACACAGACTGTCAGTGAGCGTGTCACCGGCGTAGCGGCGGCCGGGTACAGCAACAGTCAATGAGATACGGCATCCCGGCATCTCGGGTACTTGAACTACGATGTATATCATAGCAGCTGTACTTGAATGACACGGCCGTAAATCAGCAAGGCAGCAGGGTACGTACCTAGCCGCGGAACACCGCGAAAGCCGAGGCCGCATCACACGGCATGTCTAAAGAGAAGTACATGTATCTGTATGCGCCGCTATGCGGTGATCCAAAAGGAACTAAGAAGAGATAACAGCAAGAATCATTGCATTAATGCTGTACATCCTAGATCATAGTGATCACGGTGCTGAGCGCACTTCAATCGTAAAAAATATAATTCCTAAAATAATTATAAAAAGAGGCCGCCAAGTATTTCCTGGTCCTTGCCACAAAATCGTATCATCCTAGGTCCAATAATTTTCTGGTCGAGGACAAGAAGCCAGAACTGACAACACACTTTCTGATAAATTAGAATGAGCTTCGAAACTTGGACGGTGGATTTGCAAACCAAACGGCTGCCCGTCTTTATCGAAAAAGCCTAGCAGGAAAATCAACAGACCGATGGGTAGCTAATTCACCCAATTGAACCCAGTCTAACATCTTCAAAGAGACATACAACGGGCAAGCTGGGCACTTTCGACCACTCCGGCAAGCGGAACTCGGATCATGGTATTCGGAGAGGAAACCTGGTCAGCCATTATCGGTAGAACTGTCACAGCTCGCCGATTCTTGTAGTCTGTACAGGGAGCTGACTGCTGGTGCCCAGCGGCGTGCTGTGTGCCTGTGGCGCATGTCACCCGTCCGACGAGCGTAGTGTATCAACTTCTTGTCGAGCCATCGGTTTAGAATTGACTTTGACTCGTCCGGGCTACGGGCGGCAAGATGCGGGTACCGATCCGTCACTGCTGAAACCGAAGGAGCCTGTGCATAAGGATGTGATGCCAAAGCATAACGGAATTATTTAGTTACGTACGGTACCACGCCGGAATGGGTATTCATGATTGGGCAAAAAAGCCTGTCGAAAAGGCGTGACTGAGAGACAGATAGGAAAACCATTACAGTATGTGGTAACACAATCCGCCAGAGAGCCAACCTTCACCGCATCTTACCCCATCAACGTCACAATACACACTGTTTGAGAAACACTTACCTTGTAGATGAGAATCCCGAGCAGTACGATAACCAAGCCGGCCCAGGAAAACCATGCGGCGTCCTTCACCCGGTACGAGTGGTAGCCAAATGACAGCTGTACATAACACAGAGACGCACGGGCAGCTGGTGACATCAGGGGCAGTGCAGGTGAAAAACGGAGGTTTCCGCATGCTTCGTGCACACACACACGCACACCTCAGACCTCAGACCTGCCCATCGCAGAAGCGATGATAGCGAACAGCTATGTTAGACATAGCAACTAAAGTTACTTGTGCTGGGATTACACCATTCAACAGCTTGCAAGGCTGATGAATTGACCGCCATAAATTTTTAGCCTGGTATCCACCACACAGCTGATTGAAGTGGCTTTTTCTGGCCAGTGAATCTCTATTTTTCAATTTTTCACACACACACTGGCACACACACACACACACACACATACACACACACACACACACACACACACATACACACGTACACACACAAACACACACACACACAAAACACACACATGCACACACACACACACACACACACACACACACACACACACACACACGTGCACACACACATGCACACACACACACACACACACACACACACACACACACACACACACACACACACACACACACACAAACAAACAAACACTTATCTACATCGGATCGACTCCCAGGGCAAGCTGAAGAGAGGGCACAGAGCACAGGTTGTAGCCATACGTACAGCCAGCGACTTACCACGGGAGACATCTGCAGGAACGCTGACAAAACCGGTCCTATTGTTGTAACTGCCATACTGAAGGTAGCACTATGTTCTCTTACCATCAAAAACTGAACATGGAGCAGATACACACAGTGGAGCAGATACACACAGTGGAGCAGATACACACAGTGGAGCAGATACACACAGTGGAGCAGATACACACAGTGGAGCAGATACACACAGTGGAGCAGATACACACAGTGGAGCAGATACAGTACAGTCAGCCGTCGAAGAACGAACAGCCTAGAACTTCACGAAGCACAGCATACCGCAGATGTAACACATGAAAATATGAACGATCTAGGCTATGAGGTTGACCCCCCCCCCCCAGTTTTTCAGAAACTGACACTACCATACACACACATGCACAGAGGAAAGAAAACTAAAGCATGACAGATTACCTTGACTTATATCAACTGCGTCGCATACACACTCTGTATGATCATGTGTAAATTGACGTCCTAAATGGAGAGCATACATCCCCCTTCTTAAAAAAAGTGAGCGTCTGGTGTTGTTGCTTTTTTCATCTACTCAAACCTTGCTCAAGGCCTCATGATGTCAAATTCAATAGACTCTCCCCCCCCCCCCCCCCCCCTCACCTCACCCAGTCAACAACTTGTGGCTATAGGCACACTGGCACATGAATGTTGGCAATGGGGCTTTCTGGAACTTGTGCAAGTAGTCTATGACTTAGTGACACCTACCGTACTTTACCAGTTGTAAGTCGACCCCGGTTATAAGTCGACCCCCTATCTGGAGGTCTCAATTCTGCGCTTTAAAGTTTTCACCCAAAGAAGCACTACTAACCACCTCCTGCTACTAACACATCAACAAATTATGTAAACATTCCTTATTGGAGGATAAAACGTCCCAATCCTTGAAAAAGGCCAATAAACTGGCAAAATGTGTAAACATGGTGCACTCGTGCATGCAGTGCAGGTCATTTTTTGTAAGATACTGATAGTTCCCGGTTATAAGTCGAATCCCGGTTGTAAGTCGACCCCCACCCTTTCTCCTTCTATTTTAAGTCGTAAAAGGTCGACTTACAACCGGAAAAATACGGTATCCCCCCCCCCACTCCACACGCATTCCACACACACATATACCGCTACAAAATGTGGTGCTGGATCATTTCAGGTGCCCCCCCCCCCCCCCCCAACCCACCAGAATCGGCTGCACACCCGGTCGCACTTACAAGAAGGCACAGTAGCACTGTAGTAGCGATTTGCTGTGCAACAAAAATGCTCACGGCATGTGTGCACGTGTCGGGGTGATGCAAACCAGCCAGACTGCTATTGAGTGGAGAACTGTAGGTGCGGGTGAGGTTGTTCTCATAACCGCCATGCTTGTAAAATGTACACCGCCAGGCAACCTTCAGAACCAGCCAGACTGCTATTGAGTGGAGAACTGTAGGTGCGGGTGAGGTTGTTCTCATAACCGCCATGCTTGTAAAATGTACACCGCCAGGCAACCTTCAGCAGCAACAACAGAAAATGGAGAGCACTAAGAGATTCGCTACCAACAATGTACCGTGTACTTTGAGTCGCCAAGAATGGTACCGTGGATGTGCCAGAAAAAAGTTTCAAAGTCCTCAACCGCCAAAGGAGCCTCTGATGCTGTTCAATTAGCTTGTGAAAATCAAGTGCCACGCTTTCACAAAACAACAATAGCACAGTAAACCCCTTCTTCTCCTAAGAAATGGACATGATGTAATGCAAGCAAATAGCTTGCAGACGAAGCTTAGCAATGGGCTATTGAATAGCAGAATAGAATTGCAATTATTTAAGAAACAGTGTTATTATGCACTTCCCAAAGTACTGCGCTTTTCAATGAAATTCGATCGCCTGAGTCCAGTACATACCGGGCACTGTGCAGCCCTAGATTTGCAAGTTCTGGGATGTGAACTGATGCATCCCAGTAGCAGCGTGCAAACATGACCGTCACGAGACCGGACTTCATTGAGCAGCATTGTAGTGTAGGTCATCATAGTGCAGCAGTACAAACCCACAGCTGCCCCCCCCCCCCCCCTCACACACATACATACATACATACGTATATGTTGGACTCAGTAGAGCGTCCAGCCTCTATATGATGTCCAACCCCTATATAGAGTCCATTAGTCCAAAATCCACTGTACAGAGTCCAAACTTGAAATCAACTGTGAGCTCAAAGTTTCGATGGACATCACTCCCTGTATAGAGTCCAGCCAATTGGCTTCACCCCTATATAGAGTCCATTGGTCCAAAATCAACTGTACGGAGTCCAAACTTTGAAATCAACTAAAAAGGTCTTTATGTGGACAACGCCCCCTGTATAAAGTCCAGCCAATTAGGCATCCCCTATCGAGTTCGAAAATAGACATAGGATCTGCTGTAAGCAGTGAATATTAACCAGAATGCGGCCTCTCCCTTTAATCCTTTACATCATTCACTTCTCAAGATAAAAAAAGATGTATTGAGGCGCCACTGCAGCCACTTCATTACATGAAAAACAAACAAACACCATCCTCAAATCAAGTGGTCTCTTCGCAGACGCTGCAAATTACAATATCTCAATCATGTAGTGTTGCCAAATTATTGTGCATGCACACACACATGCACACACCCACACAACGCCAAGAAAATACCTAGAAAAAAAACAAGAATCGAAAGAGAATAATGGAGAGCCCAGGATTAATTATTTGTTTTCAAATTATTGTGCGCGCACGCGCGCGCACACACACACACACACGCACACACACACACACACAAACTTATACAACGCCAAGAAAACACCAAGAAAAGAGTAGAGACACAATACACACGCAACTCCAACAGCCATGCAAACGTCCAGCCATTTACATGTAAAGTCAAGAGGGATAACAAATAATTATACGAAACGAATGCGTACGGGGACGGGTACACGCACGTTTACATACACGTAGTAGTGTAAGAGAGTAACATAGTGCAGTGGTCAGCATAATACTAGCACATGCTGAGAGTGCAATAGCAAGCTTCACCATTGCTCATGGCCATGGAAATGTTCAGCAGCACTCAGTTCCGCAAGCTTCTGAAGATCAGCACACCTGCAACAAATAGATAGCACAAGGATACGCGTATTACCGTAATGATGCATGGGAGCACACAACTACCAAGTTCTCAACGAATGTGATGCTCAATGAAAATCAATCCACTCAAAGACCTGTGAACAGGTGATGGTGGGGACAATAATCTATTAGTAATACGAGGAATAAGATCGTTTGTGCACACTCAAGACGCACAGACACACCAACATATATGTAGTGTACACAGTGTTTCACTTCACTGCAACTAAATTGAAATGAGATGATTTGAACAATCTGTACAGCGTTGCTGTCAGTCAGTCTTCCCCAAGATGGAAATGCAATGATTTGTTGTCACGAGGCAGTTTCACTGACACAATGTCATGTTCGTGACATCAAAACGGTTACTTCAGGGAATACGAGTATTAGCTTGAGAAGCTTTTTCTTGTCATTGGCATACAAGCAATCCTCCTAGTCCTACTACTACTAGTACACTGGCACTGCGTTTGTGGATCCCATTGTATTTGACATCATACTACAGGAAGAGTGTCGTGGAGTTCACATAATTATCACAGGGATAAAAATACATTTCTCATGAAATAAAATAATAATTGATGATAGCTAGACGATCATATACGATTGATGCAAAGTCCTTGCAGTCCTTGAGGACTATTACGAAGTGGTTGATTACTTTTAGGGCATTCATTCAAGCAACATCAAACAAACGCGATACGCTCCTTGAAAATGGAAAAAAAATTCAAGCATAACGACAGAACAGCTCAGCAGACCTGTCACCAATCGAAACGAGTAAAAGCTTCCTTACCTCAGTCATCGTCCTGCCATGTAGTTGGACAGTCTTTTGACACGGTGGTACAGGCAGCTCTTGTCCAGTCAAACAGGGGTATTCTTGTGGCGTCGAACGGAAGAGAGTGTCAGTGTATCTGACTCGTCAGATTGCAACTGTGCTGAACTTTTCTCTTTCTCCGCTTTCTGCTTTCATCCCTCGCTCTGATGAAACCGTTCAAACTTCTCTTTCTCCGCTTTCTGCTTTCATCCCTCGCTCTGATGAAACCGTTCAAACGTCTTACTGGCAGCAATGGCCAGCCAAACAGGGGATCCTTGTGGCGTCGAACGAAAGAGAGCGTCAGTGTACCTGACTCGTCAGATTTGAACTGTGCTGAACTTTTCTCGTTCTGCAATTTCTGCTTTCATCCCGCGCACTGATGAAGCGTCTTCAGAGAACCACAAGACGCTTTCCAGATTTGATTTTGAACGTCTCCTTATCCTCCTTGGTTAGCTCGAGACAGATTACTGTCAGCAACTGCACAGCAGAATTGGCAGCCATGGCTGAAGTGAAGAAAGGAATGCGCTGCCACGAGGCAAGCAAAACTGAAAATGTGTTCTCTTTCGGGCACAACACACAGGATCGTGACTAGGACGGCGTGACTGGATAAACTGGACTCCTGGACCGTGAATAGGGGACTTGTAGAAAAAGTGTACTCCTTATAGGGGATTGCGCGGCAGGATGAAGCTGATCAAAACTGAGTGGATTCCTGGACTCTGTATAGTGGATTTTGGACCAATGGACTCTATATAGGGTGCTGGACATCATATAGTGCATGGACTCTATACTGAGTCCTACATATATACATACATACACATACGTTCGGGCCTGGTATAAATTTGGCTTTGGAAAATTTATTTTTCATTGCTATGAGGTTCGGCCTCATTTTCTCTGTGCTGCGCTGATAAGTCCAAGGATGAAACAGTTCTGTCCGCAGATTGAGTACATACATACAATACACACACACACACACACACACACACACACACACACACACACACACACACACACACACACACACACACACACACACACACACACACACACACACACACACACACACACACACACACACACACACACACACACACACACACACACACACACACACACACACACACACACACACACACACACACACACACACACACACACACACACACACACACACACACACACACACACACACACACACACACACACACACACACACACACACACACACACACACACACACACACACACACACACACACACACACACACACACACACACACACACACACACACACACACACACACACACACACACACACACACACACACACACACACACACACACACACACACACACACACACACACACACACACACACACACACACACACACACACACACACACACACACACACACACACACACACACACACACACACACACACACACACACACACACACACACACACACACACACACACACACACACACACACACACACACACACACACACACACACACACACACACACACACACACACACACACACACACACACACACACACACACACACACACACACACACACACACACACACACACACACACACACACACACACACACACACACACACACACACACACACACACACACACACACACACACACACACACACACACACACACACACACACACACACACACACACACACACACACACACACACACACACACACACACACACACACACACACACACACACACACACACACACACACACACACACACACACACACACACACACACACACACACACACACACACACACACACACACACACACACACACACACACACACACACACACACACACACACACACACACACACACACACACACACACACACACACACACACACACACACACACACACACACACACACACACACACACACACACACACACACACACACACACACACACACACACACACACACACACACACACACACACACACACACACACACACACACACACACACACACACACACACACACACACACACACACACACACACACACACACACACACACACACACACACACACACACACACACACACACACACACACACACACACACACACACACACACACACACACACACACACACACACACACACACACACACACACACACACACACACACACACACACACACACACACACACACACACACACACACACACACACACACACACACACACACACACACACACACACACACACACACACACACACACACACACACACACACACACACACACACACACACACACACACATCCTGTCCTGTCCTGTAGAGCCACTACCACTAGGGTCACGTGGGCCCCGGAGGGGCAGCAGAGAGAGAGAAAGAGCACGCCACCCGATGGCGCTCCAGATGCGAGACTAGTCGGAACCGGCGAGAGCAGATACACATATGCGGGAACTTGTCCCATTCTCTGGCCGTTGGTCGGTGGCAGTGCGTTGAACAGCGATGGCGGTTGCGTCCCTGGGTTGAGCGGAAACAACGATTGCAGGTGCCACAGTGAGCATTGCAGCACCTCCGAGCGGTAGTGTCACCGGTGACAACAGCAGCTGGTTCGGTCGGTACTGGGCACGAGGTAGAAGCGGAGCAACGATGCACAGCCAAGCCTCCGCGGCTCCGGAACCAACGATGACACCGAGGGCACTGGCATGCACCTCTCTGCTCCGAAACCGGCTTCTGCCGTTCAGCCGTGCACTTGTGCCTAGCGAGGTCACCCTGACGTGCGAAGTGCCGGGCGCATGTGAAACAAGTCACCGGTGCCGGTACGAGGGGATCCGGGGCGTCCGAGGTGTAAGCCAACCTCCAGTCTGGGCGAGAGTCACAGGCCACTCTGTACCAGTCCGCTTCAAGGTCTCATGAGCGGAGGTCCTTTACAGCGCAGTCTTTCCACACACACACACATACATACACACTCACATACATACATACATACCCTGAGGTTTTGGGCAAGGGTCTTGAATGAGTGGGTGACGTTCTCACATGAAGGCACGACTCCTGGTATAACGTTGACCCAGATGAGGGCGGCAAGGAAGATGGCAAGGTAGACCATGATGAGCGCGATTGCCAAGAAGAAGTTCAGCTCTCCGACCACATCGCCACTGATGGTTGCATCTTCTGTGCTATCTCTTGCATGGCGCTGTCGTGAGTCCTCTGATATCAGTGGTTCCTCACCATTTCGCTGCGACGATGACGGGATTCTGAGGAAATCACGTTTCTGGAAAATAAAAATATGGACGATATTCGTGGTGAACACATCTCATAGTGAACGATATCTGAATACACCCAGTCCTCTCTCACCCGGGCAGCTTGAAACTAAAGGGTGTAAGTCAGAAACTTGATGACAACATGTGTATACACAGTGATGAGGGCCGCCGCAAAAACGGATTATGCCACAATATGTGAGGTGCACGGTTACAGTGTACGTGTAGTGAAAATGCTACTCAACTGTTGAAAACTCAGTTTTCGTATCATCCAGCCCCCCCCCCCCCCTCCCCAGCCTTCCTGCAGGTAAAATGAAATCCAGAAAAAAATATTAATTTGAAATTTAGCACCATCAGTTTGACTGGAGTTTGTGTATTCAATAATTATTCTTGAAAGCCAGAATAGCTCCAAACCCGCTCACCCCCAGATGAAGTTTTTCATCTCGAAACAAAACAATCGGTAACAATTGGGGCCTCCAAAGGCTTACCTTCAGAAAGAACTCCAGAAGTACTCCTGTGCTGCATATCAGCGGCACACTGAATAGATACAAATAATCCCATGCAATCTGTGTGGTTGCACACGGCACAGAAAACAGAGTTGGAAAAGTGCCATTGGAACTACGGGAATGTCAGACTTTTTAGGCTGTAACATGTAATTCCGGTACGGTGATACTAATTTCTGCACGTCTCTCATCTAAAACTTCAAAAGCGCACACAGACACCAATACACATCGTCCAGTCAGAATGATTGATTCTCTGCACACCTAACCTTGTCCTGTGCCCGCACACCTAACTTCAAGTTTTGATCACCTCGGTTGTCTGACATTATTCGAGTAATCCCACCCAGAACAAAGGGGCGATGAACACATGCATGCCGGCACAGGCTGATAACTAGAACTAGAATGCAGCAGGAAAAGAACTTGTCCTCACCTTAAAATGAATACCAGTACATGCATGCAAAGTCAATGCCATCACTGCAGCAAATCTGTAGATAAATCCGGTTCTTACCTCTGACCCGGAGCGATGGAGACGGAAGCACTTTGACTCGCTCATCACAGATGCAGTGTTGTTGATCCCATAGCATGCCATTTCAAAGTCGGTGACATTCTTCTGACACGGTGGTGATATCCAATCCGGTATCATAGAGACTAGGGCACCGCAGATTACTGTGCCGCCACCTACAAGCTGAGAACACAATGGTACGCACATGCCGAACATGGCATCAGCCAGTGAGCTTCGCATGCTGGAGTGGCGGCAAACACCATTAGTAGATAGTGCCACGTTTATAGGAGTAGAATGTGTACACCGGTTTCGCACCGGTCCACCCTCCCTTCTGAGCAAAACTTGGGCCATTCAAGGAATCCGATATCCATGGTAGAATGGATAATGTATACCAGCGCGGCATGCGCAATCCCTACTTGACTAAAAGTCTGGCCACTTGGGGTACATTTTATGCCAATGCTTGTATTATTGTATAATCAAAGTTTAACTACGGTTAGCATCCCCCCACCTCACAACAGAGCAACCGAGTTTTGCATTAAGCTGGGAGTGCCGATTCGAGCAACTGGTATAATGGCTCTGCTTGGAGCCGCTAGATGGCTCGCAGCTGAGCCAGCAAATGACTCCGCTTGGAGCAGGCGAATGACTCCGCATGGAGTCACCACCAGGACTCGAACCAGGGACCCTCGCTTGTAGCCAGCGATGCTCTAACCACTGAGCTATGGTGCAAATAAATAAAACTGAGATCCGAAGAAAAGTAACCATCCAGGATGTTGAGCACAAAGTCGTGGCTCGAAAGTGATCTCGAGCACCTTGGTGCAACAGGCACAGTATACAGAGGGGCTTATCAACATGGAAAGCAGGATTCGCAGCTAGTGTAAGAGTTTAATAAATGGCATGGTCATTGCCTTGTTATGCAGAGCACTGTCCAGTACCGCATTGCGAACCTCAAATCTGTGGCCTCATGATACCTTTTGTATCATGCAGCAAACTATCTTCCAGGCTTACCCAAGTTCTAGTGCACAGACCATCATCAGATAGTGACAGATTCCCTTACCAAGAAAGTCATGCTCTGAACTCTGCGATCTCCGTGCAGCATTCTGTAATCTTTGTTTTTGATCAGACCGGTACAGTAAAACCTGTCAAGGCGATCACTCGGATAAGGAGACCACCTGTCCTGAAAGACCACTGACACCAGAACCAAAAGGATGCTATTTCCAGTTAAACGACCCAGGATGAGGGCCACCTGGTAACAGAGACCACACTTCGAAGGTCCCTTGAATTGAGCTGTTGTCTTAGACAGGTTTCACTGTACATACACTTGATCAGATCATGAGCAGGGGCGTCGGAAGGTATTTTAGTGTGGTACGGTCAGCCATCTGGAGTACAATTTACTCGTGGGGGATGGCTGAGCTGAAAATTTTGGAAAATTAGAGCCCAAATCAGTGCATTTGATTGATTCACGGGGTACTTGGGGTAAATAGTGGTACGGTAAATACCGTGGTGAATGTAGCGTGTGCGACACCCCTGACGAGCCATGGCATGCAAGGTACTGACCGGCTTACCTCCAGCATCACAGGGCGATAGCCAAGCAGTAGATAGCTCAGGGCCATAGTGAACGGAACAAATGTCAGCGGAAGAATCGACTGCAAGAAAGCACACACAGCGTACACATGACATGTGTATGCAAACATTGTATGCACCTAAGGCTTACAAGCCCAGACAGACTCCAATGCGGACAAAGACAAACCATAAAAGTATCCTGTATCATTTCATACTTTCCTTCAAGTACTACTATGTCTTCATAAGGTTGAGGAAGTTGAATTATTTCTGGTTGCACTAGTTTCTCGCAATCAGAGCATTATGAAATTGGTCCATTGAGCACATGGAAAAAGAGCAAGGGGAGGGGGGGGGCACTAAAGACAGGTTTGATTGAAAAGACAAGACTCACCTGTAGCACGCCTCTAACATGTGCCGTTCCCATTCCTGTCAGGATATAGTTCAGTGCAAGAAGCAGTCCAATCAGCGCGGGAATGACGGACCGGAAATACATTTGATTGATGGGCATGCTGAGACGTTGCGGGTCAGCCACATCTGCAGTGTATATGGTACACAGAAATCCATGTAAGGCAACCGGTAAGTATAGCTTATCAAGGAAAGGCAACCCCCACCACCACGCTCTCTCTCTCTCTCTCTCTCTCTCTCTCTCTCTCTCTCTCTCTCTCTCTCTCTCTCTCTCTCTCTCTCTCTCTCCCCCTATCTCTCTCTACCTCTCTCTCTCCTTCTCCCTCTCCCTCTCCCTCTCCCTCTCCCTCTCTCTCTCTCTCTCTCTCTCTCTCTCTCTCTCTCTCTCTCTCTCTCTCTCTCTCTCTCTCTCTCTCTCTCTCTCTCTCTCCTCAGTAAGAAATATCACCGAGAAGCAAAAGGAGGTGTTTTCCTTGTACGTGTGTACATTTACTTGAATTTCCTACGTACACGTACGACAATTATACAAGTAGTAGTTTCTTTGCTATAGCTGAGCCCGATATACATTGAGCTACACGGCCGTTGCCATCATTCTACACGCGGCCCTGAGTACAATTTGTATTCGCGTTTCGCGTGTGCATAAAGCTATGACGCTATCACAACGATATTTGCACTTCTGTATTGTGCAACGTAAATATGAACACCAGACAGTGGAAGCACGGTGAAGGGAACAGTATGTACAGTGCGAGGGCACGTGCCAAGTCTCCTAAGGCGTACACTTTGGATAGTGAATGCATACTTTAGTGGTGTGCACGGGCAATCGGGTACCCGTGCTACCCGTGGGACGGGCAATCGGGTACCCGTGCTACCCGTGGGACGGGCAATCGGGTACCCGTGCTACCCGTGCTACCCGTGGGACGGGCAATCGGGTACCCGTGCTACCCGTGCTACCCGTGGGACGGGCAATCGGGTACCCGTGCTACCCGTGGGACGGGCAATCGGGTACCCGTGCTACCCGTGGGACGGGCAATCGGGTACCCGTGCTACCCGTGCTACCCGTGGGACGGGCAATCGGGTACCCGTGCTACCCGTGCTACCCGTGGGACGGGTACAGAATACTCTAGTACCCGAAAACCCGAAGGCGCAGACGACATCATGTACAGTGCACGTGTAGAAATTCATGTCATACTCCGCATGTCTTCCCAGTGTGTAAGGGAAGGGGTGCATTGTGGTGTTACCATGGAACCATTACCCGATCGGGTATACCCGTGCTACCCTTGGAAAACTACCCGAACCCGATAACCGAAGAAAATGATGCTACCCGCTTCAACTCTTGTATATTTAAAACTGAACTGTTTCATAACCAGAGGTTTCACTGCACTCAATGCATTCAGGTCATCAATACCACACCCTGCTAAGCCATACGACACTGGCCAGCCATACCGCAACCTGCTTACTTTGGCCATAGTGAAGCCGTCTAAATAGCAGACGAACTCCGCAGCAAGCAAGGTAGGTGCAGCCAGCAATTGGCGCGAGGAAGATAATGAAAAAGTAGCCATGCTCCGGCATAGCCTGTCCCCATGCTACCAGCGTTGTCACCACCAATGCAAAGGCCATCACTGCACCCATCCCGATCAGAACCTGGCTGCCGACTTTCAGTACGGGATGCATGGCGACGAGGTCTTCCGTCCGACGGAACGTCACTGCCCTCGCTCTCTCGTGATGCCGGTATGTCAATATGGCTCACACGGTCGCGCATAGGCTTGCAGATCAGCACTGCTTGCCCGGTTTACATGATAATGTGTGAACGTTGTCCAGATCCTGCAGAGCAACACATGTACAAGATCAGTTGGAGGTTGAACACACGTGTCCCTAGCATGGAGGTGTCCGTAGTACAGTAAACCCTGTGACTAACGACCACCCCTTGGGGCCAGAGAAAGCGGTCTTTAGTGGCAGGGGGTCCTTAGTTAGAGGTTTGCACCGCACAACATAGTATGAATGTTAGACCGTCCATGCCTGGCGAAGTGGTCTGTAGTAGCAGGCTGGTCGCTAGTCACGGTGGTCTTTAGTTACAGGTTTTACTGTATTGTAGAGGTGTCTGCAAAGTATTTGCTGTAGGGTTGCAGGTCCGGCGGAACCGGTCCGGCTGGTCAGGCCATAGCCGGACCAACTTTTTGGCCATCAGGCATCAGCATCATGTGTCTACTGCTGAGGAGGTCATGCCTACCCATCATATCCTACACAAAGTATGAATGGCTAGGGTATGGCCAGACCAATCCAAAACTGCTTCCGCCGGTCTTGGGGGTTGATCGTGTACGTGTGCAGGTGGAGCTGCTGCTTCAGGATTTTAGAGGCGCAGTTCCGCACAGCCAAAGACAGGTAGGGTGATTATCCTCAAATGTTCGGAACAAGTCGCAGCATTGGCCCGGTATTCGTAGTAAAACCGCGTTCCTGGTACAATTCTACCTTCGCTAGTTGACAACCAGGGGAGGGGGGGGGGGGGGGTTAAAGAAATCGTCTTATACCGAGTATTATCTACAATCCAGACTTGCAGGTACGTGCTTCAGGCGTCAAGGGATTTTGGATCATTGTCTGCTAATCGGGTTTGTCCACACAGGCCAACCTTCCCGGTTTTTTCGGGGAAAATTCCGGGAAATCGGCAATACTCCCGGGATTTTATTAAAGGGGAAGTGCATCGATTTTTCGAGTAGGATCCAGAAGAAAGACAATTTGATATCGGTTCGAATGGCATATCTCTCACTTCCATACGATAAGCCAAACTTGCCAAATCGCCAATTGTATGCTCACGTTGCCATAGCGACCAGCGTAGTGATGACGTATGAAAGGCTTAGCTCCTCCACAGAGAAGGTCGATCACTGCAGAAATTGGTCATTTTCATTTGTCTTATTGTATTCACGATGTGAAAGAAGTGCTGTGTTCAATGCTGTTAGTGCCGTGAACTATTTATCGCCCTTCTCATGCATTTCCCTAGGGTGACTGTGCCTAGGAAATGGTTTCCTTCAGGACAAGATGCTTGGAATTCGTCATCTCTCCTGAGACATTTTCAGCAAACTTTCAAACCTACGACATTATTTCATTCGTCAATCTCCACCACCCGTCGTCTCACCTGGCTTCAGAACATGTTACGAGAGATAGGAGAGTCGCCAGGAAGCATCACATCCATCTTCAGGAAGTGGAAAGAGCAAACGGCATGGTCCTTGGTTGGGGGAAATGCTGAACGTCTGATTTGTCCCAACCAAGATTTCAGCATTTTGTTCGTCACTATTTTCGCTTGTCTGCTGGTGTCTCCGCACTCCAGCTTTCTCCTGTCGGTGTCACGTCCCAGTACACGACCGAGAGGACTACTAACAAACAGTTCACTGCACTAACAGCATTGAACACAGCCCTTCTTTCACTTCGTGAATACAATAAACCAATTGAAAATGACCAATTTCTGCAGTGATCGACATTCTCCGTGGTATAGCTAAGCCTTTCGTACGTCATCACTGCGCTGGTCGCTATGGCAACGTGAGTATACAGTTGGCGATTTGGTAAGTTTGGCTTATCGTATGGAAGCGAGAGATATGCCATTCGAACCGATATCAAATTGTCTTTCTTCTGGACCATACTCGAAAAATCGATGCACTTCCCCTTTAAAGCAAGCTCCCGGAAAAGCCACATTTTTGTCTTGGATCCAGTATGTTCATGAAAACTCCGGCGACCCACCTCCAGTGTCCCGGTTTTCTCAAAAAAGTGTACGGTGCGCACTCACACTTCGAACTGTGCGCGTCACTTTCAAGGCCTGACCAGCCCAGCCAGCATGATCTGCACTGACAGGCGCGCCAGGCGTGTGCTGACTGATCGAATTGCCTGCACTGCAGTGTTGCACTGTGCTGTACGCAGAGTCTAGAATTCCGGGAATTCCTATGTCGTCGAAATAATTTTTTGGCCGGAAATAGCTCTTTTACACTTGTGTTTGTGTGCCATCCAGGGAATTTGGAGAGAAATACAGGGATTCTGCATGTCTTGTCTGGTTGGTCAGTGTGTTTGTCTTATACCCGATGTCGTACTATCGAGGGTAGACCTGTAACATGTAGATTAGAGAGGTTCGGCTACAAGTAACGTGTTCACGTACGTGACAAAAGCGCCACACTTTGCAAAGCTACGCGGGCGCAGAGTTTGATTCGGCTTCGCCTTTGTGGCAAGCCAAGCTGCATCTCCGGGACAACCAAAATGGCGACATTGAAAAAAATTTACTTCTCGGGCTTTACTCCAGTGATATCATGGTGTTCCTTATTCCGACACTCGAGTGCTGCGCAGACCGGAGGTTCTTGAACAATTCTTCGCGGAGCTCGATCCATGTAGATCACCAGATTCGCGCCAAGCCGTGAGCTCCACACCGCGTACTTTTCATCCTCCAGCCCAGGTGACAGGTCTACACGCCGAGTTTTGGACAAAAAGCGTTTAGCCGAACCTCTCTATTATCACATTGTAACGATTATGAAAATCAGCGTCAACACCACTGCTCGTCAATTACTGCCTTTCGACGGTACACCTGTCACTATTCAACACCTGAGTCCACAATGACTGAGGTGCGGAAAGAGCGTTATTCTTACAATCAGTAAGCCTTTAATAATTTTTGTTGTCTCTCATTCTCAGCAGCTAAGTCTACGCAATCAGACGCTAAACCAGCAACACAGGGAATTTCCATAGGCCCTGGTATTCTCATAACGTACATGGATATCCCGCTTGAACGCAGATGTGCAAACTAACTAATTACTGTCTTTTACATGAGATCCACTAAAACTACATAACGTCAGCGATTACGGTGATCTTACCCTATGCGACGAGCCGGAGGACAGCGGCTGTTGTTGCGTCGGTCAAGCGGATACACAGAATTTTTCTTCTCAGTTCAATTACAAACAACAAAATAGGGGCACAGCCTAAATCCGGACATAGACGGGCGGATGATGACACGACCGGACGACAAGTTTCCGCTCCGCTTCTAAATCTATCGCATGTTGCCCCTACAGCAGCTTGTTCATTCTGTTGCTTGCATCAGCAACTACCACACCATCAATCTGTTAGCCCGAACAAGCTACTCATGCTCTGGGGCCTCCTGGCCTGGCATCGGACGTCGAAGCTGAAACAGGTTCAACAACGGAAATATCCGTCTTTGCCGATTATTACCGGTACCGGTACGGACTCGATGCATCGCTCGCGCTAGCTGTCGAAAAACTAGGCCTAGCCTAGCCTAGCGCTAGGGAGTCGTAAAAAATACGCTCCACATGACATGATTGTATCATTCACGATTCCCTGCGAAAACCCAGTCATGACGACGCGTCCCTGGGCGATGACGACGCGTCCCTGGGCGATAACCAGGGTCAGGGAGTACAATCATGTACATACGTAACATAGATCTACTAGTACTAGTACTAGTAGTAGATCTACTACAACTAATAGTAATAATTATCCTAATTATCCTACTACTATACTAGTACTAGTACTACTAGGGACTCGGAGTAACCAGTGGTAACTTCTCCCGACCCTATGCTATAGGCCTATGCCTATGCCTATGCCCTAGCACTGGCGATGCCCAGGCTCAAGGACAAGGACAAGGTCAAGGAGGCTATGCAGAGCGTGCTAGCGGTAAACTAAAGAAAAGGAGACCCTTGCCTTGGCCTTTACCTGATTCAGGCCAGCAGTGGCAGTTCGGTACGACAGTAGTATGACTCGTTTCTCATGTCTAAAGGTACATGTACATGTACATCATTGTACCGATGTAGACAAAAGTCGCTTTCCCGCGCTCTCCCGATGAACTCGGCAAAACAGACACACGTGAGATGTGGTGTTTGACTGCCCCGATTCGCTCCTCATGCAAGATTCTCCTCTCTTCTTTATGTTGTATGGCAATCTACGCTGTCGGAAGAGACTGCCGGTGTCGAGGAACTTCTTCTAGAAACGCCCACCCACATGTGCCGGTTGCATCCACGTCCACGCGAGCACTGTCAGCAGCTGAAACTGCTGTGGAAAGACGCAGGCTCCTACCCGGGGCCGTGTGTGTGTGGGGGGGGGGGGGAGGGGGGGGGGCATGCACATCAATGTACCAGTACGTGTACATGTGTTGTATACAGATAAACCATGGTAAAACAACTAGTTACAGTCATGACGTTGTAGTTACAGATCAACAAGAATAAACTCCCATGCAGCTTATTACAGGTCAGGTACTCTTGAAATATTTTAAATTAGCAAGAGTACGTGAGCTCCTTTACTCTCGATATACATGTATCAGGAAGAGGTCTGTACAGTCATGCACAAGCAGGCAAGTAAGTTGGTTGGGCTTCGTTCAGGGTTCTAAGTCGACAAGTATTAGTTGGTTGCTCTCCATACCGGAGCTCGCACCTTTCCCACCAATCTGACTTGACATTTGACTGAGTCACGACTGCCATAAACAGCACATGTACACGAGAAGTTCATCGAACATTCGACTTGGAAAACCTGCAAGAAACTATACCATTCCCTGCTCAATATAGATAATAGTGTTTCGGGGAATTCACTCCGAAACGTACCAGTACTAGGTCCAGTAGACCATGATGGACCCCCCCCCCATCCAAAGCAGCCCACAGCGCTACGAGTTGTTACTGGTTCGAGTACAAGGTACGACTCGTACTGCTTATGATCGATGGTGATTGAACATGTATAAATAAGTAACTACAGATGTTACCAGGGACGCAGCAAGGAGTCGTCAAATACCGGGTATACCGACGACTCCCTGGATGTACAATATTTTGTTACAACTACAAACTCGTTGTTTGTGGGGTGGGGTGCATGAAAAGTACAAAACTCTTGGATGTACATGTACATGTAGGCATGGTGCATACGTCATGTGTTTCCACAAACCATTCGGGGTTCTGTGATAAAATTTAATGTGGTCCAAAACTAGTGTTGGGCCGCTTGTAGTACTACTAGTACTACTACTCGCAATGATCATGGTGATCGTGTGCAGCAATTTGTCTGGATATCTTTGGTACCGACTGTGGAAGTGTCTCAAGGTAAACGCTACTACACTCACTGTGGTAACTCAGGCTGAGATTGAGAGCGAAGAGCAAAGTTCACCGTTTTCCGTAGCACCTTTCCTTGCACACCATCTTCCAGCGAGTTTACCTGCCCATGTGGTTCTCATTGTACAAACAGTAAGTACCGGGTATGTACTTGTACTTGTACCATAAGTCCATGACGTGTATGGGTATGGCCTCTTCTTCGCGTGGCAACACGTTTACATACAGTACAGCATTTAGCTTGTGGATTTTTTATTTATTTTTTTACTATTGAACACTCACTGCATGATGAACTAAAATGAGGAGAAGAATTCGACACAATGGTACATATCCAGCAGGACGGAGTGGGTGGGACCTGTGAAGCTCAGCCGGCCAAGGGTCTCGGCATCACAGCTGCACATGTGCACCAGAGGAAACAAAATGGGGAGTGGAAGGGCGGGGAGGGGAGCAGGAGAGCAAGAACTCTAAGGGTAGGAAAGAGAGGAGGGAGGAGAGGAAATGAAGATCTTCTCCTGATGGTACTATTGGGCTGGTCAGGTAATCTGTCACACTAGTAGGACATGCATGGTTTGCATTTTGCCTACATTGTTTGTTTCGAGGTCTGATAAAAAATGCCCATGGCATTGGTCTCTGCTGGGGTGACGACTGCATGCACCCCAAAGATTCGTGGTAGAGCTTCGCAAATATCCCTGGTTCGAGTTCTGATGGTGGCAGTGACTGTGGGGTACCGTGAGTAAGGGCTGCGCCTCACCAGCCTGTGTGGCTTCACACGAAGCATGAGTGTCGAAGTCTGTTTTAACACCTTCTTAAAAGAAGGTGTTAAAAGAAGGTGTTGGACCGTTTCTCCTTGGGCGTAACGTGACGCACACAAATCGCTAGCTGCATGGCCAATAGAGAAGGCCCCTCGTTCGAGCCCTGGCGGTAATAGTCACGCAGTCTTCCCTTTTTCATTTCCCTCCAGCTATGGAATTTCCAATTTTGTCTCGCTTGCCTCTGTATTTCTACAGAACTATCGGCCAATGGTGCAAAGGTGGCACCACAGACTGCTAGCTAGCATAGACAGATTTTGAGATAGCTCGTCGATCTAGCGCCAGAGTTCTCTACCTAGAAAAGTAGCGAGCGATGCATTGCGCAGCAGCACTAAAGTAGCCTACCGAAGATGCTCAACAGAACGAACGCCAATTTTTAAACCATGTACATGTATACGTCGTATAGCTGCAAAAACTCAGAGAGAGAAGTGCGGAAGCTGTTTCGAGTGCGTGCTGGAAGGTGGATGGATAGCTGATATGAGTGCGTAGGCTGAGCAGACAAGCGGGTGGGCTGCATGCCCTGGGGTCGATGTTGCACGTTGGGCAGCAGGCCGAGGATCTTCTTGACTTGAGTGGACTGTCCGCATCAGGCAGAAGAGCTTGTACAGGTAGGTGAGCGAATCCACTGTCCACCGCAGAGTGAGACTGGGGAGCCAGGAGCCCGATCCGATGGTGTGGATGGTTCGTCACTGTGTCTGGTCTAGATTCACCAAGTGCGAATGTGGCGGACCAAGCTAAACCAGGGGACGCGGCGGGCAGAGGTCGGACAAAACCCATTGTATGCTCGGAGCCTGCCAGGGATTCTGGAACAGCAGAGGCTTTCTACAGGAAGCCTAGTCGTTGCTGGGCTCTGGAGCGGATTGATTGAATATGCTGGGCGTATGTCAGTTGGGAGTCAAATGTCACCGACTCCCAGGAGATTCAGGCGGCCTTCTTCACTGACTGGCGTGGTGTCGAAGGTGGTTCCCAGGAGCTGCCAAGACTGGCGATGGTGTGCACGGTTTAGGTTTTGAAGGACTCAAACGCAATCTTCCACTCAGTCCAGCGAGGCAGCCTTCCGCCCCCTGTTGCATGATCGCTGAACTGGCAGGTATGAATACTCTTGTGTGGCGCCGTCAGCATAGGCCGCGAGGTCCATTCCGGCCGGGTGGGAAATGATCCTCAGCATCATTGGTCCAGTCTATGATTAACAGCCTGGATCCCAGGATGCTGCCCTGGGGGACACCAGCTCTTACCGTGCTGAGGTAACTCCCCGCCAACAGCTGCTGTTAGGTTTCGACTGTTCACGTAGCACTAGCCGCCGAGCCAACCAAGCAGGTGACCAGCCACGCCATAGCACTCTGTCTTGTGGAGCCCTTCGATGTGCGAGACAAGGTCAAACGCACCATCCACATCCACTGCACTCACCCTTACTGGCCCACCGCTTGCGGTCACCTTGCCCCATGAGGAGTTCGATAGGGTGAGGATATCCTGGGTGCCGGGTGTCCTGCGGAACCCATACTGTCTCTGGGAAAGGATGTTGCTGGAATCAAGGAATTAGCTGAGGCCGTGAGGGAATGATTGACGATAGATTCCATCACTTTGGACAATATGCGGAGGAGGGAGATGGGCCTGCATTTGCTCACTTCGGACCAACCATGGCAATCTTCCGTAGGGGAGGCTGGCGTCCCGCCCCAAAGGCATTGCAGAACAGTTTCGATAAAGGGATTGAAGGTACCTAGCTGCACTTCTGCAAGACTCGGCCAGGCAGACCGACTGGTCCTTTTGCAGGAAAGACCTTCCTGAGACCTTCCTGAGCTGGCGCTAGACCGCACAGGGACGGAAGTGCACTGTGAATCTGCGTATCTGAGCGGCGACGAACTGGTGCCCCAGTGGTGGGAGCGCATCTGTCTGAGGCTGTACACTAGGGATGGGACTGGGGAGAATTTTGTCAGTGTACTTATTCAAGTACATGTAGATCTACGTGATGGCACAGTCATTATTTATACTGTACATGTACCACCGCCACTACACAATATTTCTACCCCTACTAAGTACTATTAGTTGTCAGGAACACAGGGAGACTGAAGGAGTGCATTGACGCTTGCTAGTGTCATGACCGGGGAGTGGGCCAGACATACTATCAGGATTCTGCAATTCCAGGTTCTTTACGGAAAGATACCAGGTGTCCAGATACCCATTCTTCACCTTCACCACACAAGAAGACCAAAGCTTCACTCTAGGACCAAGTTGTTCCAAGCACGAATCACAGAGAAGCAAGAACAACCCCCTATCGAAGCAAAGCATCGAGCACTGCTATTATGTCCTAGTAGCGTGCAAGCTGAAGGAGCGAAGGGCGCGAGCAGCCAGCCAGCAAAGCATGAATAGTGATATGTTTCCCAACGCTATTCATAGACGAGACACATCGACGCCACGGCAAACACTTGACAAAGATACATGTAGGAGCAGACGGAATACAATACAGATAGCAACACACGGACACGACACTAGTAGTAACACATTTCGTGAAGCCTCCACTCCTTTCCCCCTGCTGCAACTGTAGACGAGATGTGGAATGGCTGGCATGCCAAGTTTATGTCGGTTCTCGAAAGTCACGCTCCCCTGCGTGAAATCAGAATCTCCACCAGGAGGACTCCCCCGCCATGGTCCGACCGTGATCTATTCCAACTGAACATGCGCAAGAATAGACTTCATCGAAAGTGGCTACGAGATAAAACTGACGTGCATCTACATGAGGAGTACAAGCGAGCCCGTGCAGAAGCCTCAAATGCTTACCGGCGAAAACGCAATCAGTATTTCCAACAGCAGTGTCGTGATCACTCCTCCAACCTGCGGATGATGTGGTCCGTGATCAACTCTGTCACTAGCCATTCTCGTCAACATCATCAGCCAACGTGCGACATCACAGAAGTCTCGGATGCCTTCCACAGCATTGAACATGATCCGTCCCGTCCGGCGCAGCTCCAGATTCCCATTGGTCCACAGCCGCAAGGCTCAATGCTGACCTTCCAGTCAACCACCCCAGATGAGGTCAAGCACCTCCTGGAACGGATAAATCCCTGCAAAGCCACAGGCAATGATGGGATTCCTGGGTGTCTGCTACGTGCTTGCGCTGACCTGTTGGCTCCATCGCTTTCAGTGCTCTTCAGCTCATCGCTGAGGCATGGTGAAGTCCCTCTGGCTTTCAAACATGCTGTAATAAGCCCTCTCTTCAAAGCTGGCGATCCATCGGTAGCAGTAAATTATCGTCCTGTGTCGCTCCTGCCGATCGTATCCAAACTACTCGAGAAGATCGTCCAGAAGCAACTTGTTGAACATCTGGAGCGATCATGTGCCATACCACCGACTCAGTTTGCCTTCCGCCGTGAACACTCCACAGAGGACGCCCTAGTTGTAGCAACAGATGCCATCTTAAAGGCCCGGGACGACAAGTTGACCACAGGCGTCTGCCTAATCGACATATCAAAAGCCTTTGACAAGGTCAATCACAGCCAACTGGTCCGGGACCTATTCAATCTCGGCCTGGACATTGCCTCCCTTCGCTGGTTCTGCAGCTACTTAAGCGATCAAACCCAGCAAGTGCGCATTGGCCCCACCTACAGTGTAGCTGCTAAGTGCTCATCTGGTGTACCTCAGGGCTCGGTCCTAGGACCGATCCTGTTTAGCATGTACACCCGTGATGTCCCTGACATAGCCCATCCTGCTCCTTCTCTGTAATTTGCCGATGACATTGCCGTTCACTGCCACAGAAAATCAGTGCATCAGCCTGCCTATCAGGGGCCGTCACCAACGTCGCTGACTGGCTCAAGCATCGACATCTGCTTCTAAATGACAAGAAGAGCCAGGTCCTGTCAATTGTACCACAACGCAATGCGGGTCAGCATGTCGCTGTCCGCTGCAACCAGACAGAGCTTCCCCTGAGCCCAACAGCAAGGTACCTCGGCGTGATCCTTGACGCCGCTGTGAAGTGGGACCCCCATGTTGACGCGATGGCGAAGAAAGTTGTGCAGAAGATTGGAGCACTGTGGCGGTCCCGCAGATGTCTGAGCCTCAGTAGTCGCATCCAGTATGTGAAGTCAGTCATCATGCCTGACCTCCTATATGGGTCTAACGCCTTCTCTTCCTCCCTCAAGGTTTCGCAGCTTGATCGCCTTCAGGTCCTGCAGAACCGAGCGGCGAGAGCGGTTTGCCGCCTCACACCTCGGCTCAGCCTCTGCTCGAACGGATGTCCCTGTACAGAGTTCGCGAGTGTTACGCCCAGAAGCGGCTCGTCCTGGTGTGGCGCTGTGTCAATGGGAAAGCCAGCAGCGTCCTCCAGGACCTATTCTCACCATCAGCTGGCAGCACCACCCGGCACCAGGTTTCCAGGGGCCTCGCTGTCCCCTCGGCACAGTCAGAAGCCGGCAGATCTCGCCTGGCCTTTCAGGCAGCCTTGGCCTGGAACGCTCTCCCAAGGAGTGTAAGGGAGATCAAGGCTGCCCAGCAATTTAAGCTTGCCTCCATCCCCTACACCTTGCAATGAATGCTCTGTCTGACTTTTCCCGTCCACAGACCACGTCATTTACTCTTCTCTGCGTGCTTGTGCGCTTATGAACTCTTTGTGTTCCCTCTGTTGACGCTTCAAAATCGCTCTACTGAAATTCGCTTCCATAGAATTGGGCACCATTGCCCGTTTGGCCTTGCGAATTAAAATAAAAATCAACAACAACAACAGCAGTACAGTCATGTAGTACAATAATGGCCGAGGGTACTATACAGTCATGTAGCTGATGTCTCTACAGTACTACCGGTAGTACAGTAGCTGACGTCTCTACAGTACTAGTACAGTAGCTGGTGTACTCCATTTTAAAATTTAATGTTATCGTATCCGTTCCGAATGGGACTCAGACTGCATTACGCGAAGCTAATACAATGACTATGCACATGTACATACTAATAGTAATACTACTAGTAATAGTTAATACTCATAAAAAGGACACACTTCAGGCTCATTACAAAGTAATAGTTAAGTCTGTATTTCGATTCCTCCTGCGGTTCGATGCATGGCGTGTACAATCATGTACATGTAGTCTACACACACTCTGGAACCCAAGAACACGCACAAGACATGACAAAAGAAAACGACATTTTTACTTCGTCGAAAACTGAAAACTCGGACCGGAATGCTTGTCCTCCTAGCATGATGATCATCATCAGGGAGTCATGACAGCCTTTGCTTTTACTTAGTACATTTACGGACATGTACAAGTCATGTAGATCTGCCAGTACCCGGCTAGGCAGGTGCTGCTGCCATACGATCAAACGACTTACTGAGTACATGTACTTCAGTTACTTGTACTTGTTCGTCCTCGGGGTGCAAGGTTTCACAAGCGCGTGAAGGAACTAACCAACGATACTTAGCTGTTGTGAGGATACCCGAAAACTGACTTCTACTCCATTGTCACTTGTCTCGATACAGACGGCGGAATGCGTCACGCGTGAACTGTCATTGTTGCTGAGTGCACCAGAGCGAAATAAAAGCGATATCCCGATAGGCATTCCTACGGCTACAGTACAGTCGCTAGTCGTCTGCGCATACCGGGACTAGCGCTGGTCCAAATTTACGGACACATCTCCCACTCAGAATATACAGTGGAGTCATGCAATCCGTCTTTCTACTAATCTAGCACCAGGTTACCCAGTAGATTGTCCAATATCGGCTGATAAATCCCCTACCCCTGGCCTGGGTTTCGTGCAGATTACTTAGTATGCCATGGCCCGTGGGTGTTATTTCGAAAGTTCGTGTTCTGTGGCTATTGGCTGTGAGTAGTACACATGGTTTTTGCTTTGACTCTTACTTCATGGTGTTGTGAATAACACCGTTCTCAAGTAATATTTGCATTTCTCAAATTACTGTTTCTGCTGCTGCCACTACTCTTATTCTTCTCCGGATCATCTTGGATTTTCAATAACGTTCTTTGACTTCACAATCATTGCATTGCCTGCTTATATTGTTGTGTACACCCAGAGGTCAGCAGTCGTTTCGTTGTTCTTTCGACGACAATAGTGTACGAAATCAAGTCACTAACTGAAGTATTTTGACATCCACGTCCTGAAAAATAATTGCCACTACACTACAGACTCAAAAGAGTACAGTATGAAACTTCTACATCTAGAAGTTTTACTACTGCTTTACGGAGGTACAGCCTACAGGTACCACCGGTACAAGTACTGGACTGCGGACACAATCGGCAGCCACCAGTCGTGTGAGGAAGACTGGAGGGGAGAGGCTCAGCTCACGACTCGTCATGCCCAGATTAGCAAGAACGTAAAGTCACAATCATTGATCTTGGAAGGGGTCAATGACTCAATCATTATCTCCGGAGCCAAGCACGATACAACTCGTACAACAATGCAACTCTTATTGTAGCTGCTACAATCACAAACATGTTACCTGTGCCTTGCATGATACTAGCAGCAGTAGATTCTACCCTAGATTAGGCTAGAACTGGTGTCACATCAAGATGCGAGCCGTGATAACGCGGCATCATCCATGCAAGCGTGACGGCCAACAAGTCACAAAAAGACACAATGCACAGTCTGTCAGTCTGCCCCAGAGAAGCCGAGGCGTGAAAGCAATGAAGACCCCAGTACTACTGAAACTGGCAGTCTAGTAGCACAGTAGCTGTGCGGGCTTGCCACGCGCTCAAGTCACAGTGACTTCGCTTCCAATGCGGAGAAGTCATGACTGCATCATGCACGGTTCCAACATCTCACCAACGCAACACTCAGCAGCTACGTATGTAGACAGTAGATCTCCACTGCGCTTGTAGCTGGGCGGCGAGTAACTGCAAACAGGTGCATCACCAACCGTGTTCTGGCGGCCGCCTTCAAAGCAGCTTTTCAAACAGCCAGAACCTGCAGACTAGGATTTGTAGCTTTGTACTAAATCTTTGTAGGAACAGATGCGCGTTCCACGTTGCTTCACTCCAGCCTGTGGTCCTGTGTCAGTGGTATCAGTAGTACTAGTACTAGTCTAGAGTTGAACCGAGCGTAGATCATCCACGGCCACACAGCCTGTGCGGGACACTGCATTGATTTGGTACATCTGCATCTCCAGGTTCTCTCCCAAGCCTGTCCAAGGAGGAACGACCGCAGACTGTCACACTCCTGTTGTGTTGGTGCACTGATGTAATGACTGCGGACCGCGGCATCATGGTATCTGTGCATTATGCGTGCCTCATCCCAAGCAGAACGTCACAGTTTTACATCGACCAGGGCCAGGCTTCAGCTTATCCCGTTTAGACTGCATTCAATCTCTCTGTCTGAGCAGATCCCCTACCGCGCAGGCTAGGCTTGGTCATTCTGATATGAAGGTTTTGCCTTTTTGACTTTCGTGCTGCTGACTGAAAATTCGCATAATTATCATGGGAGTGCCCTCGCTGGTCTAACTGTGCGTGTACGTCTGCTGATGTTGGAGACCTACTCTAAAGCTACTAGTATGCTCAAACAGATGAAATGAGGTGCGAGGATCGGGTTGTCTTTACAAGAATCATGAAGTCTCCTGGCTATGACCACTGCGAGTACAAGTAGCGGAACTACTTGTTTATTGAGCTCAGCTGGGCTCGCTGCTAGTAAACACTGCCCTGGAACATCGTTAGATCAGGGGGATGTCGGAGAGCGATACGCCTTCGGGCGTGCTTGTAGTGGCGCTCGCTGAAGAAACGCTGAAAGCTGCACAGGTCCAGCACGAACTCATCCTGAGTCAGAACGAGACCATCGCACAACTTCGTAGAGATATTGACACGCTCACCCAGGAGAACACCGTTCTTCGTCGCTTCCTCAAGACTAAATCAGGATCTGACCCTGAGCTGACTGCCTTCCTTGGGGCCAATGGTCGTCCTCGTTCTAGCGATAGTTCGAGCAAGAAGCGAAACAGGTAAGGACTCAGATCGCGTAAATGTACCATGAACTGTGATGGGCTTTGTGCTCTACAAGATATCTACAGCTTGTACTTAGTACTTACAATTTAGTAGTTAGAAACTACTAGGATAGCTGCCCAGTACTGTGTCTATTGATTTTTCAACGGCCATCGACTTTCAACAAATGCCATGGTTGTAGTTAGCCGATACCCAGCGCCGATTTTACCCAACAGCCGAGTTTGCGGCGCGGAACGCTCCTTGATCCAATGCTTGTGACATTGGCTCCATGAAAACCTTTCTCTATTGGACGTGAGTGAATGGCTGCTTGGCACTGGTGAAGTGATTCGCCTGCCGGTGCGACGGTATTGGAGAGGCAGCAGTCTGCACGGGGATACTTCGTGACAATACGACTATGTGAAACTGCCGGAGAACAAGCAAGGGAAGCAAATCGGGACGTGTACAAACTGCGCAACAAACATAGCACGTATCGGGAAAGTGGAGCATCGGAGGATGACCATCTATGATCTAGGGATGAGGGAGGAAATTGCAGCGTTACACGGGAAGCACAGGCACACTGGCATGTCGTTTGTTACCTCCACTGCTCCAGCAGTGTTTTGCTTAGCTGTACAGCTGATGGTAGCCAATGTACATCTGTCAAACGCATCTTCCTGGTGTATAACAGAAGACCTGTGCCTGTGACTTGTGATTGCGGATAGGATCTAGGACTGATGTGATTTCGACTCACAGGAGTAGAGGTCATACGGAAAGGCTACACTAGACTAGAGATGGGGTGATCCGTTTGTGAGACATCCTTTGGTGATCAAGAGAAATTTCCCTGTCAACGCACACACCATGCACCAAACACACATTGCTATCTCTCAGTGATTGTCTGGAGGAGGGTGCAATCACAGCAGTGGGATCAGTTACAATCAGAACTGCATCTATCAATAGCACTTACTATCTTGCAGACTCTACAAGTGACTGGGAGTTACAATGGGAGCTGTTGCTCCATGTGTTCCGATGCCTTCACGGTGAGAATCTTGGCATTCCCCATGTGTTGTGTTTGTGAGTTTTGAGCTCCTGTCTTTCTTGTCCGTGACCATGGTGACGTGGTCTTGAGAAGAGGACACTGCATGCCGTAGACTTGGCCATCATGATGTCTGCTGGAAAACACACATGGATCTTGAAATCCGTAATGAGATTTATCGTAACCGCAGTGCATGTCAAACGGGTAGTTCTGGTTTCTGTGAGGGTGGGAGTGACCTCCCTGCCTTGTAATGTACCTGTGTGCGTGTGTGTGTGTGTGGGGGGGGGGGGGGGCATTGCTGACTTAGTCCTTCTCCAGTGTTGCGTTAGTTGCCACAAGTGTTCCTAATTGCACTCACTTATAAAATACCCATGTGGTGGGACACTAGGCAAAACGAGGTAGACTGCAAAAAGCCAACACGTTATAATACCCTAATACCCGTATGCGTTTCGTTTGAAGTTTTTTTGTTTGCGTTTGAAAATCTTTATTTTACACATGCATTCAATAACTGACAATAAGGCAAGCTGAATCGACATTTGTGTATACTTTATTCATGCAATGTAAAACGGTGGAGACAATGTGCAATAAAACGATGAAAGTGGGAAGAAATAGGGTTACTAGTACTGTCAGTTGACACTGGCATGTACATGTAAGGTGACAGGTGTGTGATGTCAGTATGACTATGACTATGTATGGTCATTTCCGACTGGATGGGTACGCGCGAGGGTGTCTGTTTACTGGAAACCTATTTTGTTCTTCTTCTTGTGATGTAACTCAGGACAGGGTATGAAACACACTCAGTATTAAGGTTTTCTTTGGCTCAACAGTGGCTGCTGAAACGCAGCGCGTATACATTTATGTGTAGCGCCGTGTGCTTGAAATGGATATCGGCTGTGCCCGTTGACTGAACTTGCGCTTGCGTGCGTGTGTGTGTGTATGTGTGTGTGTCTGTGTATATGTGTGTGTGTGTGTCTGTGCGTGTGCGTGCGTGTGTGTGTATGTGTATGTGTGTGTGTATGTGTGTCTGTGTATGTGCATGTGTGTGTGTGTGTCTGTGTGTATGCTTGGCTTTACCTCTGAGCGCAGGACTGTCTGCAAAGCTCCGGTCTCCGCTCCTCAGTGGCCCGATGCATACCGCCCTGCCTCCAGTCAGTCCATCGGCCTATCCAGTGACGTACTGAGAACTCCGACTGCCAGTACGAGTGGTCATGATACCAACGGTGGCGTTGGTAATGGGGGTTATGAGCAACGGCGACAGTCACTGGATGATGAGCAAGACATGCTAACACCGAGGTCTTCAGGCCACGACGCTGCAATTAATGCCTTCTCCTGTTCTTCGTCGTCCTCTGGCGGTACTCTCGGCGACATGGCGGAGGAAGGTGCTCCACGCAAGGCGGGCACTAAGCGGAGGACTAGTAGATCGTTTGATGACCACGCCTTGGTCCAGCGAGGTGAGTTCGTGTTCTGTTTCGTGATGGGGGACTATCACCGTTTAGGATTGCATCTTTTTGTTATGGCCATAGCCCCAATCTTCATGACATGCTCACGCACACGAGCACGCATTAGTTCCAGATCCCCCCCCCCCTCCCCATACGCGCACACACATGTGAGTGTGCATGCGCACATACATGCCCACTCACACATGACCTACAATGCAGCTGGGATGGGTTGAGGAACAAGGCATTGTAAGCCATGAACAAATTGCAGATGTGGCGAGTGACATACAACCTCATGGATAACACCAATCTGTGTGCACCGCAAAGCCTCCGCTTGTTCACTGCTGGAACTGTAGTTGGGTCCATGTCCTGTTTGTATCCTATTGTGTATGTGTGCTACTGTAGACAAGATTTATCTCATACATACTTCGAAGTATACTAGTTTGTATCAAGCTTCATGTATCAGCCAGTATCGCCCCTGTACTCACTCATACTTGGGCAGTAAATCATACTTTAGTTCTGCATGTATAATGATATTGGTCCTGTTACGTATCTCTTTGTGTTCCACAGCGTCGCCGAAACATGTTTCGCAAAAGCCCCAGCCGTCCTCGGCCACTGGTGGCAATGGAGCTTCAGCGCGTCGCCTGTTGCACGGCTCAGCTGCACCTCTGTACGCACCAAGCGTCGAACGTACCTTGCTCGGCCTGTCGTTTGAGCTGGAAGTGCGCGTCCAGGAGCAGATCATACATGACATATGTCGCTACTTCAATCACAACGTTCCACGCTGCCAGCGTGCAGCGAGGACTATTCAGAAGTACTACAGGACCTATTGCCTGGCAAAGCGCGTGCACATTCTACGTAGCGCTCGCCGTTCAGGTACGTTTCGCCGCTCATCCGATACGGAGGCTGCCACTATTATTCCCAATCTGAAACACCTTCAATCACTGCATCAAGCAGCTATCAAAACGTCCCCTCCTGTAGTTCCTCAGCTGATTACCGAGGAAGACGACGAGTCACTCACATCCGAACACGTGACACAGTGTTTTGATTTTGACGAGGAAACGCTCAGTCGAGAGACTGACTCACCCCCGCCCGGGTACACTGCGGATTTCTCCAGCATGTCGTCCAGCGTCTCTTCCAGTGTATCCTCTTCCCTGGGTTACGACTCCCCGTTGTGTCCTGGAGCTGATGCTCATGACCCTGGACAGTACCTCGGCGTCAGAGATGCCAAGTGTCGCGTTGACGCTCCGACAACCGCTGCTCCACCAGCCTACCTCCCGCCAGCTGGTCTGATGGGCTCGCCGGCACTGCCAAATGGCACGTCATCCAACTATGACCTTCAGCGTCGAGCCAACGATCCTTCGCCACTGGTGGCACGGCCTCCTGGCAGTGAGCAGACCCGGCAGAATTTAATTGAACCACCGCCACCAAGGGATCGAAGGAACAGTGTGTACTACGAAGTTCGCCCTCCAGCAACTCCAACAGCGCCGGGGCAGGAAAGCGGAGAAACGAAGGCACGCAAGCAGCGGAGGCTACGCATTGGTATTACACACTTCAACCGGTACGCTTGTGTAACTGCCTGTTTGACTTTTAAGGAATAAACCTGGCTGGCATATAATTTACACTGCAGATAACCCAGCGCAGCCTTAACCGGGATTCACAGAAGCTTTTTTTGCGATGCGACAGCCGCGAAACCGGGAAATCCCCAAATCGCACCCATCGCGGACCCCACGCAACTGCCGCAACAGGGCCATCGCGGAAGTTGAGCTTGTTGCTCAACTTTTGCGATGCGACAAGCGATTTGGCGTACGATGTTCGCCTTTTCTACAGCAAAGTTGTACAAAGGTTCAAGAGTTGAGTTGCCTATAAATTTGTACAAGTTGTACCAAACCGCACGAATACCATGGTGACATACCCAAATCAGGAAGACTTTGTCGCATCGCTGACTTCTTCTGTGAATGGTATTTCGGGAGTTTGCATCGCACACGTCCATCGCAGATCGCGTCGCATCGCGTGTCGCATCGCAAAAAAGCTTCTGTGAATCCCGCTTCAGACTTTTCAGCTATCCTTCTATACTGCATGGAAGTGACTTTCATTGTGCCGGATTGTTTGCCAACTCTAAACCAGTGACACGAACAACAAACGAATCTGACTCACGAATGCCTCATTTGGAGAGACGAGACTGCTGACAGAAACGGGCAAAATGAGGACAGTCATGGAATGTTGTGTGCTGCTGATCTATGTATTGCGTTGTTCTGTTACGCTGCTTGGTGCCCACAGAAAACCGCCGAAGGGCATATCCTATCTCACTTCCAAGCGCCTGCTCTCACCTGAGCCACGCGACATAGCTCTGTTCTTGAAGCGGCAGGGCGGTCTGAGTCGTAAGATGGTCGGCGAGTACCTTGGCACTCTTCAGAATCCGCTTTGCCAGTCGGTGTTACGGTACGTCACTGCATGTCGTATGCAATCGCTCAACTTTAACCTGCTTCAGCATGTTTAGATCTAGATCAATCGAGTCCTGCTTGTATTTCCACAACGGGATGGCGGAGTCATGTTTTTTAAGTTGCCCAGTTATGGACCACGTGTGGACATTTTTCAGAGTTAGAATACTCCGTACCGTCGGAAGGCTGCTATCTTTCGTGACATTCATGATTTGTTATTAATTTTGCAGTCCCAGGAACTCCCAAACCAACAATTTCTGAATCAAGTACTTCACCATCCCGCACCCTTTCCAAGTTTCATACCAGTGTTCTGTTTTCTTTTGTGTCTACTCGGTTTGCAGTGAGTTTGTCAGTTCGTTCAAGTTTGAGGGTTTTACATTCGTGCAGGCGTTGCGCAAGTTCCTAGGTACTTTTCAGATTCCCGTAAGTCCCAGCTGTCATGCAGCTTAATTCCTCATTCTTGGTGTCTTGAGTATATGAAATGTGGATTTACCGTAAAACCTGCCAAGGCGACTACCTGCCCCCAGCAGAGCCGGACCACTACAAGTAGGACCAGGGGATGTTTTTTTGAAACTTTTTTCCCAGTCAAATGACCCTGGATATGGAGACCACCTGTGGTCCGCTTCCATAAGGCCCCTTAATCACTGTAGAGACAGGTTTGACTGTGCATGAATGGCAGCCTGACAGACAGGCAGTAAGATCGATGCAGCTATGTGATGTTAGTCTCATTGATGTCGCATATAGATTCCTTTAAAGGGCGGTTCGTGAATATGCACTGCATGCCTTTGGGCCACTGTAAGAGTTAACTGACAACTTCACCCAGGCACAATAACAATTTACGAGCCATGTTAGACGGTAGAATACAATTCGTATCTTGCTTACAATTATTGACCCGTGAGTGAGATCTCCAATGCGAGTCGTAACATTTGGATATAAGGTGGTATTGCCGTATACATCAAAAGTGCTTTGAGTTTGAGTGCAGGTGATACCCGCCATACTGAGATATGCAAGGTTACTACGAGCTGTAGCTACTGTAGCTACTGTTGCTGCTGCTGCTGCTACTGCTGCTACTCAACGGTTATCCGAGGTTAGCTGTAGCTGCTGCTGCTCAACGGTCATCCGAGGTTAGCTGTAGCTGCTGCTGCTATTCAACGGTTATCCGAGGTTAGCTGTAGCTGCTGCTGCTGCTACTGCTGCTACTCAACGGTTATATTCTTGTTGCTATTGTCATTGTGGGTCTTGTTCTTCGTCTTGTCGGTTCGTTTTGCAGGGTGAAGCGCAGAAAATCGAGAAGATACTGGAGGTATGGACTGTGTGTGTGTGTGTGTGTGTGTGTGTGTGTGTGTGTGTGTGTGTGTGTGTATGTGTGTATGCACGCATGTGCGTACATGCAAGTATACCATTATGATGTGTGTGAGTCCCATTATAATACCCATGCAAGTTATTATAATACCCATGCAAGTTATTATAATACCCATGCAAGTTCTGTTGGCATGATTCTTCTCCGTGGCAATGCCGGTGAGTCTCCCATCACATCTTTTGAGAAGTAAAAAAAGGTCTCTCTCTCACTCCCTCTCTCCCTCTTTCTCACTCTCCCCCCCCCCCCCCCCCTCTCTCTCTCTCTCTCTCTTTCTCTCTGTACAGCTGTTTGCTGATAGGTATGCGTCGTGCAACTCTGTGGAAACGTCGGTCAACCCTGACACATGCTTCATCCTTGCCTTCTCCACCATCATGCTGAACACGGACTTACACAACGCCAGCGTCAAAAAGCACATGACCAAGGATGAGTTTATCCGTAACAACCGCGGCATCGACGATGGGAAGGACCTGCCAACAGACTTCCTGTCAGCCATTTATGATGATATTTCAGAGGTATGTGGCTGTGCTATGGTATGGATCTGCAAGCTAGGGTTGAACTGACTGCATCACTCATCGTTTGTTGCATGGTCCATAAGTCATGTTTAGTGGATGTACAAGCTAGGGTTGAACTGACTCCATCGGCACTCATCGTTTGTTGCATCGCCCATAAGTCATGTTTAGTGGACACACCGCTACTAACACCATGTAGGGAGTTTGTACCCCAACCACCATGGAGTATACTGATCCAGCCTGGCATATACCTACTTCTAGCTGCAAAATGCAAACACTAGATTTCGTGTCTACAAGTACACTAATTGTTGTTGTTGTTCTCTTCCATTCTATGTAGGCATGTGCACTTTCATGACAAAATTATGACAGATTGAATTTCGTATGCATCACTTGTTTACAGAGGGAGTTTGCTACGCCGAAGGATCATGTGCTCCAAGTGCTTAGCCTTCAAAAGAGCATCGTTGGCCATTGCCCGGTGAGCTATCTAATACAGCATGGGTCCTCGCCCCCTCTCCCTCATCCCCATTTGCCACATGTGCATTTGTGTACTTGCCACGGTCTGACCGGATAATACCTTCCTGACATGAATTCTGCACCACTGCTCCTCAGGATTACAGCTGATTAACAAAATGCTTGTCGTTGCCCATTTTGCTGTGAGGGTACATGTGCAATGCTTCGACGGAATTTTAATTTCCGTGCCAATATCCAAACAACCAAAGTGTGTCTTTGCTTGTGTGCTGTGTGTCCTGCGTACATGTAGTTGCTTGCGTTACCGCATCGTCAGCTTGTTCACGTTGTACGGCTCTACGAGGTGTTGGACCGTGACCGCAAGCAGCCGCCAAACGCGCACTCCCGCTTCCTCTTCCTCTTCAACGACATGCTCCTGGTGGCAAAGTACGCGCCGAAGAAGAGCCTGAACACAACCTATCTGTACAAGACATGCTATCAATTGATTGATATCAAGGCTGAAGAGTTCTCCAACTCTTACTATAAGTTTGGCATCGCCCTGAAGACAGTGTTTGACGAGAAGGTTGTGGCCTGCTTCAACGGCGAGAAGGAGTCCATGACTCGCAAGTTTTCCTGTGACCTGAAAGAAGTGCTGCTGGAGATCAATGAGATGGAGCAGGAGCGACTGCTGGACATTGACGAACTGGCTCAGCGTGGCGGCCCGAGCAAGGGCAACATGTCCCCGGACGTCACTCGCCGGCGTGTCAGTGCGCCGAAATGGCAGAAGAACGGCAGGGCTGGAGCGGTGGCGGAGAGTCCCGACGGTGGCAAGGGTGATGTGCTGCGTGCCCGATCTCAAACCTTGCCGCCCGGCCAGAAGTCCAAGAGTCCGTTCTCATCCCCCTCGGTAAGTTAGATCATTGAACAGCTTTATTAGTTTGAGGTTCGGCCTTCGATGTGGCATATATGTATATTTGGGGCTGCTACTTGCTGTAATTCATAGCAGTGCAGTGCATTGGAAGCGGCGTTTATGTTGAAGGTTCCTCGAGTTTGAAGCTATCAGAGTGAATGTTATGCATGCCAGAGGCTCATCCCAGTGTGCTTCGATCTTGTCACAAGTATGCACCACACCTTTCTGTTTTATGCTCACACATCCTATGTAGGATCAGGCAAGTATATAGGTGTAACTGTTTACTTAGCATGGTGGTGGCGGCAGCAGCTGTGCCGTTAGCTGTGGTAGCGGTGGTGTGTGTGTGGGTGGGTGGGTGCACGTATGTGTGTGTGTGTGTGTGCGCGCGCACGCACGAGCATGTGCCGATAAGCCTGTGCTAGAATTGTGTTTGCACCCTAGATAGCATGTGAGGTCGAGTGCGTGTTCACTGCCATTCTGTAACTTTGGTTCCTGTCTACTCCGTTGAAGTACAAAGACAGCTTCAGACTACATGTAGTTCCCCGGCATTCTTCTAGCACAAGCACCACGGACATTGTACATTGGACGTACATTGTATGTAGCTGGTATCTAACTTACCTGTGCTTGTGTAGGCTGCTTGCTCACGTTACAGTGCACACACTGAGCGTGGCCTTCAAGCTGCACGTCGGCTAACTGTGTGAACGATTGTCTGTTCTCTGCAGCCCGACTCCGGTGAAGGTGCGCATGAAGCCAGTCGCGGCACAAACATCTTCGGCTCTCTGAAAGGCCGCTCCAAGAAGAAGAAGATATCCGTACAGAACATGCCCTTCGGTAACAGTGGTAGCTAGGCACATTCGGTCTGAAAGAATCAATTGACATGTAAGATTTGCCCTGTAGCGATGTAACGAGTAGCCGCCAGCAGTAACCAGTCCGTCAAAAATGAACTTTTCTGTAGTTGTGTACTACCAGTAACATATACAGTACACACAATGACTTGATTTCTGTTGGATTAGGGTAAAAGCAGTTGTTCAAAGTTTGCATAATGACGTAGAATATTGTTTTAAGTAAGCCCGTCTTTTTTTAATTTTTTTGTCAAACAAATCCAAATAAACATGCATGTGCCTACCGAGTAATGTCGGTATCGCTACTCCGCAGCTTGCTTCCCACGTAAAATGAATCGTGCTTATTCTTTCGAGTTAACTGACGCAATGTGTAATCGTAATGCCCATGAAATCCAAGACATCCCGCAGTTCTTCTCGTGAATGCTTGCCTCAATATTTTACTTGATATCGACCTCAAGCCGCAGGCAAGATGCTGGCGCATGTTGCACTGTTCCTTTCGGCAATCACTATGATCGGACACGGTCCTGTAATACTTGTCTAGAGTTCGGCTGTAAACAGTGGACAATATATATTTGTGAGAAATCATTCCTGTTTCTTTCACCATAATTTTGCCCATGTACCCTCTAACCTTGACCTCAGCTACTTACTACCGGTATGCCAGCAGAATCTGATAAATGGTTGTATTCTACTACCATACAAAATGCAAATATTCATCATAACATTACTACATGTAGTAAACCATAATTATCGTGCTGCTCGCAAGGTGGTACTGGCATCGGGGATCTGACCCTGCAATCTGCCACGGTGTGTGTGTGTGCGTGTGTTTGTGCATGTGCGTGTGCAGGCACACATTTTTTTTACTGAATACCACAGAACCATCAGATGCTGCACAGCGGGGGCGGTGGCATATTGGATGGAAGTGGGGGCGGGGCAAAACACATGTGTTTATGCTGTCTCCCCCCCAAGCAGTTTTAATACTTTGTTTTGATTTCGGTCCAAGATGATCATGTCTTTTCCCGATTGAAATTCCATGCGCTTGGAAACATTGAGAGCCGTGTTCTCTGCTGAAACCAATCACGCTTGCGCTAGGGCATGCGTGGGGAAGTCCCACTGGGGAAGCTCGAGATTGCTATTACTAGTATTACGGAGATCAAGAGAGTAGACCTACACTATCCATGCTGTTATACGCTTGCTAACATGCAAGCTGCGCTTCTCCAGGTTTTATGTAAGGTGTCAGCAGGATACTGTAGAAAGTAAAATCCTGCATCATTGAGTGACTGTCGGAGCAGGTCCAGCCGCGGCAGGGCCAGGCACGAGCCGGACAACATTCTGGACGACTTTTGTTGTTCCTCAGTCACCCACCGAAATTTCTTGGGGTTCTTTTTAAAAAACATATTTTTACCATGGCATGCAGGGGTAGCAAATGTCTTCAAAAGGCACGATTTTGCTTGACTTCTTCTTTCTCTACAACGCTCGTCGGGGAAGCTGGGCCATGCGGCATGGTTGCGCGGTAGCTTCAAAGTGGGGCTGAGCGAGCGACGTAGCAGTCGATCGTTGGGGGAATCTAATTTCCAATCCAAGTCGGTTAGTCCCTGCGTCCCGGGCCTCCGGACTAGACAGTATCAGCCTGGTCCATCATGCACGGTCAACGTTTCGGACGATTCCCCTCTCGATCCGCTGGGACATGCGGTGACCCTGTGGATTCTCCGCGTGGCTTGGCTGCTGGCACCGCCGTGACCGGTGCCAGACGATGGCTGACATACCTTCGATCTTTGGTCCATACATAGACCATGTAGACCATGGTAGACGCCAGGGCCAATGATTGACAAGCATGCTTGAACGGCCAGTGATGGACTGATGTCCAGGGAAGGACCAGCGCTAGCGGGAAGGTAGTACAACTATGCTGCATCTCAGACCGATTACAGTACGAGAACTACTCAATAGATCCGTTTCTAAACACATCAGTCATCATGGCCATCAGTAGTAGATGATCAGTTTCCCCACGTCTGGGACTCCACCCTTGTGTTTGCAAACCACGGATCGTGGTGACAGGGGGAATGAACAACTATTCCCCCCTGTCATGATTAATTTTATAGTGAAAACAATCTGAGTGTGAGAGTCAGCAAGGCGGTTGAACACTGCTAACAGTTCCAGCCATCATCGATTCGTCATCTTGAACTACACTACAGTGTACTATTACAACAGTACAGCCTGGTCAGTAACTACTTCTTCGGTGTCGTCATTGAGTGGATGTCTTCAACGTTCAGGCTGGCAGACTTCTAGCTCGTGAGTAAACACAACGTGAAAATAAATCTGACAAGTTAGTTGCTCACTGTGACTTCATAGACCATTGCGGCATAGGAAGACAAGTGCCTTGGCTATGGTGCACCGTGTTGGTCTACACGGGTGTACCGATGGAGCAACATGAACATTACTTTCTCCACCTTTCGCTCGAAGGGTCACCACGGGGCGGTCGCGTCCGCAGCCAGCGCATCGTGATCCGGATGGCCGGTCTTCCTTTTCGAGCGAGGTGAAGCCGAGAAGCGTGTGTTGCCTCTACTTCTTGTGGTGTTCTGGCTACAGAATTTCTAGCTCTGCCACCTCGCCAGAAACAGAATCGTGGAATCAGTGAACGGAGTAAGCAGGTTACGGAAGTGCGCGGACTGATCAGGTCACATAATTATCTTGTTCGTCGCTGGGTACCGGATAAGACTCGTCGACAGTTGACCAAGCCAGAGTACAGTGGTTCAGTAGTGGCATCGCTCCGCTATGGTTTTGATGCAAGGTTACCTGAGGGTTGTGGAGGACAACTATTCACTCCCTGCGGAAGATCCAGAGGGTGATGATGCTCCAAATGACGTTGTATGTACACACTGGTTTGAGCTGCATTGGGCGCAGGAAAACAACAAAGTGGTACCACGGCCCACAATAACCTGGTTCACAGGAAAACAAGGTGATCGACAACAATTGGGTAAGCAACACTTTATCTCATTGAATTGTAAATTGATTTTGTTGCCTCAATGAATTGCTGAAGTCCGTGTACGTGTGCATGGCATGGTGTGCGCGTGCGAGTACATGCACACACACATGCGCGCGCTCGCGCACACGCACACACACCTTTGACCTTTTGACGCCCATCGCCAGAGGCGATGATAGCAATGCTACGGCAGAAGCCATAGCAACTTGTGCTGGGATTGCACCATTCAACAGCTTGCAAGGCTGAAGAATTGACCGTCACTATTCAGCCTGGTCTACACCATACAGCTATTCGAAGTGACTTTTTCTGGCCAGTGAATCCCTATTTTTGGTATTTTCATTTTTTTGGCCCCGCACACACATCACACCACATACTCCGGCATGCACTGGCTGTTGGTAACCACCCCGCGCGCACGCACACACACACACACACACACACACACACACACACACACACACACACACACACACACACATGCATACACACACACACACGTGCATATCCACACATACCACACACACACACACACACACACACACACACACACACACACACACACACACACACACACACACACACACACACACGACGCCCATCGCCAGAGGTGATGATAGCCATGCTACAGCAGAAGCCATAGCAACTTGTGCTGGGATTGCACCATTCAACAGCTTGCAAGGCTGAAGAATTGGCCGCCACTATTCAGCCTGGTCTACACCACACAGCTATGAAGTGGCTTTTTCTGGCCAGTGAATCCCAAATACACACATACACACACACATACACACACATACATAGACACACATACACACACACACACACACACACACACACACACACACACACACACACACACACATACACACACATCAGACCTCAGACCTCAGACATGCCCATCGCGTAAGCGATGATAGCGAACAGCTATGTTAGACATAGCACCTTGTGCTGGGATTACACCATTCAACACACACACATACATACACACACACACACATGCATACACACACACACACACAATGCGCAAAGGAATGTATTTTGGAAAAGGGCCTCTTTGTAAATGTCGGTCAGTATGGCTGGACTGTATACTTTGTCTTGGGGGAAGGGGGAGAGACATGGGGAAGTAGCCATACAGGGGTGCGAGAACGCCTCTGGGCATGGGGAGTACAGCTAGCTCGCTCAACTCGACTTGAGTGACGGTAACCCACACCTTGATCAGTTGAGCTGCGTCACAGGTATTTTGCAGTCAGATGTGCGACCGCGTGGGACTCGAACCAGCGACCTCTTAGTCTTAGTTCGCAGGCAAGTGCAACACAGAATACAATGTACTGTACTACCGGGGAGCCTACACCTACATAATAATATTATTACACACTGTCGTGAATTCCAGCAGAAATCCAAGGGAGTAATAATATTATTATAATATATTCCAATGTACCCACTGCTCAGTGTCAGCAGTCAAACCACATGTCCTACACGATGTGCTACAAATGTCACCAAGGTTTCGATCGTGACCTAGCCACAGAGTGAAACAACTAAAGCTGCTTTGTTGGCAACATAAACACACACACACACACCTGGCATTATGGCGTTAAACATATGCCTGCCCACACACGCTCTCTAGGCTGCAAAGTTATTCTAGCACAGAGCTCTCCTTCTCACCACCACCACCAACATCAGGATACCACCAGCCATGCATCGACTAGGCGCCAGGCACGAACTAATGTTGGTGGTGGTGGTGAGAAGGAGAGCTCTGTGCTTGAATAACTTTGCAGCCTAGAGAGCATGTGTGGGCAGGCGTGTGTTTAGTACTGTTTACAGCCATATTGCCAGGGGTGTGTTTACCACCATATTTATCAACCATAAGTAAAGCTACATTGGTGTCTTCAACTTCAATCTCCCGAGTCAAGTTCCGTGTAAAGACAGCCAAGAAGAAGATTGCCTGATGAGCGCAGCGGGGACGAAACGTATGTCGCAATCGAGCTATGGCGTTGCTGTGTCATCTGCTTTGTGCCATGCACTACCTGGTGTACCAGCCTGCTATGTCGGATACCGCCAACCATGCATCGATCAGGCGCGAACTGATGATCATGGGTGGTGGTGGTGAGAAGGAGAGCTCTGTGCTAGAATAACTGTGCAGCCTAAGAGAGTGTGTGTGGGCAGGCGTGTGTTTACCGTCATACTGCCAGGTGTGTGTCATTTACCACCATATTTGTCAACCACAAGTACAGCTGCATTGGTGTCTTCAACTTCATTCTACCTGTTACAAGTACTTTCTTACATTATAACTGAAAATATCCCAACTCACACCTGTCAGGGGCGTAGGAGGGGTTTTGGAAGTGGTACGACCAAAGGTCGGCGCGGCCGAAGACCATTTTGGAGGGGGTCCGGGGACGTCCCCCGGGAAATTTTTGTAAAAAAGACACAAAATCCTGCGTTCTAGGAACTTCTGGCACAGTTTATAAGTCATAGAATTATATCACGGGCAGAAGAGACGTGCATGCATGGACATGCACAGATGCATGGCAGATCTACGAGTACGAGTCTAGAAAAAGGTCAAAGTCTGATGCGCATATATGCATCGATGGATCCTGATTTTTTTATTACAGTTTTGCACGTTCCGGACGGACCACACTTTTCGAAAAGTGGTACGGCCATGGTCGTACCAGTCGTAGCGGGTGCTACGCCCCTGCCTGTAGTACGTCACTTACAAAATGTAAGTGCACATCGCATCCCAATCCCTCTTTTGTGCTGCTGTGACTTGTTGCCTGTAGGAACTATTCCTCTCACGGATACGGGGATCAAAGTAGCGAGTCCCAAGCCTGGTTGTTTGTCAGTGAGCCGTGTTTCGGCAGAGGAACCGCTTCTTGTTCTCAGCGGATGGAGCAACGTTACCGTAGAGAACTGGAGGAAAGCTATCAATGTCGCAGGTGAGTGGCCTACGACCATTTTTAAAACAGTTTCATCATTTGCAGTCTCCGTATGGGCTGTCCCTCGAGTACACTCATAAAAAACGATGATATCCTAGCTTTTGGCCATAAATAGGTCAAATTTTGAGTTTCTCCACGGTTTCTTTTTGCAATCTCTCATGGAATGCTCTTCCAATTATGTTTCTGAAATCTATTTCTCCAAAAAGCAAGCTATGGTAAGAACAGAATTTCGGCTAGGTTTTGCCCCAAGAGCACTGAATTAGTGAAAAAACATGATAAACTAGGCCGTTTCACTCCACTTGCAACAGTACATTGAGCGGTCCGAACCCCAGTTGAGGCACCTACATTTATAAGGGTCCTTTTCGGACCCTTTTCAAGTTTCAAATTCCGTGGCACTGCACCGTTAACGAAAAAATCACGAAAAAGTCACCAAATACGGTAGCTCGCCAGAGCCAGCTCTCACCATTTTATGAATGGACTGGATTTATGTAGGACTGAAATCAAGTTGTTGTTGTAACTACTATAGTACCTAATAAACCATACACTTATAAAACAGAGAGGTTCCAGGCTGTCCAATAGAGTGCTCAATACCGAAAGGCAGAGCTAGTTCAAACAGGAAAACTGTTTTCTGATGATCGTGTAGTGCGTGAAACTCGGAGTAAAAACACTTTTTTTTCATTCTCTTGGATCTAAAAACGATAGTCTTACAAAGATCCCCCCCTCCCCCCCCCCCCCCCTTCCAAACCAACCATTCACACACAGCCATGGTGAAACAGTTGCCGTTACCACCGCGGCTATGCAGTTGTGTGTGAACACAACCGGCTTGGACATGTTTTGCTCGTGCCAGGCCAGGCTACCACCATGCCGTGCCAGGCCAGGCTACCACCATGCCTGAATATTTTAGAGAGCATCACTGTCAGACCAGTAATATTACTGTTATGAACCCTCTGAGATTCTCTAAATTGTCAGGATCGTACGACCACACGGCAAGAGGACAACTCTTTTCCTTCACACAGTATATTTCACTTCATCTGATAATTAAACAATGAACACTAATAACACCAGCTATTTATAGCATGCAAAAACAGCGTACATGCAAAACATAAGCAGATAAAACTGGACATAACAGCGTATACAGCAAAACGCACACAACGCATATAGCGTATGCCATGCAGCAACATCAGCGGTACGGCGGAGTCGAAATACAACATTTCAACGAATACAATGCCATAAGCGCGAAGGCCTTTCCCAATTGAGAACTGGTGGTTTACAACATTCTCCCCACCAAAGGGCTTCTCACCGCCGTACAACAATGCACACAAGTCAAAAACGATCCGGGGCTCTGACTACGCGCCCAGAACGCGTCATCTCCTGCTGCCGTGGTGGTGGTAACGGTGCTGGCGGTTCATACGCTGGCTGCTGAGGGACGATAGCAGGTTGAGCGGTATCGGCAAGCCCAGGAGCCACGTCCTGTGACGATACCTCTAACGGCACTAACCTTTGGATCGGCCTCAACAGGGTACTGGTACTCAACTTAACCTTGGCAACACGACGCTTACCATCTCGACCAGGGAATAACTCGATGATCCGTCCCAAACGCCAGAACTGTTTGCGCTTGGTATCATCGAGAGCAAAGACAACATCACCCACAGCTAAAGGGCGCGACATGGTCTGTTGGTGTTTGTTCAGCTGACTTAGGTACTCCACCTCCCAACGATTCTTGACATGCTCCAGTGTCCGACTGAGGTAACGCAATCTCGATGACATCTGCGCAGCGTCCAGGGTACCTGCTGGCTTCTCTGACGACATCCAGATGTCACCCATCATCATTGCAGGGGTTACTGGTGGCTCATCCAGGCTATCAGACACATAAGTTAGCGGACGACTATTCACCACTGCTTCAACCTCATACAAGAGGGTCTCAAGCTCCTGGACCTTCAGAAACGCTGTTCCCATTACCTTTTTCAAGGCACTCTTCACTGTACCAACCATTCGCTCATAGAAGCCTCCATGCCATGGTGCAGCTGGAGGATTGAACATCCATGGCACACCCAGTTTGTCAGATGCCGCCTTGAACGTTGTAGCGTTGTCAGACCTGATCCGAGACGGCAAACTACGTCTCGCGACACACTTCCGAAATGCCATCAAGAATGACTCGGTACTTAAACTATCGACCACCTCCAAGTGAACTGCTCTGGTGGTGGCACACACAAACAATGCTATCCATACCTTCGGAGATGACTCACCACGGCGCACGTACAACGGACCAGCATAGTCGATGCCGGTAGTTGCGAACGGCCTCTCGTGAACAACTCGGTCTTCCGGCAGCGGCGGGCAGACTTCTGAGGCAGCCTTAGCCTTGTAGCGGCGGCATGTAACACATCGCTGAGTAATGTTGCGTAGCGCTCGTCGACCACCGATAATCCAGAATTTCTGACGGATGAACGACAAGACTCCTTCTACACCTTGGTGCATCCTTTCAACATGCATTTTCTCCAACAGCAACTCGGTCAGATGATGTTTGCCTAACAGGACTGGGTGCTTGGCTCCATACGCCAACTCGCTGTGCTGAAGTCGTCCCCCGGCTCTGAGCACTCCATGCTCATCCAGAAACGGTGCAAGCTGATACACCTTCGACCCAGGCTTCACTGGTTGACCTTGCTTGATCAGCTCAAGATCCTCAGCGAAACATGCGGCTTGAACGATGCGGTACAATACGTTGTCTGCTGCAAAATAGAGTTCAGCACGAGGCTCAGTGTGCTTCCACTGCAACATCCGAGTCACCATGCCCTGTGCCCTCGACCATTTACTGAATCGGAGCCACCATTCCTTATCAGATTCTCGACTACAGGTGGTGGCTGACACTCGTACTTCTACACTGGACTCATCTGTAGCTGCGGTTGAGGACGCGGTGGGCCAGTCATTGGGCTCCGTGATCCAGGTTGGTCCGCCCCTCCAGAACGGACTACGGATCTGCTGTGCACTACTCCCACGCGACGGTAAATCTGCTGGGTTGTGAAGGCCTGGGCAATGGTTCCACACAATGCCGACCTTCTTCGATATCTCTTGGACTTGACTGACGCGGTTAGCCACAAATGTTTTCCATTTGTACGATGGATTACTGATCCAATGAACGGTAGTGAGACTGTCAGTCCAGCCATAGACTTGCGTGACGGTCACACGCAGCTCCTTCACCACAAACTCAGCGTAGCGAGCCGCTAGACATACTGCTTGTAACTCAAGGCGGGCTAACGTGGGTGGAGACACGGGTACCACTTTGGCCTTGGCAAATACCAAGTGCGACTGTCCATTGACGACTGCATACAAACAACATCCAAACGCTTTCTCACTGGCATCGGCGAAGGCATGAAGCGCAATCGGCGTGTCAAGATTGCAGCAAATCCAACGTGGTATGTCAATGCTCACCACTTCGGCCAACTCTCCCCACCATTGCGCGCATGCGGCTGCGATGCCATCAGGCAGCTTATCATCCCAGTCGCCTCCAACTTTCCAGGCTTGCTGTAGCAGTATCTTTCCGGGCACAACTGCCGGTGCTGCTAGACCTAGCGGATCAAACACTGACGCAACACACTTGAGGAGGGATCGCCGGGTCCAAACAGACGGCCTATCGGACTCGCCTAGCGCTGCTATGCTGAGCAAGTCACCACTGGTTTTCCATTTCAGACCGAGAACTTTATCTCCGGCCTCTGGATCGCACGGGATTTCGTTGCCTCGCCACTTGCGTAACTCCATGCCAGCATCCGTAAGCACACGCACGCTGAACTCTTGCATCTCCTTAGCTTCCGAGGCATTTGAGACACTAGAGACCAAATCGTCAACGTAGAAACTCGTGAGCAAGAGATCAATACGATCTCGCTCTTTGGGTGCAGACAACGCCCGTAGCTCCTTCAAGTGATGCTGAATCACCGCAGTAAGCATGTATGGCGAGCAGTTTACGCCAAATGGCAGTTTCGTTAGCCTCCAGGTTAACAGTTCATCGCTGTCGCTTCGACCGGGCCACAAGAAACGCAGGTACGGACGGTCTTCGGGATTAACCGCGACCATGAAGAAAGCCTTGCGGATGTCCGCTTGCAGCGCGCTCTTATATTCACGGAACCGTAATAGCATACCTGCGAGACTCGGCAATAGCGACGGTCCAGGGTCAACCATGTCGTTCAACGACTTGCCATCTGGCGCCGTCGCCGAGGCATTGAACACCACTCTTAACTTCGTGGTTGCAGCGTGCTCGCGGAACACACCATGATGCGGTACATAGTACCCGGCATCGCTCTCACATGGCTCCAGCTCAATTGCTCCAAGCTCGCGGTACTCCCTGATCAGCACATCATCATAGAGCGCACGCTTCCCATTCCTCTTCAGCTTTTCAAGAAGCCGCGTTGCGATGACTCTAGCTTGAGCAAAGTTATCCGTTGGCCGACGCTCATTTCGCCACAAGAGACCCACTTGGTACCCGCTGCCCTGGCGACATAGCGGGAAAGATGGCAGGTGCTGATGTTGTTCTGGAGGTTCATCCAACTGCCATAGTTTGTCGATGTGGGCTGTGACACATGACACGGTCACCGGCTGACTGTTTCGACTTGGTGCAGACGCTGGACCAGATAATACATTACCTATCTCTGTGTTCCACACCGTCTCACCATTAACTTCCTTCTTGCTGTGCAGTACCGCGTTGATATAGTCTGCACCAATCAGCATATGTATTTCGTCTGATGTCCCTTGTTGAGGCTTGTCACTCAGCTCTACTCCCCAACTGTGCCACTGCGCAATGGTCTGCGGACTTGCGCACTTCAGGTCCAGCTCAAGCGTTGGTTTCACGAACGCGCGTACCCGAATGCTAGCGGAGCTACCCTGGATCGTGATGGCGTACTTATCCATGCGCTGTTGGGTTGGTTCCGCGCCGAACGGCTTCACCTCTACATTTTCAACCCCAACGTGTTCTGCATCGATTGCTGACACCAACGCTGCAGTCACGAATGACG